CCCCCCCCCCCCCCCCCCCCCCCCCCGCATAATCCCCCTTCACTCCCACACCTTTTGTCCGTTCCCACTCCCTGTGACCTTTGATCCTTCCCCTTTCTGGTCCCCCCCTGTTCATACCAGACCCCTTGTGGTTTGCCATCTCCCTTTGTTTCTTTGTTCTCTCATCCACCCTCCCCTGCATCTTTCCACACCTTTCCCACCTAATCCTCCTTTTGTGTTTCTTCTTTCATCCCTGCATGTTTGTGTGCACCCCCTTGTTAATGTTGTACCTCTGTCATTTCTGTTTTAGCCTCTGAAGAAGAAACTTGCTAAGTTCGCAACGTCAGGCCACATTAATTTTTAGATTTTAATAAATATTAAGTTTTCCAAAACTTGCAAAATTTTCCCCTCACCGTGTCTGCTAAAAGGTACCGTTTATATTTTAACATAAATCTTTAATTGCGCTCTGTCCATGAAAGTTCCATTGTCTGGTTCCCATTCTTCAGCTGCAAATGTAAAATGAAGTCGAACGACGATATTTGCAGCGCGAAATCGTAACAACTTTTACGGGATCAAAATAAGCACCGCGCGTTAGCGAAAATAAAACGGCACACCGTGTAAAGTGAATGGCGCCCTCAATCGCCGATCAGTAGACTTGCCTCAGGGATTTGTGTTCTCCTTTCGGGGGAAGGGCAGGGTCTTAAGAAATCATCCTGCAGACATTTTGTCTTTAATCAACTTGAACGTTACAGGGAAAATATCAGACTTTATTCAGGGGGTGTTTTGGTCAAAGATAAACTATGAACAAAAAAGTTGGGATTATTATAAAAACCACTTCCCGCATACCGCGATAATAGGGAGTCCACCTCCGTTCGCAAACGCTGCGCATGTCTATTTTCACAGGCATCGTACACGGAATAAACCACACCACCGTCGGATTTTTTATAATAATTTAAAAAGGAAGAGTTATACTACACATAAGACAGGACAATTCTGGAAGGTTAGTGGGCAATCTCTATTCCGAACGAGAAACGTGATAAGTACCGCGATAATACGGCGTTCCATACTACGCCTATGACCATGATGACATACATGTATGGCGATCGTGATCGTGTATACTACGGGCCCGGTTCCTAAGGGAACAAAATCCACTGTACAATTATTTGACCTATCATATCAAACTAGTTGGCGGCATTAAGAACATGCAGGTAGGCCTATGTCGTAGATAAAGGGCAGGGTTTTGAATTAATTTGAGGGAAATTTGGAGGTATGACAACGACAAAACGCAATGTTCACGAAACGAATGTGGTTTGTGTATCATCAGACCGCCTAAAGCTATGCGCTCCTAATTCGGTAATCCTTACTTTTAGGACCCCGTTCCTATAAGGTTAAAAGACTCACCAAAACAGCTGACTAAATGACACTCAAACATGTCAAAAGTGACATTCTGATGTTTCTTGACACATTTGAACAGTTGGCAATGACACCTTCTTTAATATCACTATCAGCAGGTTTAATTTTGTTTAAAGAGGGCAGGGATTTGATTTATGAGGGGTTAAAGACGACGATGACAAACAGAAAATATATTTAAAAAGCAAGATGGCAAACTGCAAAAAAAGGCAGGAAAGTCACATTTTCTTTGAAAGTGCTTTCAAAATGACAACTAACATGAGTTTATCTGAGGAAAAAAAGACTGCTTTAGCCTGCAAAAGTAACTTCGGTACTGGACAGTCACCTGCAAAAGTCAGTTTTGAACAGAACCCCTAAAAATAGAGGTGTCCTAAAGATTAAGGTTTACCCCTAATTTAGACCCGTGAACGTGGCGTTGTATAGAACGCCTCGTTCTTGTGTCATTTCAAACCTGGCGAAATCGATCCGATAATTCCGTATGGGTGTTGAGTACTCACCTAGAAATCTAAATTTGCCCGTCCGATTGTTTAGGCTGTGTAATTTCGACGAAATTTGCCCATCAGTAAAGACCCATACGAACGTGTAGAAATTAGATTTTAACCTGACCCTGACAAATAACCCCGGACGCGTCCGAGTCGCTTGGACAGATTGACGGCTGTTTCATGTCGCAACCCTGAAAAAAAAACACCCCGCAGACGATTGGCTGCTCGGCTCAACTCGTGTACAGTACGTGTGCGCACACACACGCGGGCGCACGTGCGACCGCGTGCGGTGCGGTGAGAGAGGAAAGGACTTGAAACTTGTCTAAAACGATGTCTGTTTTAGCTGCGACAGTAAACAGCCGTCGAATCATACGAAATTAAAATGCAATGCGCATGCGTCAGTTGGGAGAAAATGGCAGCTAGCAGTAGCGGACGGACTTCATGAACCGGGGCCAGAATTTTCCTCAATTTTCGTCAAATGCAAGTTTTGACATACAAATAGAATTCAAGACAGCTTCATATGTGAGTACTTATTACATGGGCAAAATAAAGTCCAGTGTGTGTAACGGAGGGAGTCAGAGGGACACGTTCGCCAGGTTCGAAAATACACAACAGCGTGGCGTAGTTTACAAGCCACGTTCACGGGTCTACCCCTAATTCTACGCACTCGTGTTTAACATATATTTTGCAATGCGTGCTTCCTAAAAATGACGTACTTTCACTCGGATCGTATCCTTCGAAGCACAAACTTTAACCAGCATGACCAGCACTATTTAACAGCCAAAAAAATGTGGAAAGTGAAGGTTTTACCGGGATTTCAGGGCAAAAATGAAAAAAAATCTGCTTTTTACAGCTAATTACAGTCGTTTTCCTAGTTCCGGATTTTTCCTAGTTCCGGACAGGGCTCGATTTACCTGGGTGCACGCATGCACCAGTGCATGTAGATTTTTGCTTGTGCGCGTAGCTTTTTACTGAGCATGCACGACGTGCATGTAACTTTTTTAACCACCAAAATACTCATTTCATGCATCTATTTACTATTTACAAATGAGTGAGAATAAGAATAAAGTTTGTTGAATACTTGACCAGATAGTGTACAAACGTGTTGTTTCTTTTATATATCCATAAATTATTCCTCACAGCAGATTCAGAGTACGCGGTAAAATTTGGAGATCCCGACGTTCTGCAACCTCCTCCGATCATGCATGTGATTTACCACGTGATACATGCTGCGGATAATTTGGTATTGCACTGACGCTCCGGCATTCCTTATGTCCGGATCGTAAGTGCGATTCCAAATTATTAGCTGCGTTTATCACGTGGTCTTGTTATTGGCCAATCGGACGCCGCCTATCATATGCGCCACATGAAGCAGACGGGTAGCTCGGAGGGCTCTGATAATTTTGCACGCAAATGACCCTGGGTAACTTGTGTCACTTGTCGGGTTAAAATCTAATTTCTACACGTTCGTATGGGTCTTCATCGACGGCAAATTTCGTCGAAATGACACATACTGAACACGCGGGAAGGCAAATTTAGCTTTTTATGTGAGTACTCAACATGTGTACGAAATTATGTATGGCGGATCAATTTCGCCATGTTCAAAATGCCACAACAGTGTGGCGTTGTATACAACGCCACGTTCACGGGTGTGCTGTCCGTAGAAAGTTCGATAAATCAAAGAGAAAGAATGCCTTCAGAGAAGCAGACGGGTGTAAGTCAATTATGGTGCATGTGGGTTTTTTCTTGGCGCATGTAGGTTTTTTGGTCTACATGCCGCGCGCCGCGCAGGGGCCAATTTAGAAGATATGATGAAAATGCAGTAACCAGTCTGTGCATGGCTAGCGCTAGCATGGCTATGCATTGCAGGCAGTGGTGCACTGTCAACTGGTCGAGAAAGAACATTTTTGCAAGTTAATTCACACAATTGATCTAGCCTGTCTGTGTACAGTGTGTATGTATTTTCTGTGTTCAAGAGTTCATTTTGAAATTGCATTGACTACTCGTATTTGGAGTGATACATGCAGCGTGTTTCCCGAAATATTCGACCGTAAAAACGAGGTCTACGTCTGCGTGCCGCGCGCCACACATGCACAGTGCATCATACACTTCGGAGTTTTGGCCAGCTTCCCGTCTTGACTAGCGTTGTGCATATGGTGCAAACAACCTGAATTTTCCATGATTTTTTAAGAATTATTGTACGTAAATATATTGACAATAATTAAGGTAGGTTTTATTCACTTTTTGTGGCCATTTTGTGTATAGCTTTCGTAAGTGTAATGGAAATAGTTCAGGCTAAAACTCAGTTCAGGCTACCCCATTCAATCTGTATAAACAAAATTTGCCAAAAAAAAAGTTTCTACCGACCGACCCTATTTTTGAAAGGCATGTAATCGGAAGCAGATGTACAGGGTGTTTCAATAAAAAGGAAACCCAACTTTGGAGAACCAGTATGGACAGACTAAACGTTTACTGGCTATAAAACTGTTGTCATCTGAAAGCGTAATCTCTATGCTTTTCAATGATACCATGTTTACATTTCCAGGGTCATGCATCACTGAGCGCCACTGTCATGAGATTTCGATGCAAAATTGCAGTTGGTTCACTTTCATGTCAAACACAATAGGCAAGGTGTGCATGAGAATAAGTATTCAAGAAGAAGACACGAGTGCATAAAAAGAAACCAAAAAACAAGTCGGGTTGGTTTCAAAACTGGATTTTATTGTTTGTCATGAATTTCTCGTTTTGACCAAGCCAGTTCAAAACAATGTGCCATTTTCCCGAGGATTAACATTCAAGCCATTTCACAGACATTTTCGTAACAATAGGCACACCTTGCCCAGTGTTTTTTTTTTTTAAATGAAAGTGAACCAACTGCATTTTTGCATCCAGTTTTCAAGACAATAATGCTCACTGATGCATGACTCAGAAAATCTAAACATAGTATCATTGAAAAGCATAGAGATTACGCTTTCAGATGATACCAGTTTTATAGCCAGTAAACCTATCGTCTGTCCATGCTCATTCTTTGAAGTTGGGTTTCCTTTTTTTTGAAACACCCTGTATTTGTTATTTTCGTACTTAAAGTAGTGACACACAATGATCTCCACAATAACTCGCTGTAAACCTCCAAAAGATCACTTTGTACACATCTCATTGCAAATTTAAAGCCTTGAAATAAGACTAGTAATTTGTCGCTGCACCGATATAGGGCTTCATGATGCGGGGCAGTTGATGCGTGCATTGCATCATGCATTCTGCGCGGCTGCTAACTTTAGTGTGTCGTTTGGTACGTATTTTCAAACAACTTTCGACATTACCGTTATTTTCTGAATATAAGCCGTGCGGAGTATAAGCCGCAGCAAGCACAAATCTGCAATTTAAGATTTGAAGTCGGCGTATAAGCCGCACCGGCGTATAAGTCGCACCGACCGCAGCAGTTTCAATGTTGTAAGACCTCCAAATTCTAGTCAAAATGCTCTGAACCAGTTACATTTACACTACGAAAGTTATAAAAAGGGCCACAAAAGTTACATCAAATCATTTACAGTCGATACTCTTACAAACAAATATGGAAATTGATGATACAAAATAAACACCAGGAATTGCTGCCGGCTGGCCCCTCCGGTCCCCGGCCTAAAACTTAGTCATGTTAGTGCATGGCCCAGCAGCCTGCGCCAGCGAATGACAACATTTTCCTGCAGCACTTGAGAGAGTATGCAACCCACCCATGTGTCGTCTGACTGGAGCGCTACAAATCTTGCTTTATGGCAACAGATGCTGATTTGTTTTGTCCTAAGAATAAAAAGGTCCGTTTTTACAACAAAACTTATCAAATTGTTGTGATTACTAACAAGTAGTAACGTCAAAAATTCAAGTTTTTGATCGTACTTTCTTCAAAAACAGTCGACATGATGCATGAATTTTTATGGACGAATCCATTAATTTATTTAGGGGTGATTTAGCCCCCGTTTTGAGTTTAACATCGTTTCTTGAATACATTTCAAGAAAAAAAAATTATATTGTGACGTTGAACAACTGATTATCGAATAAAGAAATGTTTTGAACTCCATAAAAAGTATTAGTTGTGTGTGTTTTTTTTTTTACAGCTAAAATATTGGTAATTATTGTTCCCAAGAAAGTACACCCCTTTTATTACCACAAATAGTGTGGTCCATGGGGAAGGCATGCAGCATGGCATGCAGCAATCACGTACAGCCGGTTGTCGAAGACAGCTTTCACTCATGCATGGTCGGCCGGCCTGCCGTACTTTTTACCGCTTGGTATATTTTGGTGGGACGTACTTTCGGTTTGTTAATGACTTTCTTAATTGATAATTAATTTCAGCAACAGATCTTTTCTTATACCAGAACACTAAAATACACATTTGAATCTGGCCCTGGACCCCACGTTGTATGGGCTTCGCGCTCGTAGGTTCAGCTATTTTCAGCTATTTTTTTGTTAGAGCTCCACTCACACCCCTGTAATATACAAAATCCGAGGTGACGTCATGATGATGTCATCACCTGATTTTGTTGATTAATTTTTAAACTTTTACATTTTCTTCTACTAGCAAAAAATGACAAAGTGCAATCTGATTGACTTCAAACTAGGCAATGACCCTTAGAAGGTTAGGTTAGTCCTAGACAAGTGATGTTATGATGACGTCATCAATGGTCTACTTATGACAACATCTTACAGTTGTATATTTTAAATTTTATTCCAAAATAACAACACGTCGGATCGGGTTGGAACTTGATATACATTGACAGAGACGTGTTACAGAAAAAAACTGGAGTGATGTCATGATGATGTCATCATGGGTCATGAGACGTCATCTTAAAGATGCATATTTTAAAAGTCCTATATTTGGAGAACTTACATGTGGATTGATGTTCTTACATATCTTACCTGACTGATGGATGTCACACATTTTTGCTCAATTCTGTGCACTTGAAAATTCCAAACAATGACCAACATGTATAATCTTAAACGAAAAAAAAATGAAGCCCTATATCAAAAAATGGGGGGGGGGGGGGTGTTGTACATTTGTACGGTAGTCCTTACATTCATGCTGATTCATTTCCTGTACATAAAATTATCTTCTGAATTTTTCATCTTTAATCTTTGATCTCACACTTTTGTAGCCATAAAGAGGTGTCATATGATTATGAAGTATGGTCAAATCTGTATATTATGTATGGTAATCTGACCTTGTGAATGGGCCATTACCGTTGTACATGTAAAATGTATGGTACAGTAGATAAGGAGTATTAAACTGTGGTATGGTGTTAGTAATATTGTCATTGGCTAAGGGTTGGCTCTAAGACTAAAAAAATCGTTAGAATTAGACTGAAGAGCATTTGTATAAATTTATTTTCTTAATACAGTGTGTCCTGAAAAAAAAACCCAACCTGGAGTTTTGGGGCAATTTGCTCAATAACTAATAAACATTTTTCATAAGTGTCCACTTAACTGTGACAGCGCCAGACTCTAATATTTATTTTTTTTGGGGGGGGGGGGGGGGACAGTCAAAATAAAATCTTAAGCCTGTGTACGCGTGCGCGTGCCTATTGTCAATGGTCTGGAAATAAACAACTAGAGCAACTTAGAAGTGTAATCGGTATCAAACCGCAGAATGGTGTATAACAAATGTATAACAAATGTACAAAGATGTTGGCTGCACACTATCTATGGCTGTATAAATGCATGTGTGGCGTGTTTTGTCTAGAGTACCAATGTTTATAATGCTTTCATTGGCCCAAAATGTGTCCACATTTTATGAATCTTAACAGCGAAGAAAATAAACAGAATTAATCTGTTTGTTGATTTGTTGATAATATGTTGGGGGGGGGGCAAATTTCCAACTAACTCATCTACCGTATGTATAAACAATAAATTGTATAAATTGCTGAGCTTTTTCAAATATTTTTTATTTGTTTTTAACCTTTAAATTATATTTGTTGAACAAAACGTGGCAAAATTCAAAGATATGTGAAAAATCAGAAATGTGATTTTTATAACACATTTAAGACAAGGTCCAATCATCATGAAACTTGCTGAGTACATAGAATATGTTGCCAATATACAAAATGGAAAGTAACATGATGATGTCATCAATTGAATTTTTGTTATAACCCATGCAGATTTACTACTGAGGACAGCTACATACAAGGTGTGCAGTCATGTCGCTGAGGCAGCGTGATAGTCTTTCTTCCAACTGCTTGTTAATCTGTGCATTGGTAACCCTTGTCTGGATGTCAGATCTCTGTGTAGCAGGTAAAAATACGTGTTCCTTTTTAGGCAAAAAAAAAAGCTTGCCCCAAAAGTGTTGCGGCGACCAACATTTTTTTTTTCCCCGACTTTTTTTTCTTCAAATGTCGGCTGATGTTGCAGATGATGCTTCAATCCCCTTAAAACTCTAAAGGCCTTCCAGGTGGAGCTTGAGGTGACCTCATTAAGGCCATAAGGCTTGAGGATTCTGCACCCACTTACGATCTTGACCGACACAAACATTCTCTTGGGGAAATTTGGATAGTCAAGAAAAATCAGTGAAAATGGTAACGTCAGACCATGCAGCAACATCGACATCGTGCCTGTGCTGTCAGGCTGGTCATTAGTCTGCTCCCTTACACGTTGCGCTAATTAAAAAGCTTTTACAGGTTCCAGATATACGACCATCGCTTCCACACACACACGTCTGGCTTCCAAACACACAATCACAAAAATACAACACCGTCTGCAAGTTGTGCCCGACTATTCTGTGCAAAATATATGGGAGCCCAGAGAAGCCACATTAAGCTTGTAATCGATCCTTACCCCATCTAAAAACACGGTTTAAATTGTGCAGCAGCACGATTCAGTCGAACCAGTGAGTTTGGCGGTTTTGAGACATCATCTTACATTAAAAAATGTTTTTTTAATTTTTCCGACATGCATGGCTACAGGGATGCGCGTGCATACCAAAAACCAAAACCTTTTGGGGGGGGGGGGGGGGGCCTTATCTGTACATTTCTTGTTTTGATTAAATACTAGCAAATACAATATTTTTGCCCCATTCAGTTGTAAAAAAATGTATATCATGTACATAATGCAAACATATGAGGAATAATGATGCAGTCATCTGTCACCAATAAGAACTTGGTTTAAGTTGTGTTCCCATGCGACTTTTTGTTTCTTTCAACTCAGGTAATCTCATTGTGACTCGCCTGTAAAACTACTGTAGTTGCACTTAAATTGTTCATAACTTAACAGGTCGGTCCCCCTTGGACTTATTTTATGATTTTTCTGAAATTGATCAGTGGTTCAAAATAAATCCAATGGGAACACACCTCGAGATGGAATTCTGGTTAGGGCGAACCTAAAGCCTGCCGCACACGAGAGCTATCTGCTGAGCAAAAAGTCATTCCTGGCCATTTGCTCAGTATGCAGCTGCGTTTTGCTGCGTTTTCTGCCTCACTAGGCTGTGAGGCAATTATCTGTCATGTTTAATTTTTTTTTCTCCTCGCGAGGCAAAAAACTCAACGTGTGCGGGCAACTTGTGCTACGTGCTGACTGCTGAGCCCAAAAAAATTAACTAGCCAATGAAAGCACATATTCTGTTAACGTGATTTCAAAATGGCGCCCCCAACGTAAGTTCGGCAACTTTATTTTAGGGACAAGCTGGTTTCTGGCCAGATTATCCTCGTTTGTCGGTCACATGATTTCAAATATAGGGACAAACGCCAGCAGACTTGAAAAGAATTTGCAAAACAACTGGACCAGACCTTCAAATGCTGCTGGGACTTATCCCAATTTTGAAAACGGGTGACCGAACATTGTTCGAGAGGCAAAACAAATTAAACAGGACAGATGTTTGCCTCATGGCCTCGTGAGGCAGAAAACACAGCAAAAATTGACTGCACACGGTGAGCTGTGTGCTGAGCAAATGGCCACGAATGAATTATTGCTCAGGGCTGAAAGGTAGTGTATATCGTTTGCAGATATCCAAAAAGCAACTGACCATTTAAAAAAATTTTTTTTTAACATACTTGGTTAAAAGCAATCATTGACACGACGCACATGCGAGCACGGTTTCTAAAATTTGTCGGTCAGTGCGTGACATAGCGTAGCTGCAGTCAGCTGAATGAGAACGTGTCCCGGACGCTGATTTCAGGTGCAATTCAAATCACGGCTTGGCAACTTTTGAATTGAAATTGAGATCCATGAATATTGTTTTCTCAGAATATACAACATTCACTGAGCTAAAACTTTATCAAGTTAGTTGTTAAGCACCTTTCTCTAGATTTTGAGCACTTTTGTTGCTTCAAACGAAACAAAATGCACAAATGATAACTGATATACCTTTAAACCATTAGACCTAACCAAATAGTGCACATTCTTTAATAATGGAAAATACTTGCTCAATGTTCTTATGCTGTTGAATTTACAGTTCAGCCTCCAGTGATCACCAGAGAACTACAATCTGAGTTTGGTATTGAGGGAGGTGTCATAGTATTTGTATGCCAGGCATCAGGTGATCCTGAACCATCGTTCCGCTGGGAAAAAGGATCTCGCAATGCCCAAAACACCAGATCTGAAATCTTTCCTATGCCTTCTGGATCTGTTCTGAGGATTGAGCCATTAAGAGATGGTCGTGATGATGCAGAATTTCACTGTATTGCTTCAAACATCGCTGGAACAGCAAGAAGCACTGCAAGGCTCCAGGTTTATACAAGTAAGAGACATTTAGAATGCCATATACAATGAAATTTGACCACTGGGCATGCTGGCTACAATAATATCAGAATTGGTTTTTCCACAAACTTTAACAGCTATATTTTTCTATTCTTATTTTTTGTTCCTTCCTCCTCCCCCCCCCCCCTTTTTTTGGGTATATCCCAAATGCCATAAACTTTTGTTCAATATTTTTCTGTATGGCACTTTTGTTAAAAAACTCTTGATCAAACTTTGTACACGGAAAGACCATAGGGACAATTCCATGGTAACTCGCTATATTTGGAAGGGGTTTTCTGTCAACTATGTGCTTTTATTCTGTAGAGTTAAAGCATCTAGGGTGGATTTTTTTTACAGAAGATCCCTAGAGGTGAAAGGACTAAAATGCAAAACAGAAAATTGGCCAACAGAATAAAGTTCTGTTGGCTTGGCAATAAGTGTTTCATCGGTAACTCACGTTACCAGAAAAGAATGTGGCAAACATTTTCATACCATGCATTTTGAAAGTTTCTTCCAACTGTGCACTGATAAAAAAAATGTGTGTTTTTTGGTGCCCAGTTAAAAAGGTGCAAGTCATGTGTTCTCGAAATCACTCATATTTTCTGATCATTCAAAATCTTTCTCCAGCCATTCCTTTGCTAAGTTCATGGTTTCATTCTACTATTAAAATTACCGTCCGTCTGTTTCTACCATTTGGTGACATTTTGGTGACATTTTGGTTGGTTGTCGGTACTTGCTCACTCCAATGACGAGGCTATTTACCCCTGCCGTTCGAGTGAGGCTTCACACAGGCTGCAAGTAGCTCACGCCTTACTGAATGAGCGAGGCTTCGCACAGGCTGCAAGCTGCTTGATCCCTACGTTACTATATATACAGCCATTAGCGTGAGGCTTCACACGGCCCGCAAGTAGCTCACGTCTTAGCGAGCGAGTGAGGCTTTGCATGGGCTGCAAGTTGCTCCCTTCCTATGCTCCTACTTTACGGCCATAAGCCTAAGGCTTCGCACAGGCTGCAAGTAGCTCATGATGCCTCATGCCATATGGAACGGGTGAGGCTTCGCATAGGTTGCAAGGTGCTCAGTTCCTACGCTACAACTGACCGGCCGCTACACAGTGGTTTAAAATCATATGTGACCCAGACATCAGTATATATTCCAGGACAGTAAATGGTCAAATGTCCTATAAAATACATCAAGCATGTTTAAATACCATCTCTTGGTATAGAAAACTAGGTTGGCGATTATCTAAAAACCTAACTCACTGAAATTGTCAAAAACCAGAGCTAAATTAGGGTACTATTTATCAATGGCGCCCTCTTGTGACAATTTTTGCATTAACATTTATTACGTGTCCGTCACTTCTCACCGTACCGGCACGGAAGCCAAACATTCTCTTTTTTTGTTAGTTTTGGATTTAGTATGTTAAATAAGAGAATAAATGTGTGTTGGGGCACTTCGGGAGGTATTATAACACTCTGTTTAAGACCAGTGGGAGTCTGTATGGGTGATAATTACCCAAGGCGATGCGTGCGCATATCAGAAATCGTAGCCTTGTTTTTTTGGCCTTACCTGCAGTTTCACTTTTTCACCATCACATGGTGTGACGTTTCAGGCGAGTTACTCTGCTACATTGTAAGCACTGTCGATTTCGGAATTTTTAATAATCGATATATCAGAAATCCCATATCGAGAATATTCGATATATCGATTGTACGATGTAAAAGTTAACGATTCAAAAGTTAAAAACAAAAAACAAAACAAATGTTAAGTTCCAATTTTCCACAGTCTTCTCTCGAGCATGTTGCTCAAACATTTTAAAACAAATGTCATCACTAAGAGTTTTGTCCAGAATGGGCAGTTTCTTTTGAGGTTTTACATTGGGGAGACCGTGAATTCCAGCGAACGCAGAGCACAAAGCGACGCCGCTTGGCATTTTGCCATGTTTTTACTGTGAGTCACAAGCACATGTTGACGCCGAGTTTTATTTCATTATACAGCAAATGTTAAACTCAAAGCACAAACAGGAGATTATTTTGACGATAATTTGACACATTTTCGATGTGATTCCTCAATATCGAAATTTTCGATATTTCGGTATGATTAAAAAATTGCTATCGGCAATATCGATATCAAAATAATATCGAATAATCGAGTAATATCGATATATCGATGGTGCTTTACTTTGCTCTGCTAGTTAATAGAGCAACCCCCAGCGATCCGTCCGTCCTTCCCGTTGAGTCGTGCTGATCATAACCCACATGTGGGGTGATAGTCCTTTCAGAACATCACCCCATTTGTGAAACCTATAGAAAAACATCACCCCGGATGTGAAATCTTTAGAAAAGGGATAAAAGGAACACAAAGCCATCACCCCACACTTTTCTTTCTCGTTGAGTCGTCAGCCCGGGCATCCAGAAACCATTAAAGGTTAATGGTTTCTGGATGATAACTTGACTCCGGCTGAGGGGTTTCAACAGCAACACTGTTATTTTTTATTCACCTTTTTTTTGGGGGGGGGGGGTTAGATTTAGTACTAAATGATCCATTGGTTTGGTGAACAGTAGGGTACATTGTCCACATTGTTTTCTCTGTGTTTTTATGTGTGCATGAATTGTTACAATGTGTCATACTTTTTCTTCCCTAGGTACACGTATACCTGCTGGTTTTCCAGTGATCACAAGAGACCCGGTGCTTGATGTTGTAGAAAAGGGCTTTCCAATATTACTTCACTGTGAGGCTGAAGGCAACCCAGACCCAGAAATCATCTGGTTCAAAGAATACATACCTGTTGATCTCAGCACAGAGCGAGTCAAGCTTACATCATGTAAGTAAAAAGATAACGGTGAATAATGCCAGCATCTCTCAAATAAAAGCTCACTTCCGTTTGATCAGTCACAGGCAGTTTGGTCAGTCACAGTCAGTCAAAAATATCTTTAAAAAAAAACAGTCAGAACACATCTGTGTAAACACTGTGACTAGTCAAATTCCATCAAAAGACAAAGGCTATGTAGGCGATACTGAATTTGCCAGCCAGAGAGGGAGGGTTTGGAAGGAAATTTAGACTGTATACATGGATAGTCAAGTAAAGGCAATTTGCCACCTTGTTCTGTACATTGTGTGGGTATCAGTGTGCACAGACTGCACCAGTGGCAGCTGTTGGCAAACTTTTATAAAGTTCTTGTCATCCCAATGTAGTTGAGAAAATGTGAAGCATTTTCCAGAAATTGAAAATGTTCAGAATAAAGTATGTAAGTTTGGATGCCAAACTTTATGTTCTAAATGTTCAAATGCTCGGTATAGTGGTTTTCGTTACGGTGGCAATGCATTTAACTGATAAAGTCTTGAAAGTCATAGAATGGATGTAACAACAAATTCATGAACATCAATAGACCGATCCGTTAAGCCCTGCCCCATGGTGTTTTGACTAATCACAGCCGTGATTTATGTCCGACATTTGTGCACAAAAGTCTGACATGCGTACATGCGTGTGGCTGGAACATGCAGTGATGCATTGGAGAGGAGCTTGTGTCAATTGCCTACGTGTGTAGTGGGGAAGGGCTTACTGGATTAGTGTATTGAATGAGAGAGACTTTTTTTGTACAAATGTAATGCACGCATGTTGAGACCATTAGATCATTTGCTTGTCCTTCAGTTGCCCTGGTGATGGTACCATTTTGTTGATTCAGAAGGGAAATATGTGTACTGATGGCTAAATAACTGAAGCTCAGTTTTTCTCACTGTTAATTTTGTATCAGTTTGAGATGCCAATTCACAGTCGGAACCAAAAGTTTGTATCTGTCACAAAGTGTTTGTTATCAAACAAACCTGATATTCTTTGATTCGGGGTTGAAAAAAAATCTGAATGGTTATTATATTATTCTTGCAGTACACATTTTTCCTAGTGAAGTACTGGTACACACTTTGTCCATTTTTGGTTGCGTCACAGAACAAGTCATCTTGCTTTCAATGAATCCGTTTGGTACATGTAGTATGTATATCTGTATTGTATACCTTGTTATTTTTATTGGGACACTAAGCAATACAGTATTTGATTAGATTCACTGTTTTGTTTTCCCTCCTTTTGATTGTGCTTACCATTGGCTGTCAGCAGGCATCTGCCAAAACAGAAATGGCTCTTTGTCTGCCCATACTCAAACCCCTAGTCCTGCACTGAACTCTAGTTTCACTACATATACATCTGATGCAGAGTCTCTTACAAACTCCAGTAGACATACCCCTGTTTTTACTGCTGGAGCGACAACAGCCCCTTTAACTGAAACCCCATTTGACTATAGCAGTGACCCTACCTCGAGTGTTATGTCCAGTGAGCCTAGCCATAGTTCGTCTGTCCTTGTCCCTGTTACCTCAACTTCTTCAACCATGGCTGGTTTTCATGTCACCCATGTGTATGGTGAGATTTACATTTTCTTCGTCAGATACATGTGCGTTTGATGATGTATTGTATGTGCATGTACCGGTATGTGTGTTTATACATGTACATCTTGTACACTTTCTTCTCCTAAATATTCATCTGCTGAAAAAAACACCAATATTTTATAATTTGTCATGTACGGTAGTCCTCAATATAGATGACAGACCTAAGGGGCCATTCAAAATTTTTGATGTATTTAAATTTCAATTTTTTTTTCTCGAAAATGTGGGTGGGTGGTTCAAATTAATTTATTTAAAAAAATTTTAATCGAAAATTCACTTTTTTTCAATTAAAAAGATAGAAAATAGCTCTTTTGACTTGCCAATTCAACTCTCTGCATTCTGATTCGTAAACCCTTTGCCCGTACCGTACGAGTACAGTATGCATCCAGTACATGTACAATGTACCTTGTATTGTGTATACGTCCATTGGAGCACCATATGCATGGGGACCAGTGAAGTTAGACTTAAAGCATGCATAAAATCAGTGCGCCGTGCAAATGGGGCGGGATACCAGGTTTATTTTGTCTTAATACACGCCACGAGGGTCGGTTACGAATCGCGACAACGAAATAAACCTACTTGTGTTCAAGACTACTTGGGCAACCTGCATGCATGCGCATGGTATCTGCGTGCAATGAACATGGCAACGCCCACACGTCTGGAAAGTGCGCGTTGAGACTGAGTTAAAAAAAAAATTCTATCAAAAATGACTGAAATTTCTAAATAAACTTCACAAATAATGGGAGTCATTACACCTCTTTAAGCCAAGACAAAAGTTACCTTTTTTTGTTAGAGCGAGCTGATACTTATTATTACTGTTTAAATTGGGCTAGTTTTACGTGTTTCCAGGTGGATTCCCTATACGTACGGGAATGCCAGTGGGCCGTGTTGTTGGTAAGGTACTGTATACGGACTGCAGCTGCATTCCGCCGTCACTGAACTGGATATTTGTTATATTTTTTATTGAATGGAGAATCAATATTTTAAGATCGAAAATTGGGGTGGGTGGGTGAGTGGGTGGGTGGGTGGATGGGTCAAAACAATTTGGAAAAAAAAAAATCGAAATTTTAAAACATCAAAAATTTTGAATGGCCCCTAAAACACAATGATGTTATGCAGTAAATTTGTAAAAGTTTTTATTGAAGTACATGTTACATAACCAGTATTTAACTAAATGAGACTGAAGCTCATTAAGCAAGGAAGTCTTTGAGGAATTTGGGACAAAACTCATGTGTGCCATGCCTGCATGGTATACATGATGACATACACATTCATGACATACACATGATTTACAGTATGAACCCTCCATTATCGCCTTTACAGGGTTTAAATTATTTGAAGAGTCATATGCCCAGTGTTTGTTATTTTTGACACCAAAAAATGGTACTGTTACGCAATTAACATGCACAACTTTGATTAAAGAATCAGTTAATTGTACATGCCAAGAAAAACAACCTCGTAACCTGGACAGTGGACTGTCCCATGTACCGGTAGCTCATATAAACACTGCATGACGTCATTATGTTTCAGGTCCATTTTTTGTCTGATGTACCAGTGCAAAAGATACTGAACTTTGATTTTTAACAAGGCTGCCTGTTTATAGACAGAGACAAAAATCAAGTGAGTTCTGTAACTTTTGTTGTAATTAATTTAAAAAGGATTGATTGCAGCTGAAGTTACAGAACTCACATGAAGAACTATGTGGCCCTCAAATGTTAATGGAACAACAGGATGTTTATAATTTACTTGGACTGAATGTAAAATGAAGTGGCAATGAATTGCATGAAACATTATTCTTACGTTTTATGTTTAGATGCCAGTAAGGCCGTATTTTGTGTTTTGTTTTTGTTTTTGTTTATGTGGATTACGGATTTTTGGGTCCCAGGTCGGGCTGAGGGCGGGGGAAAAATATCCAAACGTGTGGGGGCGCCCTTTACAGCGTGCCTATAATGGTGCACCCAGCATTCGGTCATGGTATTTGGCCACGAAAGTGCTCAAACCAAATGTCGTTATTCAGTTTTACTGCACGAAACTTATCAAAATGAAGGGTCGGTTGGTCTTTAATGTGGTATGTAGCTGTGCATCAGTGCCAGTCTTTGCATACATATACATGTATTTCCACTAAGAAATGTTTTTAATTAATTTTAAAGATAGATTATGTCCTAAGAACTACTTTTTATACCTGCATCAGGGCTCAAAATTAGCGGGAGCAAGTGGCTACAATGCGCCCGTAAATCTCCAAGTAATGTTCTGATGTCAAGAGACTGTTTGTCTCATTTTATTTGCACCACGAAGGCTATCGAAACTGACACACAAAAACTTGCCTTAATTACTACAGAAATATATTTAAGGTTGATGATTCTTAAGAAAAGCAGAGAATTTCAGTCATGCACACCAACATTCTCAACGTTACTCACAAGTCACAACGGCTGCTGGCCAACTCCAGCAGTATTGCTCATATCAGAACTGCATTGACTGCATGCAGTCCACTACATGCACTGTGTGTCTACCCCGGGCAATGAAGCACGTGTTACAGCAGAAATTTTGCGGGAGCAGGCAACGCTGTATCACTTAAGTTCAAGCAAAAAAAAACCAGCAAGATAATAACATTAAAATGGAATATTACATACACAGAGAAGAGAGATTACGTTCTGTGAATTTAAGTCGCAGAAAAATTTGTTCTTTGTCGATATTGGTTTGGCATTTTTGCAATGCCAATTTCAACCTGTCGGGCTATGTATGGCCGTTGACTGGTTCCCGTCCTCAACTTTGGATATTGCAGTGCAGGCAGCGGGAACCAGTCTAATATTTCTGCACGCATGATGTATGTGCTTTCACCACTGCAAAGCTTCATGCCAATCGCATCAGCGGAAAAAACAACGGTTTCTTTCCGAAATTAGCGATTGTAAGTAAGCAAATTTGACAAGTAAATACGGATGACAGAAATGTTACAAGCATTTTTGAAGTAAACAGTTATTCAAAAGCGTATTTTTTTAAGACAGAAAAGACACGATTTTTGTGTCTATTGCTGATAAAAAACGGGGACAATCTTGTGACTTTCGTTATGTTCATAACGCCATAGCAATTGTTTTGTTTTGTGTAGAAAGAAAAGACACGATTTTTGTTCCTAACTTGCCGATAAAAACAGGGACGATCCTGTGAGTTTCATAACGCTATAGCAATGATTTCGTTCACAGCAATTCGATTTCGTAGATACATTTTCACAAAGGTTTTTTTTTTTTTTTAAAAATATGTTTATTTTACGTTCATGCAAAATAAAAAAATCTTTGCTGACCCTACGTATGGCCATTTTTTTTTTTACGGTCGGTCGGGTTACTGGAAACACTAAGTACTAGTCTGAAGGCAATATTAAAAAAAACCAAAACAATTTCAATGTTAAAATTTTTTGGGTCATCAAAAGTGGCATTTTTCGGCGGAGTTTTTTAAATATTTTTTTTTTTCGGCGGTGGATCCGTACTCCAAGTAATTGAAAAAAGGCCTAAATGCATGTAGTGCATGGTATTGGGAATATCATTTGTGTCATTGCACATGTTTAATGTTACACTTTAGGACAAATGAGTAGACAGTCGTCAACACCAGTATTACTAGCGCGACGCTGTGTACTAAGTTTATTATACTATCTTCCATGTATGGTGGGTTTCAATGTGTCTAGGGACTCGGCTGGAAAGATTTCAGATGGATACTCATATGAGTCCAGTGCAATGCATGTGCATTATGTTTTCATGGTAGTTTCCACCTTTTCAGGACCATCTCATTGCTGGGGGGGGGGGGGGGGAGGGCCGGAGGGGGAAGGGGGGAGGTGTTGGGTCCTGCCCAAGTTAAATGAAATTTGGCATGCATGTAGAACATTTTAATCTCGACATTCATGTATTCACAAAATTTAGCTTTCATAAAACAACATAGTTTTAATGATTGAATTTGGACTTTAGCACACTGTGGGGGGAATGCGATTTTCATGGTGCACTGTACAGCCTCAAGTAATGTCGCACAGTGCAGTGTCATTTGCAGCATGTTAAGGGAACAATATATTGGGTCATTCACCGGGGTGGGACACAATGTGTGACATATGACCATATTGTGAAAAGTATGAATGCCTTGCTTGCAGTTGCTCTAAATAATATTGGGTGTTGGGTGTTCCACTGGTGCAGAAAGTTTCAAATCATTTCAGTGTATTTTGCCAAAAATATGAGCAAAAATGTCATTCAGACGTAACATTGACACTGTGTCAATGTTACATTCAAAAATTTTATTTGTACCAATTTTTTTTAAATTGCTGTAAAACTTTACCCAAATTCACTTTATGTACTTATTACACTACATGCAACACACTAAGAAAAGCTTTTGTTGTGGTAGTCAGGTATCAAATGGAGTAGAAATGATACCTTGGTTGTGGATGTAACATGGACACCGTGTCCAACCCCAAATGTCACACTTCCATTGGGTGATTTGGACACCGTTACGTCAACATTAAGCTTTCGTTTCTGTTACATTTTGACTATACCAAAACAAAAGCTTTTCTTGGAGCATTAGGTGTCCTGTTATATATGCAATGTCAGTTTTGGTAATATTTTACATATATGTGTAAAAAATGGCAAATTTTTTTTGGATGTAACAATGGCACGGTGTCCATGCTACGTCCGAATAATACATTTTTGCTATTTTTTTCGAAGTACATTCAAATGATTACAAACTTTCTCAAGTATTGAAACTCTCTAAGACAACTATTATGTTGAGCAATTGTTTAGAATGCATTGATACTTTTAAGAATACAGTAAACTCCAGCCAAGTCGACATCGTGTAATTCGTCATATTGCTTAAATCGGCCGTCTGACGAAAGTCCCGGTCGTCTCTAATGCAGTTCCATTGAAATTCATTTCTAAGTCGGCCTTTGTAAGTCGCTGCTTCGCCTAAGTCGGCGTGTTTTTTCGGTCCCATTTCCTCAAAACCACAACAATTCCTCTGTATAAGTTGGCATCCAAAAAAATACTACCGAGTGCGTGGTACGTACATGTACCAAAAGTGCGGACGGCCGCCGGCGGCCGGCCATGCGTGAGTGAAAGCTGTCTTCGTTGGTGTCTGTACCGTCACATTGATGCATGCATGCACCATGCGCACCATGCGCACTTGTGGACCACACCATTTGTGGTAATAAAGGGGGGTACTTTCTTGGGAACAAGTTCTAAAGACAAGATCAGAAATTTGATTTTTGAACAGGACAGCATCCGCATGAAAAAAAAATACGGAAAATTCTTTGCGAAAAGTTCGCCAATTCTGTACCGCAACTGTTTTGGGTTTTTCCAGCCAATTTCACAAAGATTTCACCTGGCTCGTTCAGTTTAAATTGAAATTGAAAGATCACGCAGATTGTCATTCGACATTCAAAAAGGAATCATCCATTTCATTATCCGAGTATTCTATCGTCTTTCAGCTTCACTCGTCTGTGTAAACATGTTGATTGGGCATTCATTTTCATTAATGGGCAAACATTTTTCATATTTTTTCAAGCATCTTTTAAGACATTCCTGCATTTCCATTTTCCTTGAAAAGTCAGGAGGGGGGGGGGGGGGGGGGTATTGTGGTTTGTCGCATCTTCTGATAGGGGGCACCGTTAAAAGTGAACAATCATGGACACTATCACTCTTCATCCCTGCGAATTTCCCGATGCACACATGGTTTTTCTGACAGGCCGATTGCGCTCCTTTATCAGCAGCCCGATTTCGCTTTCAAAATGTCTTGCCAGTTGTAATCTGCCACTCTGCCCCCCCCCCCCCAGTCAACAAAGTTAGAGGGTTAATAAGCATGTCAACATACAGATGCCCCTTGTAGATTTTTAAAAACATTTAAACAAGTAGAGAAGATCAACAATGAAAAAGAAAATTCTTTAGCCCTTTTCATTTCATTTTTTTGTTACATCAGCTATCCCTCATATCAGTTAATTGTTACATTATAAATGTCACAGAAGCAATGATTTTGAAAAAAATAAACCTCAGAAGGAAATAGGAAAAAATCGTATTAATTTGAATGACCAAACAATGAAAATGATTGCCCATAAACGAATAAGAGAAGAAAAGCATTGTCATACATGTACATCATATGCGCACCGACCTTCGCAAATATCAATGTGTCAACCGTCAAAAGATGCCAAAAACTTATTGTATATGTAAGAATGCTACAAATTAAATGTGGAATGCACCAAAACGGAATAGAATACACCACCACGAAATTGAATGTCCCAAAAAAATGAAATTGAATGCCGCAGCAACGAAAAAGAAACCCCAATTTGAACAGATGTGTAAAAATCCATGAAATTGAATGGCCTTTAATGAAAATGATCAGAAAAATTCAGAAATTGGCCTGGAAAACTATATTAAAAATGGAAGATTTTTTTCTTGCAAAATAGTAGTTATATAATTGAAACCATAACCATTGCAAATCAATACATGCCTTGCGCCACTACATGTACATCACTCTCTACGTGTAAAAGCCCTGTGAAAACAGGTGCCCATTTTAAAATTCGAGTTCATATCATGTTCTGGTGGTACATGTTTATCATACTGTAGGAATAAAAGACTAAAAGTGATTGGTGATGGATTATTTCATTCTCTGGTCTGATGGTTCACTGTGAGCAACCACTTGATGAACAAAAACTGTTTGTAACCAATGCTATGTTCTGTTGAATTCCTTATCCAGTTGAATGTACGCACCGTTACCTTTTTATGTTTTGTTGTGAAGTATCAGAATTATTTGTCAATCTACACTGTACATGACTGTAATTGTTTTCTTTATTTTGCCTGTCCATTGATAAGAGGCAGGTTTCTTTTCCTTGCATTTTTTTAAATAAATGACTGGGACTTGTATTTTTGATTTGGAACTCAAGGTTTTAGGACTCATGTACAAGTGTGGCAGATGAAAGGTGTTGATCTAGCAGTTACAGAAGTTACAATATTACATTTGGCTTTACACTTGAACTTTTGTGCTTGAACAAACCATTGGATATTGGAATAGAAGCTCTGTTGTCCACATAATCACACACTGCAGTCAGTTTAAACAGTTTTGTACTCAAACATGTCAAAGGAGTATTGGTGGGTGATTGTAGACAAAATCGAATGCAGGGAACATTTCTGCCTCAAAACAAATTGTCTCATCAGACCTTTATTGCTACAACTAAATATAAAGGCATGTATGTATTTTGCGAATGAGGAAACCCATTATTTTAGATGTTAATGACCACAGTGGCTTTGCCTCGCCCACTTCGCTAAAAATATACAAACGTTGACAGTCTTGTAAAGTTCTATCATCTTAACACTCAAATGCATGAATTGAGTCATTTGAGTAAGATTATACGAATCACTAACTGGCATGCCAAGTTTCTGCACCATTACATGATGCATGTACCCCAGGTAGACATGTTAAAAAATACTGATTATACATGTATAATGTCTGATGTTTCATGGAGTTATTGTGTTCCCTTTCTCTTATAGGTTGGTAACTGCTTGCTTCTGGAGTATTTTATCATCAGATCACAAACTTCAAAGACATTTGAGCAAAAAATCATTCAAATTATTATTATTTTTTTAAGAATCAAATTAAATTTGTACTTTTTATTCTACACTCAACCATGTATTGATGCAGCCAATAATTGAGCAAGTTTGGTTGGAATTTTGAGGGTGAGACGTCTGCAGTGCATGCACATTATGTTGATACTTTAAGTGAAAGCTTAAGTGACTTGGACTAACCCTCCTACATGTACTGTTTAAACAGTCACAGATAGTTAAAATTCCAACCCACTTCCCTTGCCATGCCTTTTACACAGGCTAGTCACAACCAAACAGACAGTCAGATTGTATTTTAAGACAAAAGCAGGAAACTGTTGGCACAGCTGTCTTATCAATCAGCTACAGTCAAAGCATAGCTGTATCACGTTACATGAATAGTCACTGCCAGTCAATCCTGCTTTATGTAGGCTGGGAGCTCTTAACTGTTGAAAACAGTCACTTGATTTTGACTGAAAGGATACATGTAACTTGGCACAGAATGTATGTTTGCATGGGAGGGCTAATGATGTAATTCTTCAAAGCTGATACATGTAAGATGAACTATTTCAAGTTCAGCTACACTGAATAAATGGAACAGTGTAACCCTCCCCAGTCTGAAGGCTTTATTAAGTTTGTCAAAATTGTGTTACTTTGACATCAGCTCTCAGAACATTGTGTAAAACCAAGACACAACAGCTTGCGTAGTGTTGTTTGTATTAATAATTTGCATATTTCTTTTCATTTGAATTAGCTGGCTTGTCAATAAGTGTGTCAGAGTTTTCTGATCGTGGGAAGTATCAGTGTGCTGCTAGGAATTCTGCAGGTATTCGCTTCTCCAAGACGGCTCTTTTGTATGTTAGAGGTAAGATGTCAGGGTATGGGACTTCTTTTTGTTTGAAAAAGTTTGGCTTTATATGTGAGGATTGAAAACATATGTACATGAAGATTATATCAGAAAATGCATTGGAGACTTTTACAGGTGCATTAACCCTGCTTAATGCAACAGAAAACAACAAAGGTAAAATGTTGTTGCACACTGTTGCATTTAGCAGGCCACTCAAATCCCCCTGCTTTGTTGCATCTTGTTGCATTTAGCAGGGTAACTGCTCATAGTGCCAAGGCGATACAACAGACTCCACTGTTGCATTTGGTTGCATTTAGCAGGCTAACTGCTTGGTGCCAAGGCCGGTATGCACTGGGTTCAATGCACTATGCAACAGAATCCACTGTTGCAGTTTGTTGCATTTAGCAGGGTTCTCATTTGAGTTGAGTTGGATGTTGTTGCCTTTAGCAGGGTACCTGAGGAATACCCGGTGGGGGTTAGTGTTAAGCTTGATGAGGTGAAGATGTCAATCTTACCATGGATAGTAAAATGGAAAGCAAGACAAAAACGCATTGGTCATAGTAGTTTTTCATAAAACTTTACATTTACAGTAGTTCTTTTACTCTACTGCACTCATCTACCTGTAAAGCATAACTACATAAAGACTTTTCCCTTGAGGGTGCTAACCCTTTGCTAAGATTTATTTTCCCTCAGTACTTTGCGGCCCGCCCACCGTGACATTTCCGCTAATAGCATGCGCTACGTGAAACACATTTTTTTCTCTAAATGTCTAAATTGCCTATTATGAGCTCAGTTCTCTGGATTCTACATGCTTCTACTTCTACATGCTTTCATGGATTTTGATGAAACATGGATGCAGTGACCCTTGGGTGGGAAGACACAATTCTTCATCAGATTACTGATATCAAAGGGCATGTATTTTGTTTTTGTAGGGGTCATTAGAGGTCATTGTTCAAATATGCTCAAAATGCATAGCTTTTACATACTTTCACGGATTTTGATGAAACTTGGATGCAGTGACCCTTGGGTGGGAAGACACTATTCTTTGTCAGATTGCTGAGGTCAAAGGTTGTGTAGAGGTCATTTGAGGTCGTTGTTTAAAAAGGAACAAAATTTGACTTTTTGTAAGAACACAAAACATAAAGGGATTGACCGCCGTAAAAGGCGACACATGCGGTCCGCAGACCACTTGTATGAAATTTGTAGTTCAAATAATTAACTCAAAGGGTTTGAAGCTCACCAGCAAAAAGGTTTGACCACAGTACTTCACGAAAGTCGGGGTAAAAGTTGAAGTCGCCGAGTCTCCATATGAACAGTGAAAGAGCAAAATAGTCTGGCTGCAGAGCCTTTAGCCCAGCTCAGCTGTTGTCACTGCAACGAAAAAAAACACGATGTGCTTATTAATTTTGTCTTGGTATTATCAAGCTTACAAAACTTTTACCAATTCCTCAAGGGACAACATCTTTGTAAACCTAATCATCTGTCCAGCGAAGATGATCCATCATTTTAGATTATTCAAAAATAACTCCCATTGATGTTTTTCTCGTCACCTGTTGACGTTCTCGGCACCATTATGACCGGGCTGGGGATGCCATCTTGAGCTTGGTCCAATGCGTTTGGACGCACTCTGGCTCAAATCTGTACGGTTCAACAGTCCTGGCGCCGCTAGATTCCATTTCTATTGACACCATCGTCATCGTTGATGTCTTCCTCAAAGGATGAATACAAACACAGCGCTCTCAGGGGTTTCAAAATGTTTTAGAGTAGCAGGCAGATGGATGAAAGTAAGCGGCAGTGAGTCCCAGCCATTAATGGCGTGAGGTCCGGGGCCCGCCAATTTAGGATTGTAGATGCTCTCTGGTGCAGTCTAGGCATTTCCTGGCATCTGAGATTAGGGTTTCAAAGGTCCTACTTAAAGACATTTCTGTTGATTTTTTTTGAAAATTCAAAACCAAATAAATTTGACACTCTAAAATCATATTATTTTGAACAGAAATTTAATCTGTTCCAAATTCCTGCTTTCAAAATTAAAAATAATTTGTCAAACGATGTCCAATAATACACTGTGTGGGCGATGTCTTAAAAAAGCAACCTCGTAGTGCACCAATGTAAATTTGTTACAATAGTTATTTATATACATTGTAATTTGGATTTAATCTCGATGATCATGTTGAATATTTTATATTGTAAGCAAGCAAATAAGGTTTCAGAACTGAAATACAATATATGTCTATTTGTATTTGTTTACATTATCTGATGTAACCTTGTTGTCTCAAACTATTATTTAGAAATCAAATCACACCTACGGTTTTAGTCTGAATCAGATGAGGTGGATGAACTTGGCTCAACATCATCCATGGGAAGTCCAAGCAGATGGGCTGCAATGTTAATTTCTTCCTTTGTTCTTTCGTCTGTTGCCAAAATGATGTAAGTTTGGGTACTCCGTGTTTCCTGTGTTTTCGGCAGATCTGGCTTTTGGGAAGCAGCCTGTTGATAATGTGGAAAGTGGCTAGCACTTGTTGAGGGATTGGGGAGTTTCTTTCCGTCTTTCTTCTCAAGCCACAACTTCACACATTTTTTTATGAAGTTGCTGCAGGCTTGTGATGTTGAAGGTAGGCCATTGAGACATATGCATCAAAGCATTGAGCATACATGTATCTTCCTTCATGACACTCCTCAGTCTAGTTTTGATTATTTTCATCCTTGATGCACCTCGTTCTGGCCATGCATTTGACACTGGGATAACAAGCAGGGCTTCAACTACACCAATCAACAATGGAAATGACCCCCTGAGAGAAAACTTTTGCCTACGAAGATGCTGCATTACCCATTCAGGTGGAGAGATCATACCATCCTTCACAGATACAGGTATTTCGCAAGTCTTCAGGTCATACTTGACTACGTTCCACTCAGCTTGTAGCTGATTGTGACTGGCCTCGTCATCTAGAAAGAAGTGATCGGCCAACACCACCACATGCTGTTCCTTGAAGTCTGCATGATCTCTGGCTGGGATTGTTGTCATGTCAAATACCTGCATGGCAGTGTGTACTGGTGTTGCCGCTTTTAACCTGATGTTAATGTTCCTGATGAGTGAACATACATAGTCCTGTAACAGGTCTCTAGATACACGATGTCATCTTCTGTGAACCCTATTTCTGTTCTAGTCAAGGAATCCACTTCAATATCATGCTTGAATTTCTCAATGGGACTTTTTGTGTTAACCAGGCTGGACAGCTGGTCAGTGCAAACCTGGATTGTAGGCTTGATGCGGGAGAAGGCAATGGTGCCTTTCTGGAAGGTTTTACTCAGGATACCAAGTATTGGTAAGATGTCATTCAGGATGTAAATGATGCCTATCTTCTTGGGTTTAGACAATTTTTTCAGAAGGCCGTAACAAGCCGGATCTGTCTTCAGTTGTCTGAGTGTTTGTAAGATAGCAGGAAGCTCTGCATGTACAGCAGCTACAACATTTTTGAAAGACAACCATCGTGTTTGGCAAACCTTTTTCAGTTTCCTAGAGATCCTCCTCTTTGCCCGAGAACCAATACTGACTGTCTTGAGTTCTTGTTGTACTTTCAGATATACTGCTAGTTTTTTGGGTGAATAGTGGAAGACTTACCAGAGCTGGGTGACTTCAGTCTCCACATCAGCAATCTTTTTGAGTGTTTCGTTACCAGTGTTGTAGTCAAGACCGGATAGTCTGAGACCGAGACCTGAAGTTTCGAGACCGAGACCAGCCCTTTCAAGGCGGACCGAGACCGAGACCGATGAGGACCGAGACCGCGGATAATAAATAACAATAATCTAAATAAAAACAAGACACATAATTACAGCTGAACAGTCTGTCCTTGAGATGATGATGTTGATGGGGATGTAAAGGAAGTAATTGAAAACTATAGGAATCACTTGTACCTTCTTGTGTCATGGGAATGCTCTTTATGTTAGCTTCATACCTTAATCTACAACATTGCAACATAATTTGTTATTGTCACAATCAATTTAAAAAAAATGGAAACAACTCCATATATCGTCGCAACTGTTTTTAAATATTTTTTAAAATATATTTTATCTACTATAAAGTGTAAATCTGATGGAAGAAACTCTTACTTAGGAGTACGATTAATTTTACTTTTTTTTTTGCAATGTTGAAACTTGACAAAGTTAAAGGTGGATGTTTCATCTGTTATAGGAACTCGGACCCTAAACTCCACAGCAACCCCTTGGTTTCAGCTATGACTATTAACAGATTTTTAAATGCAATATTGATTTTACATTGGTCTTCGATTCTTGTAAACCTGATTTCAAAAAAATTGGAGCTAGAAAATATTGATTTATTTTTTAAAATTTCCGTCATGGAATATAGACTTAAACATGTACGGTAGACCCAAAAGTTGCGAGGTGGTAGCCAGATATGGATTTTTATTTTTTTTCTGACTGGGATTTTGCTTTTTGAGGAATAATGGGGTACTTCAAATGAGCAGCCAGAAAATTGAGTCTCATCATACACTCTCATGGCAACAGTGATTGGTAACTGGTACGAGTGTGTGAATTCATTGCTGGAAAATCAGGTTGGAAAATGTACCGGTACTCTTTCTCCAAAATACTATTCCAAATTAAAGAGAAGATTGGGGTCGAAAATGCCAGTAATTTGGAGCTCCTCGTTAACATTAACGTTAAGTTAACGCCCACAGGGGTGGGCTAAACTACACAATGCCCGAAATGGTTGGCCCTTATTGCATAAATTAGTACTTACTTCGCTTTATGTGCCCAACTCAAATGGCGACATTTTGGCTGGTTTCGACTCGAGACCAGCCAAAATATCGAGACCAGCCAAAATATCGAGACCAAAAGGAGCTGGGACCAAGACCAAGACCGAGACCACAGCTCCCGAGACCGAGACCAGCAAAAAGTGGTCTCGAGACCGAGACCGGTCTGGAGACCGACAACACTGTTTGTTACTGTCAGTGCAAGCAAGTGCGAGTCTGTGGCATATGCAGTGGACTGAGATGATGGAACTGACATTGCAAGGCCATTTTGGCACCCTACCATTACACTAGCCCTATCAGTGGCCAAGCCTCGTAGGTTTTTCAGAGGAATTTTCAAGGCCTGTAATTCCTTTTTGATGACTGCATGCAGAGTTGCTGCTTCGGCACTGGTTGATTCTTGCAGAACATCAGCAATGAATAGAACTTGCATTCCAAGTACCCGTGTCTTCGTCAAAATACTGAACAAAGGCAATTAGTTGTTCTGTGTTGCTAATATCTGATGCATCATCCACAAAAGACCATAAAACTGGTCACCTGCCGACTCCTGCAGCTTTTACGATATATCTTCACACAATTTACTTTCAATTGTTATCAGTATTTCTCTCAGGGACCCAACTGATCTATGGGAAAAGTACTTTAACTGTTCCAAACCCAACAGCTCCAGTTTGAGGAAGGATGCATTCTTAGTATTGGCAATGGACTCCTTGGCCAACCAGTGAAAGGCCTTTTCAAGAACATCATGCTTTAGACTTTCCTTTTCATGAAGCTGCTTCTGGAAGAACGAAATCTATTCAACAGCTCATTGTCCACAGTTGCATTATGCTTTGGAGAGTTGGCATGATCAGATAGGGTGATGCGCTTGGATCTCAGTGAAGGTGTGGATCCAAATGTTTCACACCTATTTTGACTGGACTTGCTTTGATGCTTTCGGCATAAGAGGCAAAACAGCCCCTTACCCTCAACATACACAGACCACCACAGTCCTGTCTTATGGCAAAATGAGATACTTTTGTCAAGTAAGCACTCATGATGAAACTGGTCTCGGAACTTTCCCTTAGATGTTTTCTCCTTCGGTCAGTCTTTTTCCTCCTTGGATACTGAACAGCAGCCAGTGGCTCTGCACATGGTAAAATGATGATCCTTCTTAAGTTGTTCTGGTGTGAAAAACTGTTCAGTTATGTCTCCATCTCACGATCATCTAGCTGTGGAGCACTGCCGTGACAATGGCTGCTGCTTGCCAATGAACTTAAACTCTCCGGCTGCTCAGCACTACCTGTCATCATTGATGCATGGCTGCTTGTAGTGGGACTAGTAGTAGTAGAGCTGCTACATTGCTGCTGCTCTCCCTCTTCTATCAAAATAAGAATAAAAACATCTCAATTAATATTTCGTTTCGTTTACTGGGGCCAATCTGTTTTAAAAAAAAGAGCTATATTGCAAGTGAAATCATCAAATGACACAAAATGTGTAAGTTGCATTCACTTACATGTTGTTTGAAACTAATTGATTCATTTACAGAAGTTTAAAAAAAATTGGCCTGGGGTTTCCCTGCGGGTGGTCAACCCATTTATCTTACTGCTGGAATAAAATTAATTGTCATATAATTTTTTTTCTAAAAAATGGACAAGAGGTTTCCCAGTTGATTATAAATGTGCATGTAATCATTGTATTCTGCAAGAGAAAAAATGTTAATAATTCATATCGACGGAAAATGTGGAAAAAACAGCCCACCTCCCTTATAATCAGACTATTTTTTACAGTCATAGAAATGTACACCACATGCATATTTGTTGATGCAACCAAAACCCCTTAAATTCTCATTAACAAAGTTAAATTATCTGAAATGCAACAAGAAGACGATGAAATATATCTGGGAAAAAAACCCTGAGGCGGGCCTATGGATGTGCAAGTTATGGGCATAATAACACAACGGCATAACAACTTGCTCGAAAACCTCATTTAAAATTAAACCCACCATGTACGTGGGAAACCCACGTGCAATATATAACCATGGAGGAATTACCATGCAGCCTATCAATCTTGTCATTGATTTTGTAGAATTTACCAATGTATTGTTTTCATGTATTTTGAATATAATAATAAAACTTAATTTAGGTGATAAATGGTTCCTCAGGTACTTTCAAAACCTCTCTGTTTCTTCTGGAAAAAAGTCAGTAAGTTTGCCTGCGATTGCAACTTTCGCTTCGATGATAATGACGCCAATTTGACAACATAAGCACCGCTTGTCAAACTAAGGTAGACTGGCCTTTCAGCCTAACGTGGTTCCGTTTTTTGTCAATTTTGTAAATTCACTGGACAACCATCCTCAACGACTAGTAATAAGCCTAACCCATAACGTTAAAATTTCGTGAATGATACATTTTACTACAAATAAAAATCTACAAGATGAAGAAAGCCCCTTTTAATTAAAATGCAAAACGAAGCAGTCCATCATCCGTGATAGTGAAGATTGTGCAAGTTTAACACTTCATGTATAGCGCCCTCAATCATAGTAGCAGAGCTAGTCTGAACACAGCCTCTCTTCTCACTCGGTTCGATATGTGATTATGAGGTCAGCATAGTCTCCAGTCTATACCGCACATGCAGCGCTCACTACGTTGTCATTTTCCACACCACAGCAATGTGGATATAATTACTATCGATCATGCACACCTAATCGAGTTGGCTGCGACTTTTTGCACACCAAAAATCCACACAAAAAATAAACGTGCGTGCACCACCAATTAGGTAGGGCCTAGGTCTGAATTTAATTTTCAAGGGCCATGAATTTTTTATGATAAGGTTTTTTGTTTTAATTGTATACAGATTCCTTCGTTGTAGAAGGGAAGGTTTTTTTTTTTCATGATTGGAAAAAAAGTAGCCGGCGCAAAAGTTTAAATAGCCTGTCAAATTCGCCGGTTTCCGGCTTATTTTGAAACCCCTGCGCTCTATTTCACTCTCCAGTTCTATAATCAATCTTTAGTTCGACACCAGACACGTCGTCAGGCAGTGATGACTGCATATATCTACGTGTAGTGTGCACCCGTGTGTACGGACGTACGTGTACAAACATGTACGATTGTACACATGTTGGGCATGGAACAAAATAATGAAACAGTCACCCGATTGGAGATGTTGCATGACATCATCAAAATAGGCTTGTAGCAGATGCGCCTGACGGCTTTTGTGTTGGTTTTGCATTGAGCGAAGCGGCTTTTCAACCTTTAATTTTTATGACTGAAGTTTCCCGTATTTAGTTTTTGTCATTATACATGTAGATTCTTTTGAATACATACAGTATATACTTCAAAATTAGTGAAATTTGCCACGTCAATTGACTGAAATTTTACTATTCATTTTTATTCAATTTTCAGTGAGACGGGTGGCACCACGCTTCACCATTTTCCCTGAGACGCAAGAAGTTGTCCCTGGTGGTAATGTGAACCTTACCTGTGCAGCCAATGGTTCCCCAATGCCTGTCATTAAGTGGATGAAAGGTGATGAGGATCTGAGTGGTCCTGATGATACTCTTCCCCAGGGTAGAAGTGTCCTGGTTTTAAAGAATGTACAGGAGACTGCAGAGTACACATGTTATGCAATGAGTGACCTTGGAGAGATTGAACATACAGTAACAGTGACTGTCAGGAGTGAGTACAAAATAGTGTCAATATCATCATGTTAGCAATGTATTTTAATCAGTGTCAGTTTTGTTAGAATGTAATTTGGAACTTGCGTTTTACCAGCTCTTGTGTTAGTATTAAGCTATTCGCTATTTGTATGTTTACCAATGTAACAGCCAACATAGGTACATCAAGTAAATGGAACATATCCAACTGCACATACATATATTTACACACTGCAATCTCTAGTTACTTGTAATCTCTAGAGAGTTGTGAAATGTTTTGAGCCAAAGTGGAATATCCTTCCCAGTGCATGTAAAGATCTGTACACCTACTGAAGAAAAGATTAGGTTGGTCGGTCGGCATGACATTTTATTTTATTTTAATTTTTTTCTGGAGCCAATACATGTGAGGAATGATACATGTTTAAGTGGTCCCCAATCAAGGTGTTTTGGGCAGATTTTTGTGACATGTTTTATTGTAAGGAGTTTGTAAGTTTAACCATAGAATAAGGAACATGGTTCAACCACTGTCGTGTTGACATTCTCTACGCTTCTCCATGGTTCGTCAGGTTGGCCTCTTGCGGCGATATCAATTGAAAAATCGTCGTCAACTTCCCCATTTTTTTTCCGCAAAGAATTCCCTGAATATCATTTTGAGATTTCACTGGAAGAAATTTCCTTTTTGTTTTTTGAAAATGTTCACATTCTCCGATGTCTAGAGCAAATTGCAGTCTTGTGTGTACGTATGTGCACGAGAGCCGAACGAAGGCCACAAAAGACGTGCAGCCGTCCGATCCGATGTGAAGTCTACATCGATGTGAAGTCTACAACGCACATGGCCATTGGAATGATATAGCATAACGAATTTTCCTGTTGGCTAACGCGATATCAACAATTACTTGCTTTCAGCAACCTAAAAGCATTAAGTTTAAAAAAGGATCATTAGGACACTTTGCTTCCATGATTTGTCCCACAATTTCAAAAAAAAAATTCATCGAAAATCGGTTTCCATGATGCATGGCGTCCCTAGGCTCGAAAGTGTGACCGTGTAACTCGCGGTCTACCAATAGTATTGCTTGTTGGGCACAGACATTACCGTGGGGATTTCCCCTGACACGCAATACTGCGCTGTTCGCACACATGTGTGTACGTACAAAGGAACATGAGACACACGGACCAGACATTTTGGACTGTGTTGCAATGAAGATTAAGTGACGAAGAACCCAAGCGGTTTTGGTACAACGTACGTATTTTTAAAGTACACACAAACTAATGTTAGACCACGATGTTTTCTTTCGGATAATACCAGAAAGAAAAAAAAACACTTGCTGATAAATGCCTATAAAATGTTCTGGCGGTCGGCGATTTTGACCAATGTTGATCGAAAGTCGGTATCGTAATATTTTTTTTCCAAATAACCAATAAAATTGTTTGGGGTCGCATTTTATTGCTTTCAAAAATAGGGTCGGTCAGGTTACCCAAATCAAAAGTATTTTTGTTTGGCCTTAGACAGCTGACAAGTGATAAAAACAAACATATTAGGACTAAATGTTGTTGATTTAAGTTGTCTGCAGGACATGGTTTATGTTTGCATATGGTTGTGGGATGTCTTACACGAAAACAAAGATGAAAGAGAGACTAATATGTAAACATTTTCTACTTGTTTTCTGTTTTCTTTGCTTTTTAATGACAGCTCGTCCAGACTCTCCACCTGTGCCAACATTGAGCCAGCATACTGCTAATACAGTCACTGTCCAGTGGATAGCTGGCACTGATGAACCTATTAAGACCTATGTTCTGAAATATGAGCCAAGTTCCTCTCCTGGTGCTGCCAAAGAAATAGCTGGAATTACTGTCACTGAGTATACCATCGATGACTTGCTGCCTTTCACAGAGTACAATGTGCGTGTTGCAGCAGTCAATACAATAGGTCGGGGAGACTTCAGCAGGGCCTTGACAGTCACTACAGCACAGCTGGGTGAGCAGATGATTGGTAGCATGGAGTAGCATCAATTGGACGATATGACAGTCAAATAGCACATTGTAAAAAGCATTGTTTTTCAAGTAGAACAAATTGTCGTCAAAATAGCAGCGTCATGGAAAATAATTTGCAATGTCTTGAGAGAAATTCATGTGTTGGATGTCCTTTCAGGTTGACCATATTCACACATTCCATCCTCGGGTCAGCTGATGATAGGTGATTCAGCAGCTCTTAAATGGTTTGCACGGTGAATGCCCCGATCATAAAAATGGCTCCATCAAAACTTTAAAATAAACTGTTTTTTTTTTTACAAGGCTTTTGACAAAAAAAATCATTCTCTTTTTATGATTTTATCGCTTGTATCGGTGGTGTCATGGAGGAAAATCACCTGTAAAAATTCTCTTTTATATCTTAAATTTGATTGTAAATATTGTAAGTTTTTAATCATTAGTTGGAGTTGTATTTTTTTTGTTTTTTTTAATGTAAATTGAATCTCAATGTACTTAAGTCATTGTTATTTTTATTCCCCAAAACACAGCACCTTCAACGGCCCCACGAGAAGTTCGTGCAAGTCCTTTGAGTGCAAGCACTATACTGGTGCAATGGACAGCTCCAGAAACACCCAATGGGATTGTTAGAGGCTATAACATCTATTACAGCAACACACCCAGTCAGAATCTGAGCTTCTGGTATAAACATTCAGTGGAAGATGGTACCCAGAGACTGACAACAATTAGTGACCTCAATCCAGACCAGATTTACTCAATACGTGCTTCAGCATTTACTGCTATTGGTGAAGGGCCAGCCTCAAATGCAGTCCAGGTCATAACAAAGCAAGGAGGTATGTACATTCACCCAATTTCAGTTTGATAGTTTGTTCCCACATTCAACAACGGTATGACTGTTAATTGGAAGAACACTTCTTTTCCAGATTTGTGCAATATGAATAAGTTATTCAACCTTTTGTTGAGTAAAAAAGGCAAACGAGGTTACCACAATGTTTACATGCACTTGGTCTAACAGCATGCAATCAAAACCCTTTTGCAAAATTTTGTTCTGCCTTTATTGACCTAGCTTTTGTTGACTGAGCTATATGTGTACATCAAACCATATTCGCAAATGCATTTGGGATTTGAATAAAAGAAACCAGACTGTCTTTAAGGGGGCCATATTCGTGGAATCAACATGGAGTTATTAACCACAAATTGATTAGGATTCATATTGGAAGGAGGGACTTCTCAAAGACAAATACAACCAAGTCTGTGCTGGTCATCTTAAAACTTGGGCCCCCCAAAATTGTGTGTTTACGGTAAACGCCTGAACATTTTTCCAGGCAGATGGGTAAATGGTTTTATTTTGAAACTTCTTTTGAGTCTGATAAAGATGTGAAATAGGTTAAGAATTGTGAACCAGTTACCGGTAGGGCTGTCCATTGTCGATGAATTTAGTATTCAATTACTCAACGGTGCTTTGGATGAATATTCTGATATTCCAAACTGCCACCTGCAACTCTGTGCTGTGCCAGTCAAAAGCTAGAGGGGGATGTGAGCCCCCCCCCCCAATTAGTCAGTTTTGTCGGCAAAATCATGGTGCTGTTGGCAAAATCGAAAATGAAGAATGGAAAAGAAAGGGGCGAAGAAGAAAAAATGGAGAATGTAAATAATAAACATAGCTGCTAAAAACCCCGCGAGGGGCGCTTCATATACGGCGGTTGACAGCTACAGCTGTGCAAAACACATAGCAAGACACACCGAGGGATGGAGGAAGAATACCTCGGTTGTTAGAGAACCGCTTCGTCAGGGAGCTGAGTAAAGTGGATTCACATGGCTTGGGGTAGCATCTTGTTTTGGCTCTCCTTAACAAAGTTAAGGAGAGAGACTAGGCAATCACTATGTCTGTACCTATGTCCGTATGGACGGGCGCACGTATGCGTATACATGTACCGGTACATGTATGTGGTATTTTGGTTAAAGTTTCAAAAAATTGTCTCATTTGAAAAGTTGAAGTCCAATTGGAACCAAACTTAGGTCATAGATGCAACATGGCAACCTACATGTGATCATGAAGTCCAAGGTCACATACAGAGGTCAAAGGTCATCTGAGGTAAAGTCGTAAAACGGCCTGAAAATGTAAAATTGGTCTCATTTGAAAAGTTGGAAGTCCAATTGCAACCAAACTTGAGTCATAGATGCAACATGGCATCCTTCATATCTGATGTCAAAGGTCACAATCCAAGGTCACAGGTCATCTGAGGTCAAGTTGTCAACTGGGCTGACAATGTACATGTACAATTGATCTCATTCAGAAGTTGAAGTGCACTTGCAACTAAAATTGGGTAATAGGTGCAACATGGGAATCTTCATATGATCATGATGTGAAAGGGCACATGCTCTGGTCAAAGGTCATTAGAGGTCATTATTAGCAGTTCGTACAATTCCACCCTCATTACTACCCACAATTATTTCTACACTGATCAGGGCCCTCTCATCCGCATGACTACCCCTTGCCATTGCCACCCTACTATGCACACCTTACTCTATCAAAGAAATCAAAAAGATAACAGGCGAGACGCATGGTTCGAGAACCACCTTGTTTTTTTAAAGGCAGCTGAGAGATGGGCCAGGGTGCCCTCACAGCCCCAGGAGAGAAAATCCGAAGGCTCCGAGGCGTCGGGCCATAAACCTCATCAGTACGGTCCAGTCAGCACCCACAGTCCACCTATTTGATAGCGTTGGTTGAATCGGTGAGGATTTTCCAATAATAGTCTGGTATTTTGGAAACATTGAATTGTTCCTTTTCAGTCCCCACTTTTATCTAGGCTGCTCTCTATTTAATTGGTAATGGGTACCACCTAATGTTTCCGATTTGCCCTACTTTTTGGTATTTGCGTTAAGTTTCTTGCAATAAACTTGAAGCTGTGGCGCACACACACACACACACACACACCGTCGTTTTTTGCTATGCTTCCGAGGATTGGCTTTGTGTTTTCCTTTGTCCCTGTAATATAACACTCTCCCATTGACTAAGCACACAAACCTGCGTTCGAGGACAATAGGCACCTTCCTTCGAGGATCAATGGCCCCTTTGTGCTCCTTTTGTTGTCTGTCCTCAGGCGTAATGCCATGCAGGAACACACACACCCAGTCGTTTTTTGCTATGCTTCCGAGGATTGGCTTTGTGTTCTCCTTTGTTCCCTGATCTAAGCCTTTCCCATAGACTTAGTGCACAAACCGGCGTTCGAGGACAATAGGCACCGTCGTTCGAGGATGAATGGCCCCTTTGTGCTCCTTTTGTGGTCTGTCCACGAGTGTAATACAATACAGGAACACACCCACACCCAAATGTGTGTTCACAATCGATCGTGGACATCCTATTGTCCGTCTTTTGTTTGTACTCCCATAGGTTTTGAACACGACCTCAATCGTGGACATATGCTGGGGATCGTGGACAGTATTGTTCTCTTTTGTTCTCTGGATTTTTCGTCCACGGTTTGAAGTGTATGAACACGCACACGCAAGTCTGTATTTGCCTGCAATCAGGGACCCCCTATTGTCCCTCTTTTGTTTGTACTGCAACTTTTTAGGAAGACCTCCCATATGTTTTGTACACGAATCCAAATTGGGGACCTCTCTGGAATTGGGGACCCTATTGTCCTCTATTGTTCAACGTCCCTATTGAATGCAGAAACAAACTTAACCTTGGTGTCTGTCTACCTTTATTGGAGTTTGAGTATAACACATAAACATAAATGATAAAATTCATTATAATAAATGAAACATATTGGTTTGGTGTCATGTGCAAATTTCCCTGCTTTTCGTCTAATCTTGCACGATTGCGGACGTTGTACGAAGCATCTAGCTTTTATCTGTTGACATACACATTTAAATTATAAAATGTAGGTCAGGGTAAGTGTCAGGTTGGGTTATTAGACTATTCACATTACACTCATTTTGTGAGATGGTGACAGATGGTCCGTCGCAAATTTCATGATGGCACCCCCCATTGAAAAGGTGCACACAGGGCGACATATAAAATTGGGGTCCGGCAATCGATATGGGTTCCTGGAGTGTTTGCAGTACAGTTGTAAGTATTTTTATAACTGTCAAGGGCTTCAACCTGCTAAAAGGATGGAAACAATGAACCGCTGTTGACAAAAAGTTACCGTCGACAAAAAAAGTGGAACCTGACGATAAAGCGCCACAACTTTATGATAACATCACAGTTGTGTGCATATTTGTTTTTGAAGATTCCAACCGGCCAAAAGCTATTCGAATATTTGGTTGATGATCGAATATTCAGTATATTTGGTATATTTGGGACAGCCCTAGAACCAGCTAATTCTCGGCTATGACAGTGTGAAATATGACTTCAATTTCCTTTCATTTTGGTCTGTCCTGTCAGTGTCAAAATTTTGTTTTGTTTTAATTACAGGGAAACATAATAATTCTATGTTTTGATTATTTTGATTACACAAATAGAAACAAATGGCGCAAAATTTATCGAACGGTCATAGCATTTCTGGATTTGCAGACTTGGTGCAACATATCATGGCTGGCCAGGACCACATGATTTGTCATGTGTATGTTAACGGCACAACACAACATGGCACAAGACAATGAGACATGGCAGCATGCTTGGTTGGAGCAACATAAACCACTAGCAAAGGGAAAACATTATATTTGTAAAATACACTTTATTTTATATTTTCAGCAAAGGTGTCAATAAACAGTTTGAGGTCGGCATTTTAGTCTAACAAAATGCAGGTAGATCAGTTTACCGTAAACACACAATTTTTTCTTTGGCCTTGATTTGTATGAAATGACATTCCTTTGATTCGTTATGTTATTTTGGATGATGTAACCTCCATGTAATTCTTTGTTTTACACATTGCTTGATTAGTTCCTAGCCAACCCGAAATGTTTGTTGGTGAAGCCATCTCTGCAACACAGATCCGTTTGACATGGAGACAACGTGAAACTGAGGCTCAGATTCTCTACTATGAGCTGTATTACAATGACTCAAAAACTGGAAATGATGAACATAGGAGTATTCCTAAAGCAGAGACATACACCCTCGAAGATTTGAAGCCAAACACAGTCTATAACATACGCCTTGCTGCAAAATCCAGGGCAGGGCAGGGAGCTAGCACACCTATTGTATCAGTTCGCACAGAACAAGCTGGTAAGTTGTGTAATGAAAGCAATTATAGGCAGATGATGTCACTCTATCAAGTGAACAATGTGCAGAATGGCATAACAGATGTGCAGTGCACATGCTTGCCATCCAGTCACAGGTAGGCTTGGGCGAATCCACGCCAAAATTAAATAGAATCGATTCCAAAATCGGAAATCGATTCCACTTCTTTGAGGAATCGATCTCTGATGTAGCCAATTCCAGTTCCCGGAATACTTGTTCACAAAGCCGGTATATCTTCACCCAATTGAAGAAGTGACGAATCTGTCCAAAACCAGTGATTTAAGGAATTTGACATTTTTGAAAATTCTTACATATTATGATGTCCTCTACATAATCTGCCAAGTTTTAAGATGGAAAATTGCACCGATTGTTAATTACTTCAATCACACTCAGTTTTGCGTTTTAACCAGTGACAAGTCTTGATTTTTGATTTTCTCAAAACTTGGTTCGCTGCTTTTTGGGCAGTTTCGTCACTTCGTCAATATGGTGACGATATTTGCAGATTCATGAATGTACTTGGAATCTTGGGTGTAGGACTGAAAGGGTTAAAATGACGTGTGTATTATCTGATGTTGTACATACCGGTACATGTATTTCCTTTAAACTTGTTGTAATTTCCAATATAAAGTATATTGATGTTAACCTTGGTTGTGTAACCTGTGTGCTGTACATATCACTGACCCCTTCCTTCCACTAGTCCCTGGTGCTCCCCCACAAGATGTCAAAGCCACTACTCTGAGTTCTACAAGTCTTCGGATTGAATGGGAACCACCACCTCAAGACCGCCAAAATGGCGATGTAACAGGCTATAAAGTCAGCTATGTGAAAGTCCCTCGTAGTGGAGAAGTGGATACGCAAGACGAAATGTTACTGGCAGTGGGGCCTAATGACAGATCTTGTGTCTTGGTAAATCTTGACAAGTGGACAATATATCAGATAACTGTGTTGGCGTCTACAAAGATTGGGGATGGGCCTGCATCCCGGCCAATAAGTGCTGAAACTGATGAAGATGGTATGTACATTTTTGAGTTTATTCTGAAGAATCATGCCAATGTTAGTTATTCAGCAGCACATGAACAACACCATCCTTGATAACTGAGCTGAGTAGCATTCCCATCACTACCTTTACATCTTCCCTGCTATATGCATATCACACCTCCCTAATGTGCTCAATCTGCCATCTTGTCTGTCTAATTATTTCACCATATTCACCATAAATGCAACTAATCACTGTATTCTGCCTGTCAATTTACTGATTAATGTGCTTCTTTTAACTATAGTTTTACTTTGAGTCTTTTAACAGTACTTTCATTTTGAAATGCATTTATTTGCGTATAGTATTGCAGGCCTCAACCTTAAAGGTGCACAAGGTCCTGAAATCCTCGAAAATTTCATGTTTTGGATTGTTTACTTAGCCTATTTCAAACATCTGGTTGAAAGGAAACCAACCTAATGTCTTACCGTTCCCGAGAAAAGACAAAAAAAAACCTCACTTGTTTACATCGGACACGACGGAGCATGAATACGTTTTTCGTGTCGTTCTCAGTGTACGTTGTGTGTCTCGGGAACAGCGGTGACCAATCACCAATGCAAAAATAGTGGTTTCTTCAATGTCCGCAAAAGACGAACACTTCACGAATGAAATCATTTATGGGGTCGCAAAAGTGGACCCCGAATTTCGTTCTCGCACGCATAATACAGGAATTACACAAAAACGCCCAGTTTTGAAAGGATAGTTGTGTGGATGTTTATATCCTACTTTTAAATGTTATTTCCGATCAAATTAATTTCATTCAAAGCGCGTTTTGTAGCCCAATTGGGCTGTTCCAGGACCTAGTGTCCCTTTAATAGGTTGTCACATGCAGTCATTGCTGTTGTACTGTGGTTGTATTGCACATTCCTTAGTGGATAGAATAAGAACAGTGACACATCACATGTGAAAGTTAAATACACGTACAGTACATGTACATGTAAGACAAAAGAGACCAGAATTCATTGAGTCCAACTTTCACATGATAGCGTGATGCATTGCACCGTTGTTGCATTTGCCACTATGCCCTAAAATAAAAATCTTATTTCACAACCAAAATGGCCAACATGCCCTAATCAGCACACACAATGTCCAAAGATTGAAGGAAATGCCTGAGAAATATTCTGTGAAAAGTGCGCTAAACATGACCTACTTTTTACAACCACAGTATTTTTTTTCAATTTGCATTATGTCAGGAGCACCATACAGCATGTGCAAAATCATATCAAGGAAGTTAGCATGGCATCCTTCCACAAAGAAAAAAAACCACACATGGTTTAGATGGATATTTTTAAAAACCCAGGTGCAGAAAAGAAACAAAATTGTTTGTGTCCCATTTACAACAAACCCTCTTTGAAAACTGTGAAAATAGGCAATGCTTGCATTATAAAGCTTAATTTGTGAGCTGGGGTTATTTCTTTCAATGTTAATGGTGTGTAGCATGTAGCATGATAATCCTGTGCTGCGGTTATCTATGGTCGTGGCCCATGCATATCCCCTTGCTGTTTGTTGTTAACCTCGCAGACGACCAGGTGGTGACGTGGCTTTGCAAGGCAACCATTTGCAAATAACTAGCAGGGCAACAGCATTCAAGGATAGAGACAGAGAGAGATAACTGTACAATCAATGCGGCTTTTGTTGGGCTTATACAAGATGGATACATTACATCATCTGTCCATGTCGTGCTGATTAATTGGCTTCCTTAGACATATCAATCATTGCTAGTACTTGTATGCATATGAACAACTGTTAAAGGGAATGTACAACATTTGCTTTTGCTGCAAGTTTCAGAAATAAATGGATTTGGAGGATTAGAATGTTATAGCAAATATTGTTAAACTGACTTGTTACACGTTTTGGGGTGGTAGATGCTGAAAAACCAAGACCATTCATGTTCTTGTAGTCTGGTTCCCTGACCCCACTTAAGATGAAACTGAGCAATTTATAGACTTTGGGGAATTGTAAGGTCAGAGAATAAGTCTGGCAGGCTTGTACCACTTCACACCTGTGTGTAATAATTGCGAAGAAAATGCAGAATATATGAACAATTAGGAGCAGTTTTTTGGGTTTTTTTAAATTAAGACAGTTTTCTCCAACGCTGGTCGGCCGACCAGCGTTGGAAAAGTACAACTTTTCTTGAAAATGTCAGCACACCAGGAGCAACAATTTTACAGGATGCTTTAGACTGTCATTCCCTAACAATCCAGTAAGATATTTCGTGATAATTTGATCATTTTGTTTTTTAATGTTTTCAAATGTTGTATCTTCCCTTTAAAGGAGCACTTTCAACTGGTACGTGTATGTGCACTTTTGGGCACTAAAAACATTTCCAACAAAATGATGTTTGAAAAAAATGGTTAAAAAGTAGAATACATACAACCTTGGAAATTGTGGTTTTCAGGTAACAAATTTTGGACCCTGGAGACAAGTGCTGATTATTGATTGAAGTCATTAACCCTAACCTTACCTAAAGCTACATAGTACTACTCAGTAGTAACCTGTAGTATGCATTTCCTTCCATACAAGTGTGCACAACACCTGTAGTATTCTGTGGTATTTGGTACTTGACCCCCAAAGAGCCCTTGTAGGGGTTAATGTGCTTCTTTCTGAAAACTGTGCCTCAAACATGTCAAAAACAGGTCTTCATTATTGTGGGATCTGATAACAGTGATTTGTCGCCGTACATGTGCAATTAAATTTAAAAAGCGTGGCTCATAATCGCTGCTAATTCCATCGGATGTAAAAGTATGGGGATTTCTGTTATCAAGACATTTGAAATACTAGTTAGTACACAATCAAAAACACTTCCAAACAAAGTTGAAATATCTTTATTTACTGTAAAAAAATAGTGTGACGGTTTTGAAAGTGTTATACAAACGTACGTGCACCAACAAAACCATGTGTACATGTGCAATGAATGGGAAAACCAGCTCTCTGCTGGATATTCGGATATGAAAAAGAAGTTGGAGAGGTCTGGCAGATTTGTTACTACTGGAGTTGACTGTATGTACACCACAGTTAATTATGAAATGTGTATTTCTCCCACACTTTTTCATCACACTTTGTTCTTGTGCAGTGAATTACTTATGAAAACAATTTCACAACCTAACACATGTCATCCTTGCACTCATGTCTTTGCTTTGTAAATCTTTTACTAATATAAAAGACACAGACACTTTGAGTAATTAACCTTGATTTTTATAAATAATATGTGTGTAATACTACCAAATGCAAAGATTGTTGTCTGTCCAGTCTTATGGTTAAATGCAAAAACATAATTTCACACTGCTCCAAGTGTCACTGCAGCTAAAATGACTGTAACCATGATTACCTACCCCGGTACATGAGGAACATGGATAAAACCTTAAACAGATCATAGTTGACCATGGCTAAGGGGCCATTCAGAATAGTCAATGTTTACAAATTTAGATCTTCAAAGGAAATAACTGAAAATGGAAATTCAGTTTTGAATTAATGTAATAGAAAACAAAAATAAAAGAAGAAGGGAAAAAACACCAAAATAACCCTCTTCAGCGACCTCTTCAAGATGTCTGTCATGTCTGTGCTGTTCCGCTGTCATTGGTTAACCTTGTTGCAATAGCCGACCTCTGTGTACTTTAATGTTTACACAAAACCCAACCTCGTCCCAATATGCTCGAAGGGTCATCGACACTCACACGATCTCCCCATTTATCTACCGTTGGAATGAGGTGGACTATCGAGACATGGTTTTGGACACAAGAAAAGCTAATCACAACAAAGTAAAATACAGTGTCATAGAAAACTGGAAATGATTGTGCAAAGTTTTGTGTACTTGGCAATTTCCTCTTCTGTTTCAACTTCAAAGTTGCATGCTGATAAGCCTGGAAAGGCCATTGAAAACTCCTGAGCTGGGAGAGCATTGACCTTACCTATCTGATTCATTTGAAGCATTACTTTGTTCTTTAGTGTATAGGATATATTGAGTAGTCATTCAATGTTTGAAAATCAAAATTCGGGGCGAGTGGGTGGGTCAAATTTAAACATTGACTTTCTGAATGGCCTGCTTTCTTTTCATTAACTAGTTGAATGCACATTGCCTGACAATGCACAGCATCCATAGATACAGGTAGACCTTGCTCTTTCTGTTAAAAGCATTTATTAAAATTGCGTTAAATTGTGATGTGTGACTTTTGTGCCCTTTGTATTTGTTAAGTTTCTACATCATGTCAAAACACATGTCACAGGTGATGATTCAGTATTCTTTATGTTCTACAAACACAAGGACAAAGCTGGCAATTACTTTATGTTGCTTAAAACTAAAAGGCTTTTGTGAGTACCACTTAAAGCATCATACAAAATACAGTCATGCAAACAGTCCTGTAATACTTACAGCACCAAATGAAAACAATTAAAGAACCTGATTTTGTTAACATGGTCAATATAACTTTGTGTAGCCTGCACAAAGTGAGCTTATCCTTGTTTAAAGTGATTAAATAATGCTTAAGAAAGTACCAAAACCTGATGGGACACGTTCACGGCAAATAGCCACATTGTTCTTACTCTAGGCTACATTTAGCGCCCAAATTTTAATGTTCACAGTTTTAAACAATTCTTTGCATGAGATCCAAATAAAAGGGCAACACTTTCACACCTAAGCATAAGCACATGTTCATATCCCTGTATAAAACATCATTTAAAAGCCATAGGTAGAATTCCACTTGGCAATTTTTGTTGCAAAATGGACATGGCTTTGCAGCCCCTAAAAAAGTCTGGATTTTTCAGGCACCAAGACAGGAAATGACAGTGAAGATTAAACAGTACTTTGTAGGTTGCTAGATTTAAAGTGTTCTGTAACAAATTCAACTTTTTTTTCTATTAATAAATTTTCAACTTCTTTGTTTTACTCCTACCAAAAAAAACCTTTCTTTTTCCTTTTTTGACATCTGGAACCCTCTGGAAAAGTTTTTGTTTGGGCACAAACTGTGAGCAGGCTGGCTCTCAGTCCATACTGTGTGGGGCAGGAACCAGCCTACCCTGCGAGAACAGAATTATTGACTGGCAGCCAATAATTTGCTCTTGTAAAGTAATAATTCGATAACTAAACATGGGCAGATTTTGTTTTGGTTGATGTCTCATTCAAAAGTGAATAACTTTTGCATTGCTAAATAAATAGCAATGAAACTCAAAACTAGCACACTTTAACTACATTGCACTTTCCAAATGTTAGTAATTTAATTTGCCACGTTTTGCTGGATATTTGATTGCCCCTGATGCAGTTCCAGAAGGTCCACCACGCAAGGTTAGTGTTGAAGCCTTGAATTCAACCACCATTGCCGTTCGCTGGAGCCCTCCTGTATTGGATCGACAACATGGTGAAATCCGTGGGTACCAAGTTCACTTTCAAGTTGTGTCTGCTGATGAAGACCCATTAGGACCACCCCAAGTCAAGTGGGTTCCACTTCCAGATATAAGGGTAAGATGTACTGCTTTATATTCCCTGTGAAGCTACATGTATTCTGTAGCTTTATCCCTTGCTATTCATTTTGCAAGCTTATTATCAGGAATTTGTTTCTGAGATAGCTAAAAGTCACTTCTTTGAGCTGTTTGAACCATGGCGACAAACCTAGCATAAGGATTTTCCCCTGGTTTTCGTGGTTACTGTGTGATTAGCACACACATTCTAGTCGATGCACATCTGCTGTCTTGTTATATAGTTTGACTCCTTATGAATGAACCATACTTTAAAGACTATTAGTGACGTCAATTCCTCTAGTAACGCCTCTTGTGATTGACACCATCTCCTTTGTTTACCTAATTACCACATTATCTTTGTTCTTTGCTTCCTTTGTCTGCTTACTCTCCTGCACCCCTAACTCTTCATCCATTGTCCTTCTCCTTTCATGTTTGCTTCTGTGTCTCCTGCATGTTTATCAATCATTGATCCCTTGTCATTGTGCTTTTGTAAAACGATTCTGCTAGGATCAAAAATGTTATCGTTTATATCGGATCAAGTTAGTCAACAGTTTTCTCAGAAAACCTAGGAGAAACCCTGATTACCAGTACTAGACATTGTTTTGAGTGCTGAAAGGTTAAATTTTACTGCTTCTTTATTTAGAACATTTACATGTCTGTGCATGTACAAACAAATGTACATATACATGCAACTTAATTGTGGGTGTGCGTGTTACTTTGGATTTTTACTTGTCAGAAGCATTAGTTGGTGTAGTGTTTCCTTTTTTCCCAGGTTAAGCTTTGTTAGTCAAAGACTCTTGTCGTTTCCAGCATTATTTCAACTCCTGAGTGTGGATAATGAGTTTAGAAATTGTTGAATGGTGAATGGTTATGAAGTCTTTGTTGTATATGTCTCATAATTTGAAACGTCTATTGCATTGTGCATCCTAATCATTGAAAACAAACACATTCTGACGGCAGTTTTAATATCATTAACAGAAGAAGATTTTATAGCCATCTTCCAATTAAGTAAGTTTGTTTTGCGGCCAAAAGGGTGTGAACCAAAAACAATAGTTTCTGGAATGATAATTTTATGAATGGAACTTGTTTGGAGGGATCTTTTAAGGCTTGTTTTTGATTTAGGATAAAATAAATCAAGGCCAAAGTCACCATGGTTAGAAAATCACATTTTCAGAAACGTCATGCATTTTGAATGTCCACAGACGTACATTTCAGAAGAAAAGGATTTTAATTTTCATCTGAATTAATGTTAACTGCAACAACCTATCCCCCGCCAAAAAAAAAAGAAGAAGAAAGACCTGATCACTGAAAAGAAAACAAATGGGGCAAAAAAAGAGAGAATGTCACACAAGTTTGAGTATTATTAACATTGCCCTGTTTGTCCTCTCTCTTCCTAACTTCTCTATTATAGGAAAACGCAGATGAACAGGTATTACACAATTGACACAACACAGTACTTATAGGGCTAGATTTCTAGTGCTGTACACCCAATATCCCCTTGGAATATCCATTCAGTGGGCATTTTGTCTTCAAAGAATGTTGGGGTGGTAGGTATAAACAGGGGGTAGTTACCCTTGAGTGGGAGGTCTTATTTTCATAGACCTCTCACTTCTGGGTGTAGTTGATGACAGAACTTGATGGCAGAAATTGAAAGGTGAGATTGTCAAAATAATAGTGCACTTAATAAAACACCAATAAAATTCATTTGAAACCTGTTTACACTTTTTAGTCCTAAAAGTAATTTTGAGTAGCTGTCAAGTGCATTGCCCAAACAGTAATGTCGTGTATGTGGTCACCTTAACTAATTGAAGTAATGTAGTGTCATGTGATGTGCACCCCAGATCTGGCTCTTTGTACCAGCAGCATGCTGAGAGTCAGCACAGTCTCCTACCAGTGCGAAGTGTGCATAATGACCTCAAAAGACGATAATTTTAACAAAATGTTTTCCGCTGAGAAATGAACGTTTTCAAGGTTTTTTGTTTTTGTTTTCTAACTTTCTTTAACCAGTTCATGCTGGGATTATTTTGACAAGAATGAAAAGAGGCACGGGATTACTTTTCACTCGACCTCAAGCCAGGCAGGTTGAAGCCATCACCTTTGGGCAGCACAACCCGCATTTCTGGCCTGGCTCGCTGCGAGCGGGTCGCTGACAGATATTTCTGGTCTCTATCCCTGCGTGTTTATCTGTCATCTGTTACGAATACTGCACAAGTTTTGCATATACTGCCTCCCGCGTGAACTGGTTAAAACAAATATTTTTGTACTTGGTGTAGTACATAGATGAAACATTTCTGTGGAGGGAAACTAAATCACAAAAACTTCTTTTTGTTAATCAATAGTAGGTTTTGCCCTTCTTTTAGTTACTTCCTTGTAATTCACTTTGATGATATTGCTATCCTTGTTAATTAAACTGATTTGGTTTTTTTTTTACAGGAAAAAATTCTGGAAAATCTTTCCCCCAAGACTTACTATTCAATTGAAATTGCTGCCTATACCATCAAAGGAGATGGAGAACGTAGCAGACCAAAACTAGTACAAACTCCAGGACAAGGTACAAAGAATTTAGAGGAAGAAAACTAAAATGAAAGCTTATTGGTTAGATAGTAGGTGGGTTTACAAATAATGAATGTTATGAGTTCAATGGTAAGAATAACTATTCAACTCCGTGACCCAAATGCACAAATGTGAGCATGAATTATTTGTTTTATACAACGCCTGACTAAATCCTCGTCATCTGATTGGTAACAAGTGTAACCATGCAATGGAACTTTGATTTACTGTGGAATGGAGCTTCCGTTTTGTGGTGTGGCTGGGCCGTGGGTTGTGATGAATACCTCAATGACATGTGATCATCCACCCACCAGTTAGATGATATTCAGGTGTTGTATTACATGTTCTATGATAAACATGTTAAGCACTTCGGGTCAACTACATGACTGAAATTGAAAATATGAACTTTCTCAAGTGTTGATGCGAGTGAAAGATGATATTTGAAGCAAGATGTTAAGTCCTACCGGTATATATCAACACAGTTTTTATATCATGTGTTCTCATGCAACATATTTGAAATTGAGCTAATTTAAATGGCCTTATACTTTTAAATTGTGATGGCAATTTCTTGAAATTCCAGCGCCACTTTTTAGGGGAGCAGTTTTAGGAGTAACGCTTTCTACCGCTTAATAACCGAAAGTGTTTATGTTGTACTCATGTAGTTCCTGGACAACCCAAAAGGTTTGTGGTAGAGAGAATTGAGAGTGGTGACTACCATGCCCATTGGGAGAGGCCTGATGATACCCATGGAGACCTGCTTATGTACAAATTGAGCTACCAGACCAGTACCAGTAGACCTCTGTATCGGGAGATTAGACCTCCAGCCACTGAGTTCTACCCTATTACTCTTAGTAAGTAAATTCACATTATGATTTCATTATTTGATTAAATGATAGTCATTGTAATTTGAGGTAAATTTCATAGAACTATAAATCGTTACTAATTTGTATAAGTGAAAATGTGTTACCAGCAAAATGTTATCAGTGACAGATTCTCTGTTAGCTTTTGTTTACCAAGTTTACCAAGTTTTTGTTTTCAACTTGTAGTCTTTGCTTAGCAGCTCTTTTGAAATTAACCCATGATGTCTTGAAAATTTTAAGTTACGGCATTTCTGCTTTTCCTGTAACACAGGTAGGTATTTTTGCATACATAACATGGTCAAGTTGTAGGGTACCAAAGTCTGACGCTGGTTCACTATGCACGTGAACTAGAACACGCAGCACACTTTGGTACTCTATAGGCCTCCCATTGTTACATTAATTTTCAGGATCAATGTTTAAATACAGGATGGATGTTGAAATGATCTTCTTGAATGAACTATACTCAAATATTTTCCACCAGATAAGGGTCAGAGATACATCTTCACATTGGCTGCAAAGAACAGTGAAGGGTATGGTCTTCAAGCAGAAACTGATGTTATCACACCTGAAGGAAGTAAGTTTGTATCAGCATATGTTTGAGGATGTGAAAGGAGTACAAAAACATGTATACATGATTCAGCCTTGAACAATTGTATGCACTTTTCAAACTCTAATCAGTTTTCTTACTATCATGACTATAGTGAGTTTTTGTTGATATTAGAAAAGATTACATGTAACTCAAGCATTTTTTGTATTAAATGTTTGGACCAATTTCTCATTTTCTAGAACCTACAGGCGCCCCACAAAACTTCACTGGGAGGGCATTAACTAGTACATCTATACAATTGTCCTGGTCCAAACCATCTGATGAGGAGAGTAATGGAGTAATCACACTCTATAGTATACTCTATTACTTGGAGAAGGAACCAGGGCAAGAGTTTACCAATGACACTGTCAACACTCAGGTCACCTTCACTAACTTGAAGCCTAGCACACAGTATGTCTTCAAAGTGAGGGCTCATACAGGAGTTGGCTCAGGTCCCTATGGAACTGAAGTGATTCTTGTCACACCACATCCAGGTAAGAATGCCTAAGACTTTCAAAACCCCTTTCTCCCCTTTCCATGCACAGGGTGCATTTCCCCAAAGAATATGGTCATTCATACTGCATTGCATGTTAATGATATTAGCTTAAGCTCTGTCAGCATGGTTGGATCTTACAGAGTGGTTTATCAGCTATCCGTTGATTTCTTACTTATAACTCTGCAAAGACTTCAAACTTTCTTTTGCCAAGCCAGTCTGATTCAGTGGTGAGAATGCAGTAGAATAGGATTGGGTTTTTTTTGGCACTGTAAAGTTTTACATCAACATGTTAAAAGTTCCTCTTGAGTTGTTATTGTTCTTTAACCTTAGTTCAAAATGAACTAATGCTGTCAGGGTATTTTTTTATGATCATATAAAATATTTATAGCTTGCTCTTATGCTATTTTCAAGTTAATTAATAATAATTTCAATCACTTTTCTTATAGCAATAAAAACGATATTCATTTTTTCAGTAAGACATCTAATGAAAATATCGCCTTATACTCTGTTATGAAACAATTGCTTCAACACTTTCAAAAAAATGTGTGGACTGACAATAAATCATGTGGATCTCTCTGTGAATTAAAGTCATACAAACAGCCTGAAAGAAAAGCCTTTCTTTTTGGATGAGGGTTGGAGATGCCCAAATTTAAGAAAAGGTGTTTTTTCTTGGTGAAATAAAGCATAAGAGTTAAGCTTGTTAGGAATTTGTTGAAGAACATAGGGAGAGTACCTTTAAGCTATAAATTGAATCTCTGTTTAATTGCTCACATTCCTTGCACATTCCCCCAGCTCCTAGAGAAGCACCGCGTTATGTCCATGCTAAGCCAGTCAGCACAACCTCCATCCTAGTTGAGTGGAAACCACCTCTTGACATTGATAGTAGTCGCCCTGGCTTGACTTACATTGTGTACTACACAAGTGGGTCTGTAGATTCAAATCTTGACAGCTGGCAACGGAGAGTTGTTGGTAATTTTCACTCTGAAGAGATAAGTGGTTTGGAGCCCAAAACAGTCTACGCTATAGTAGTGCAGCTTCAAACCCCTGAGGGCAACTCTCCACGCTCATACGTTGAGCGTGCAACAACACTTAAGGAAGGTAATTTGTTGAATTAAAAACATTTTCATACATTTTGTAGAGAGTTTGGCATGATATTGTGTAATTCAGCCAGAGATGTTATACTTAAAGTCAGCTGTTGTTAAGTGTGGTGTGTGATGTGCCATGCATGTATGTACTTTCACTAGGATACTCAAAACTAGGTGCCCCTATGTACATACAAAATGCTTTCTTGGCCAGCCATGTACATGTAGTTACATACCTTTAAAATGTTGATGGTGAACTTGTAAAACTTGGCACACAATTTTGTATTCTGCTGCCAATTATATAGGCATTTTTGATTATCAATAAATAGATAAAAATCTAGATAAAAATGGATGGATGTCAAATTTCCTTTGATTTTGAATGAAGGGGGGGGGAGAGATCAGATACGTTGATTACAAGTTGTTGTCAGGCAGACAGGCCCTAGTTGACAAAAATCCTGACACATTTGGAATTCATCGATAAGCTTTGTTTGTCCTGTAAACAAAGATGTTGAATGTTGTGCCTTAAATTTTCTCTTTACAGAGATGAAACTTTTCTGATTTTTCAAATTTATTTCCAAAATACCGATTTTTGGGGGGGACAATCTTTTCCCTGCAAAATCTCATTTTTAAAAAATTATATTTCAACAAATTTGATGAAAGCGGCACCGCGACATCTGTATTGCGAGCGCAATTTTAATTTGTTTTACCAGTCGTCAGTGCCCAGATTGTATGACGCACACAATAAGTAAGGCTGGGTTGGAGTACTTTACGGCTGAAAATAAGTTTAAGCATTAAAGGGAAGATACAACATTTGCAAACATCAAAAAAAGGAATGATTAAATTATCACATTGTTTATGTTCATCCAATCACAGTTGAGGCCCCACAATATACCACAGGGTGAACCCTCTCCCCCCCCCCCCCAACAAGTATCCAACATTAGCATTTCATGTTGATGGAGTATATTGTTTGTACTCTTGTTTATAAGCACATCAAAAATTTGATGAAGAATCCATATTGGACGATAATATGTTTATAACTCAACACTGAAACTAGTGACTGTATTTGGTATTTATGATGCTTTTATCAAAATATGACTTGTCACTTTGAAATTGGCTTATTGAGTAATATGGATATATCAGGTTATCAGAAAGACATGGTTGACTCTGGCTTTTTAAAGGTAGAGTACATCATTTGCATTTATCCAAAAAGTAACTGACAAAGTTATTGTTGAAAATTTTACTTGGTTGAAAGATGGTAAGGGCACTAAACTCCCTGTGAAATGATTCTTTTTGGCATGCTATCATTTTGAAGAAAACAAAAGATCATTTCCAAAGATGCCTCTAAAGACACATTTTTGGAAATTCCTATTTGAAGTTCGTACATGTATTTAATTTGGCAACTGGTGCCCGCAAACGTTAACACAATGCACACACGCTTCAAATTGTTGGTTCAGTGCAAGACATCACGTAGCTGCAATTGGCTGAATGAGGATATGTCCCAGACTGATTTCGGGTGGGTAATTCAAAACATAACCCGGCAACTTTTGAATTGAAATCGAGATCCTAGAATATTGTTTTCTCAGCATTCACTGAGCTAAAACTTCATCAGGTTAAGCTGTTAACCCCCCCCCCCCCTTTTTGATATTGAGCACCTTTTGTTGCTTCAAATGGAAAAAAAAAATGCACAAATGACTAATGATGTACTTTACCATATAAAGACAACAAAAAAAATTTAAAAATTGTGAATCATGTAAAATTATATGGATCATGCTAAAATTGATACATAAATGCAAGTCTGTCCTTTTCTTTTTGGCTTTAAACTGAAGAAATTCAGACAAGCCTATCATATGTGGTCTACTTGATTTCGTTTTTAGAATCAACTGCACCAGACAGATTTCAGGCTGAGCTAAAAGATGGAAATTCTGTCAAGCTTGTTTGGGATACGCCATCTAGCACAGATGGTTCCACCACAGGATACAGAGTGAGTTACATGATGGACAAATCCTTCATTTAAGAGAATCTTGTGTCATACGTAGTTCATGAAGGTATACATATTCTGCCTTTGGGGCAAGGCATCCTACAAGTGTTTTAAATTAAAAGACTGCTTTTTGTGGCATAACATAAGTAACAAGCTTTCAGTGAGATGTTTAGCCTTCAATAACTAACAAATTAATTATTGTCACAAAACCCTATTACGGTGACAATAGTTCCTTGCCGGTACAACGGCTGTGTATTGAAAGTACTGATGTGCATTGAACTCTGAATGATAAAGACCACATCAATAGTTTTGAAAATCTCAGCAAAAGGTTACAAAAGTAATCAAAGCTATTCATCTCATTTATGTTTCCTTGAGTATCAGTAACCCCAAAATGCCAAAGTAAGAACAATATTAAAAACCGCAGAAGGGTTTATTATGAATGATTGATTTCATGACCAAACTATTTTGAAATAATGATGAATTAGGTATTTAAAGACGGCCTTTTTGCTTGTTTGTGGCAGCAAGTATTATAATTTTTAACATTTCTAATGTTCCATGTTGTCTCTGTTATTTTTCCCTCTGTTCCAAGCACTTTTTTAAAAATATTTCAATCGAGAGTTTGAACAGATGGTTGCTTTGAAGAGATTTAGTATTTGCAACACTTGCAAACAGTCATTTCACATTTTATGTTGTGCTATAAACTTACAGATTGTGTATGCCACAAGCCCCCAGGGACAGAAGGAGCACCCAGATCACGTTGATGAAGGCCAAAGCGTTACTCTGACTAATGAACACAGGACTTTCCATATATCTGCTTTGAAACCAAACATGGAGTACCAATTCAACATCACAGCTGTTACTGAGACTGGAAGTAGTCCCCCTGCCACTGTCTTGGTACATACGAGGCGGGCTGGTATGTTTTGTTTCATCTAGATAATTTGATATTTGGTATATTTTTGGTGCTTGGTTTAGTGAAAGCATTATACATAATGGAAACACTTAAAGGATTACTTTAAGGTGTCTATAAGCAAAGCTAATACATACTTCATCTTGCTTGTCCATAACCAAAAAAGGAGGAAAATTAAGAAGTTCCAATTAAAACCGTCTGGATTGCACATTGGCCATTGCTCCCTGTTTATTTAATAACAATCAGACTAGTGTTTCCACATTTTCTAATGGTATGTACCAGGGTAATCATGCCTTGTCACATAATGTATGTACATGTACACTTGCAATGACCAAAACGCATATTTCGGATAGAAGACGAGGCAAATAAATTTGAACAACAACTAAGGCCTTTCCTGCATATACAAGCTAAAATATCAATTCAGTAAACAAGTAACATTCCAATGAAGTTATGACCAGTTTGCTTACACTTGCATTGTCATGGGAGTAGTAATATAATGCATGTATGGCAGATGGTGTCTTCAATTCAAATAGTCAATCCGATATCCACACTTTTTCCGTGGAGATCAGAAGCTTGCTAAGGTGGGACTGTAATGCATGATCTGCTGCTTTCTAATGCAGATATCTTAATTCTTGGACCACCAAGTTTTCTGGGGCTGGTTGCCTTGATGGTACCACTACCAATCTCTTAAATGATGTTTTTTTTGTATCAGGGAAATGCAAAATTTGTTAATATTTGATTTTGCCCTTCAATGAAATTTTATGAGAGTTATTTTGTGTCTCACCTTAGTACTTGTTGCATTATGGTAAGAAGCTTCCTTTAACCTCCAAACCAGTGGCACATACTTTGTACTTTGACAAAATTTGTGCATTAAGACCCCTGTGCATTTTAGTCTAGGCTGGTTGGACCAGAATCCATTGAATTGCTACAAAGCCAGGCTTGGGTTTGGTTTATTGGGGCCGTATGAGGTACTTTCTCAATTTCATATATATAATTTAAATGGTGCTAAGGTGTTTTTGTCTTTCAATTTTATATTAATGCCTCAATATGTCAATACCACAATCAAATAGGAGAAAAAAGGCACTTTGCTCTGGAGGAAAAGCAGATTATAAGTGTCTATTTGGGTTTCTAATTATAAGTTACGATCAAAATATGGAGATATCATGACAAGACCATTACGACTTGAGACCATCACAGGTCCAATCACAAGTAAGATCATAAATTAAAGGTAGAGAGGCTGCTGAAGAATGACAAAGATTGTTTTTTTTTTTACAGTTCATTTGAATTGATATTGACATGTGCGAAGACTTGATGACTTGTGATTGACGTTAGAAGACTTGAATCCAAATCTGTTGAATTACATTACAACAATGGAAGTTAATTGATCTGAAAGAATGTTTGTAAAAGAGAGAAAACAAATTGGAAGACTATAACTTACATATGTAGATACCGAATGACAAAGTCTTGTCAAAACAGGTCACAACTGACCAGGCACCAATTTCATGGCTCTGCTTGGTGGAAAAAACATTCCCACTTACCATAGCAGAACATTCTGTGGGAACGGTTAGTATTGACCGCGGTATTAAACAAGGAATTTTGGCTTATGCACATTTGTATATCCCCTTAGGATTCTGTGATGCGAGGTTAGCTCAGATTTGTTTTGCTAGAGCTATGAGCACAAAATTGGTGACTGTATGCACACAATTCTGCAGTTTAGAGCCGTGAAATAGGGGCCACAGGATATTGACATTTACATTTACTTTATTTATCAGTCAGTTAAAATATACACAGTAAAAACCAAGACAAACAAATTAAAGGACAACAACAGAAAACAAAAGAACCTAACAGCTCCCGAAGGATCGCCCAAAAGAGACAAAGTCTCTGTCGAGGGGCTCTCCTGACTAAAAGGTTCACACACACACAAACTAATTAAATTAATATCATCAATATCATTGATTTTGAAGAAGGTTTTACTACTGGCAGGTTTGATGTACATTGCATTGAAAAGATGTTCGCATTGAAATGACATATTTTTTACATGTCTTGTACTTTATTATATTTGCAGCCCCCAATCATGTGCCCATTCCAGAAGTGGATATGGCATTAACCACAGCCACGACACTGACAATCACAATTCCACCGCTAGATTCAAGGAATGGCCAAATAGAGTGAGTGTTAATGTCTGATAAAGAATAATAAATATCGGAATATTTTATTATCATATTTGTAAATGGAATTTTGCCAACATGTTTTCTCTCTCAAAGGATTTCTTTTCTTCCAAAGTTTTCTTCTCATGTTTGTGTTTGGATGAGTTGTGGTAAGAAACGCTCTTCAATGTAGCCCTCTCGACAAAGTCAATTCTAAAATATGCACTTTTATACGTGCATGTTTTAGGACATTGGTTTTATCACTTAAAGGGAATATACAACATTTAGTAAGTGACAGTCTAAAGCATCCTGTAACATCATGGCACCTGGTGTGCTGACTTTTTCAAGAAAAGTGGTGTTTTTGTATCAATTTCCAACGCTGGTCGGAAAACGCTGGCTTTTTCCAAATAGTGCCCCCAATTTACCATGTTTAGTTAGTCTGAATTTTGTGTGCAATCGATTACACATCTATCAATGGGTACAAGCCTTCTAGACTGGTTCCCTGACCTTATCATTCCCTGACGTCAATAAATTGCTCCATTTCAATTTAATGGGGTCAGGGAACCAGACTACAAGAACATCATTGTTTTTCTTGGCTTCTCCAGCATCTACGAACACAAAACTTCAAACAAGTCAATGTAACAATATTTGCTATAAAATATTAATCCCCCAAATCCATCCATTTCTGAAAATTACAGCAAAAGCAAATGTTGTATATTTCCTTTAACCCTAAAAGGGCTGGGGGGGGGCAACCCGAGCTGTTATGACTTTTTAGCCTCAAGCCTTTGACCTATAGTCATGAAATTTCTTGGGTATGTTCATGATGAGTTGCTCTATTCGTGTACTGAGTTTCAAAATTTTTCATCACTCGATGGTCGAGATCTTGGGGGGGGGGGTGGAATTCCCCACCTTTGTGAATTAAAATTTGTGGTTGATTTTGTTCTAGCATTTGCACTAAAAACTAACAAACAAAAAAAGTTAATGAAAATTTGATGTCATCAGATACCTAATCCATTTCAGTTTTGTTAGCAAAAACTAGAATGAGTTTTCCCTTTTAAGACGTTTATGGGGCCTTTTCTGCTGATGCTCTTTAGCATGACCATGTACTTAATTTTTGGTGTATTTGTTTTTTTTTTCTCAGTAACGTTTTGATTGTGGTGGTTCCTCTTGATGGGCCCAGCCTTCCAACAGGCTCTCCTAGCGATTACTCTATGGATGAGTTGTTGCCTTCCTCTGGCCATAGAAACCAGCGAGATACATCATTGCGCAAGCGTCGGGCCACCAGTAATTCCCTTCCATACATTACTGCTTATCTCCTTGCAAGTGAGCTGACTGTGCCCTTTACCATTGGAGATGAGCGCTACATCAATGGGTTTCATAATAGGCCACTTGAGGAAAACCGTTACTACACATTCTTCATAAAAGCTAGAGTTTTATCTGAAGATGAGGTATATTATTCATATCAAATTAGCAAATTGCTTGAAAAGTAATAGTTGAATTACAAATTACCATCTGTTGTTGATATGGGCATTGTTTTGCCATTAGAAAGGTTCTGTTTGTTTGTTGAACAGAAAACTAACTAAAGTGGGTATTTAGCTAGCAGCCTCAGGCATACTGTACAAGTGCTTTGCTCCAGCCAATTGAGTAACCTAAATAAATTGTTTTCTTATTTATTATCGTTTTTTGGGGGTTGCATGCCCAAGTCATTATATCCACATGTTAATTTGATGTCAAATCAACGGTGCTGTAATTTACCATTGCTCTTTCAGAAATACAAGCAATGATCTACTGCATATGAGCCTTAAATAAGATTTATTCAAATTAGTTGAGCCCAAATTGTCTGAGAGGGATGAATGACAGTACTTACCAATGTAACAGTGAGGAATAGCTTGATTAGTGAGAACAGTCCATAATAAAATGTGTTGTGTATGTTTTCTTTTTTAATAACCAATGAATGTTGGAATGTTAAATTGTCAAAATCATTTCATGGCTGGAGTGCAAGATGAAGGTCGTTTAAAAACTCCATTGATTAAGAATGCATTAATTTTGAGATGTAAAAAGTTTTAAACAATTTTTAGATGTTTGCTTTTATGTTTAACTTTGTTTTACCAATGGATAACAATTTTCAACACAATTACAGTCAACAACCAACATTCCAGTCTTTAAAACAGCTGTTATTCTATTCTTTGCAGGAGTTGTTAGTTGCTTCTAGTGATTATAGCCATCCAGTACAAGTTAAGAAAAGAATCAGTACTGCACCTGGTGGTAATAATGGCACACCAGAACCAAACCGCTCCAACCCTAGCAAAGAACCTAGTGACAGCAGTTCAATGCCAGCCATCATCGGAGCAGTCATTGGTGTCATCATTCTCCTGGTCATCATCGTCATTATTATAATCTTCCTTAGGAACAAGAGGTTTGTTTATGCATCTTAATTTTATCTTGCTGTAAGTGTTTCATTAGAGTTAAACTTTTTGTATGGAACTTGAATTTGAGACCAATTCCAAGCTGTTTTGTTATCCCATTGCAGGAGAAGTGGACCCACTGAGCGTAGACCGAAGCGTAAGGAAGTCAAGTCGACAAACCCATCTGACCCAGTAGAGATGAGAAGAATGAACTACCAAACACCTGGTAGGTTCAATATTGGATTCTTTACATGTAATCATTAAGAATGCAAGGGAAATTTTGGCAGTGATAATTTGATGGAAGCATGCATAAGATAATTATAATACATTATACATCATGCTCAGGTATGGATAGGAGGCTTGGCTGTTACTTATTTGGCATGTCATTTATTTGTTACTATAGCTATGATGTCGCATCCTCCCATTCCTGTTATGGAATTGAGTGACCACATTGAGCATCTCAAGAGCAATGAAAACCTCCTCTTCTCCCAGGAATATGAGGTGAGATGTTAAGTGGTATTACCTATTCAGTTTCAGCATGTAAACAAATAATGCAAAATACAATATTTATGATGTCTTTTCAGTTGTCCCCTATATAAAATGATACTAATATGATTTTGGATTCGAAAACAGTTTCTGAGGTTTGGACTGATAACTTGACAAAAAACATGATAAATGTAAGTTTGTTACATTTTAGAATCCCGCCTTCTCCTGGCTGCTCAAAGTCAGTTTCGATGGCTGTTATAACTATAGTTAAAATTTAAGAATAATATTTTTTTTTAAAAGCTGTGGTTTATAAACACCTGTTATGTTTTCATTCTTTAAAGTTTTTTCCAAATGGATATACAGGTATCGCGTTTTGGATATAAACTCTTCACTTGTTCAGTACCCTTTTTACACTGTCTTTTAAAACAACCCAGATTTCCAAATTTTGCCAGATTTCCAATGAATTATTTTCCCTGATGATGATGATGTCGTATGCTATGGCGATCTTGTTGTATTGTCCGTAAGCCAGTCGCTGGGTCCTCGGCCAAGTGAAGGGCTGCGATGCCACCAGTAAGATAGTGGGCAGTCATTGATCATATGGCGCATCGTCTGGGGTTCGCCACAGTCTTAAAGCGGAGATGAGATGTAACCCACTTATATAGGCTGCTGCGGCATGGCCCTGCGTCAGTTCGGAACCGGTTGAGGAGACACCATTGACCGCGGGGAATGTCTATCTCCCGCAGCTGGATGGTGGGGTCGGTGACCAGGAACTTGTTCAGGACGTCAGTGTGGTCTCGCCATCGGATGCGCCATGGGTCTTCTGCAGTCACTGTGCTGTCCGGGACATTGAACCATACTGGCTTTCTAGACTTGAGTCTAGGCCTTGGGTGGAAGTCCAGGACACTGAGGAGAGGGAGCTCAGGGTTGGATCTGATCTTGCTGACCAGCCTTGATGTAGCAACCTCTCTTCGGATGTCTGGAGGGGCAATGTTGCTTAGCACTGGGAACCCGTCAGTCCTTGTGCAACGAACAGCACCAGTGATGGTCCTCATGGTATTGTTCAGTTGGACGTCGACAAGGCTGGTGTGGGCAGAGTTCCTCCAGACTGGAGTGCAGTACTCAGCCACTGAGTAGCAGAGAGCTAGTGCTGATGAGCGGAGTGTCTTTGCATTTGCTCCCCAGGTTGTACCGGCGAGCATGTGGATTAGGTTGTTTCTGGTCCGAATTTTGGCAGCCACTTTCTGGAGGTGAGATTTGAAGGTGAGTGTTCGGTCCAAGGTGACGCCAAGATAAGTGGTTCTAGAGATGTGGCTCAGATGATTGCCGTTGAGGAAAATGTCTAGCTCTTGGTCACTGCTGGCGTTGTGCAAGTGGAAAACACTAGATACTGTTTTGGCTGGGCTGAAGTCGCCAGTGTTTTAGTATTCGCTGATCTTGGCTATGTCATTGTTGATGGTGGAGCCGAGGTCAGACCTTTGTGCCACACAGTATCGTATGCAGCAGTGAGATCAAGGAAGACAGCGCCAGTCTTTAAGCGTGGTTGGTATCCATTTTCGATGTAGGTAGTGAGGGCAAAAACTTGATCTTGAGTACTTCTGCCAGAACGGAATCCCGCTTGCTCGATGTGCAGTACATCCTCAACAGTTGGCTGGATCTGGTGGAGGATGATCCGCTCTAACAGTTTGTAGCACATTGAGAGAAGGGAGATCGGATGGTAGCTGGAAGCCAGTTTTGGGTCTTTCCCAGGTTTGGGATGGCGATGCTTTTAGCAGTTTTCCAGGTTTTGGGGAGACTTTTTAACAAATGTAATGTAGTTTCCCTGAATACATTTGTTAAAAAACTTTTAGCACACAGTAGTTGCTAAACTTCTCACAAAACCCCCTGAAAAAAATACTTGTAACAGCAGCCTTGATGTCATATCTTTGTGGGTAAGGTTACTACTGTTGTTATTTCTGTTGGTGAGTAGTTTCATATGTACTATTGTAGACCAATGGAGGCCTTTGTTCTAATAATGAATTGTTTGTTTCAGTCCATTGAACCAGGTCAGCAGTTCACATGGGACCATTCTAATCTAGAAGTAAACAAGCCCAAGAATCGCTATGCAAATGTGATTGCATATGACCACTCCCGGGTCATCTTGTCACGTGTTGATGGTCTGCCAGGCAGTGACTATCTCAATGCTAACTATTGTGATGGTTACCGTAAGCAGAATGCTTATATTGCTACACAAGGACCATTACCAGAAACACTTGGTGACTTTTGGAGAATGGTAAGTGCAGTCAAAATATGATCAAAATGTATATTTTTGCTATATTTGGTTCTTGATAAAGGATACAGAACTCATTTATCATCTGGACTTGTATTTATTGGAATTTGTGTGGTTTTTTTTTCCTGACCAACTGACCCTTCTTCAAGGAATAAAAAGGGTTGGATTAAACTTATTTGCCAGACTACTCTTTAAAGATGTAGCTGTTACACCTAAGGAGATCCGTGAGGCCGCCCAAAATCAAGCCATTTGGAAAAACATTGTGACCGGCTGCTGCGCAGCCGACTAGTAGTAGTAGTACTAAACTTATTTAAAGCAATTGGATTTGTATTGCTTTATCTTGGAGGTGTGGGAGCAGCGTACATGCACACTTGTGATGATGACCAAGTTGGAAGAGAGAAACCGTGTCAAGTGTGATCAGTACTGGCCTAGCAAGGGACATGAGACATATGGAGATATTCAGGTCACCTTGCATGATATGACGGACTTGGCTACTTACTCCGTTCGCAACTTTTCTCTGATCAATATTAAGGTGAGAAGTACTCAAGTTTGGGGATTTAAGCTTCTACTTGTTATTGCACAGGATTGTTGTTTAACTCAGTTTTCTGCAAACACAAGAAAAACAGATGTATTCCAACTCCTCAAATTTACTTTGAATATATTGCATGGCTATTTTTTAACCACTCACCTCCTTGCCAAAATGGTTAGGTACTCGTGTCAAAATGGTTTGGTACCTGAACTGATATTACTGTTCAAAATATTATAAACCTAGTTGTAGAGTGCTTCCGATCACCCAGGACCTACACCGTGACACGCACCCCCCCCCCCCCCCCCCCAAGCTGTAAGGCAGCCCCAAAACTGCTCTTTCAGGGTTACTAAAAAGACTTCACTCAAAAAGACTTAAAAGCTCAAAAGATACAGTAATTTTTGTTTTTAATATTAATATCAAGGTAGCAAAATATATTTGCATTTCATTGTTTGCACAGTATAGAACTTGTTTGATTTTCAGTCCCTGTTCTTCTTCACTGATGTGTTCCACATTCATTCTATCATTATGATTATTGGGTATCAGAAACCAGCAGAGAAACGGGAGGTTCGTCAGTTTCAGTTCACAGCCTGGCCTGATCATGGTGTTCCTGAGCATGCTACACAGGTTCTGGCATTTGTTAGTCGCATCAAAGCCTGTAACCCTCCTGATGCTGGGCCAATTGTGGTCCATTGCAGGTAGGCAAAACACATGTAGCACTTGCTGCATTCAAATTGAGGACTGTCCTATAGGCAGCAGAATCCACCTCGCATTGATGCGTGTGTTATTGCTGACGCAAGCCAAGTAATTCAGACATAGCCACTAGTTGCTGATTCAGGCAGTGTCTTTTAACAAGAACATTTCAAGATTAGCACCTGTATTTCACTTCATTTAATCCTTTATGAATCAATATGAATCAATGAAACTGCACAGAGCTGGTGTGGTTGGGGAGGTAGATGCAAGTATTGCCTCAACGTTTACAGTGTTAGGTGGTACTTTTGAATGTTTCGCTGCTTGACACTACTAATTTAATAGCCCAAAAGACAGACTGGAGTAAAACTTTGTTTTAATGTGTAATCCTAGGTACATGACTCTCCTTTGCTGGCTTTTCTGTAAGTAACCTAGGAGAAGCATTCTCTGTGGGAAAATTGCTTGCCATCACATTGAACCATCGTTTGTGTTTGTAAAAATATATTTGGATTTTTTGGCAACAAGTTTTGAGTTTTTGGGTTTATTTTTTTTTGTATTTGTTTTTGCATGTATCTTCTTACAGTGCCGGAGTGGGTCGCACTGGAGCCTTCATTGTAATCGACTCTATGTTGGAGAGGATCAAGCATGAGAAGACAGTGGATATCTATGGTCATGTCACCTGTCTCCGTGCACAGCGTAACTACATGGTACAGACTGAGGAGCAGTATATCTTCATCCATGAGGCTTTATTAGAGGCAGTGCTGAGTGGAAACACTGAAGTACCAGCAAGGAATCTTTATTCCCACATTCAGAAACTGACACAAACTGAGCCAGGAGAAACCATTACAGGAATGGAGAGCGAGTTCAAGGTGAGTATATCTTGATAACTAAGAGTTAAACAGGTTGCTTTTCCACTTGCTAAAAGGGAGCACGTTTTGTATTAAAACATGTTTCCTTGTAGACATGAGTGATATTTGGCATTGTCAGAGTAATAGTTGGAAATTCCTTGTTGCCATGCTAAATAAGCCATTTTTTGTGAGGAATTGGTTGGAAATTACAGTAATCCTGCAAAACAGACATTTAAAATAATTATTGGCTGTAATGTCAGCTTGAATGAAGGTTACGAAAACATACATGTAGTTAACTAGAGCTATGTCTGTTCAATGAACAGAACACAGGTTTTTTCAGCATGTAAAAAATATCTGTATATATATTTCAGAAACTATCTGTATTGACGACGTCATGCGCCAGACAAATTTCTCAAAATTGTAACATTTATCTGCCAAAAAAAGGGGAATTTATCTTTAAAATTTATAATTTGATTTCTTATGACGTCATGATGATGTCAAACATTTGGCACATTTTTGTGCAAATATGTATGACCTGGCAGACTAATTACAAAAAGAGTTTTGAACTTGTTCAGTTCTTGAGATACGGCTTTAAAGTTCAAAAATTCATAAAAAAATCACACAATGACGTCATCATGACGTCACCTCAATTTTTACCAATACTTACCAAGTTTCAATCCAATCAAACTTTGAGTTCTCTAGATATAGGTATTTAAAATATGCACATTTCAGATGACGTCACTCTTTGGGACACAAGTGCACTGTGGGGTCTTTACATAGGTTCAGTTTCATGAGAATACAGGTTTGTGATACTTGTAGGTCAAAAATGCCAGGCTGAATAAAACATGTGCAAAGTCTATAGAGTTGGGTTAAACTCAACTGAATGAGACTTTCTAGAAAATTGTTTGCCGCCAAGTTTAAAATTGAAAATTAAACAGTTTTATCGATTCGAAAATTAAATCGCGGACTCAGATCGTACTCGATCTTACTAATCAGACAACGAGCAACAAATATAATCTAATTGCTACAGTAAAATGTTGCCTCTAAAGGGGGGGCTGTGACATTAGGGAGACATGAAAATGTCTCTCTAATGACCGATGTCTCCCATCATGCAAAGAAATTACCATAACGTGTCTCCTTAATGGTACCATTACAGGTATAATTATAATAATAATAGCAATTTGGGAGGCTAATCATCCTTACTAGCAGCTGGGATGCTGAATTGCGAAGGACGCAGCTACAATGTGATCGGGCCGCTGGCAACTAAAGGCGCCTATGGCTGCCGGCCACATCGACCCATATATGACCACGGAGCACAGCCTGAGATCAAAAGTGTTTGATTTTTCCGGAGGGAGGAAAACCAGAGGGCCCGGAGAAAAACCCTCGTATCACAGGAGAGAACCAATGCACAACTCTACTCACACGTGACCCACGGCCGGGATTTGAACCGGGGTCACCTTGGTGAGAGCCGAGCGCTTTACGCACAAGCCACCCATGCCACCCAGACTAATCAGACTAAAATTGGACGAAAAAAAGCAATTATTCGTACCTGACCAGCAAGGAAGTTACGACATCCCCATGAAATAATGGGCATTTGGTTTAATTAAAAAAATGAAAACAACCTCATTCACATAAAGACAAAAGCAAGAAAGGAAAGAAATATTTATAAAAGGATACTTGGCCAATATTACAATTTTAAAGGTGTTATTATGTAAACTTTGTCCACAAATAGTGCCCCCTAGCGTAAAACAATTGAACACCCCCCCTCCCCCCCCCCCCCCCCACACACACACACACAGTCGTTTTTTGCTATGCTTCCGAGGATTGGCTTTGTGTTTTCCTTTGTTCCCTGATCTAAACCTTTCCCATAGACTTAGTGCACAAACCTGCGTTCGAGGACAATAGGCACCGTCGGATGAATGGCCCCTTTGTGCTCCTTTTGTTGTCTGTCCTCGAGCGTAATACAATACAGGAACACACACGCACACACTTTGTACCAGATTCCTAAATTTGACTCGGCAAGGTATTATATACATGTAACTTAATTTTTGCCCTTACATTTTTACAAGCTGTAATAAAGGATATATCAAGCTTTTGAGTGTTGATGTTTTTTTTTATGTTGTCTTTCATTGAACATGACAGCGTCTGGCCAATCAGAAGGCTCTGCCATCGAAGTTTGTGAGTGCAAATCTACCAGCCAACAAGTTTAAGAACCGATTGGTCAACATTCTTCCATGTATGTATTTTCCTGTCATCTCACCAAACCACTCTGAAACCATCACGTTGGGTGTTTCAGGAGCTAGTAAATGTAGGATTGACTCAGTCGACTTAACTTGAAAGGCACAACATGTATGCTGACATCACCTGCCAGCCCACAGGCCTAGCATCTGCCTGTAACTGTGCACGCGGTATCTGACACTATGCTGCTATGCAGTGGTCACTGGCAGTTCCTAATAAAAGCCTATTATGCATTGTACAGGCATATATGTGTGCGTTGTATACAAACACATTTATTGTTCACTCAGATTTGACAATAGTCATAAAAAAAACCCAAAATTTAGCCATAGGCTTTATTTTACAAACTCTTTACATTTACAAAAACAATATTATGAAAACAAACAGTATTTACTTATGGATGAATGAAAGTTGATCAAGCACTAGCAAACCAACATTGATCCAGTCACTATATTGATAATGGCTGCATTGATAACAGAAGGATTGAGAATCAGTCTAAAACAGCAGGCCTGCTATAATGGAAAGGCCATAACAAATATTAAACAAAACAAAAAATGATCAGCAACAATTGTTTTAAATGATCTAACAGTGAAGATTTCAGAAACTTAATGCACAACCTTGATTGTTTTCTTTGTACATGTATATTTTCTTTTTGGCTCCCCTTGACACTTATACGCTATTATTTGTTAAAAAAAAAAAAAGGGGGTATTTTTTTTTTTAACTGGTTGTCACCAATGTAAGTCAGTCAGTGAAAATGAATGCAAGCTTTTTATGTTTCTGATTAGAGACAAGCTCACATTATTTCTTGTTGATTAGAAGGGAAAGTACATGTACACATAAACAAATGCCATCGCAGAAGTATAACAACCGATCATTGTTACACATAATTCGGTCTCTGGTCAGACCAAAGTTCCAGAATTGATGCAGCGATGCATTTTTTTTTCATGCTTGGATTGTACAGTACAGCCGTCACATGACACAATACCGAACGGTCTAAGAGTTTTCACTCCACAAACAACGGACACGAAATAAGTGGCATATTTTTTGTATTTAGACGCGCTTTAGTTCACAATCCCAATTGCTCACATCGCATGTCATCGTGTCGATACGCGACTAGCCGCCATTGTTGTTGATCAGCTGGCAGCAGCCTTGTACCCATGGTCAACTATCATTCGTTCAACGTCAACCTTGTTCCGGATCTATCACTGGGTACGAGCTGCCCACGAACATTTGAGGCGGTGTGGCAATAGAGGGCGTTGTTGTAGCTAGCGAAGAAAATTTTGAAAAAAAACCCTAAAACATTGACGAGCACAATCAAAATAAACACGCGTGCTGACCAGACACCGATTTTTTTTTGGGAGGGGGTGGCTTACAGCAATGTTCTACTGTATTTGTACATGTGCATGTAGTCACGTTATTTCACCATTTACTGTAGTGATTAAACTTTACCATAGAGCAAGGACCCAATGAGTCAGAACTCTTGGGCGGTTTACATTTTGACCATTAACATTCCAATCCCTCGGGAATGTCAATAGCTAAAGCACTGTGACCTCAAGCCTTGCCATTCAAAGCGTGCATGCAAGCGGCCTTTGAACACCATGATCGTCGCCACCTTTTTAGTTGGTAACCAACAACCTCCCTATATGCTGCATAATAAGTCATGTCATGTCACTGCTCTTTTTTGAAAAATATATTTTTTGACAAGATAGGTTTTAACAACTGCGCAGTTGTTAGATGTGAGTTATGAATTCAAGTTATCGATGTGCAGTTGTTGGTCCTTGAAAGTGCTACCTGTCCCTGTAATTTAAAGATAAATTGGATTTTTTTTCAGGTAAGTTATGTCTTTTCAGACATTTTAATGGGCAATATATCATTTATGAAATGTTATTTTTGGGGAAATTTCACAAGTTTTCAGACTTAAGGTATAGATCATTTGTTTGTCATGAAATGATTGTTTCAGTGATCAGTGTTGACTACATTGATATACAGTATTATCCATCTGCGAACAAACACTTCCAAATCATTCATTCTTGGCGATGTATGACAACTGCGCATGCATACTTACCATGGTATTGTCTACAAAGCAAGGCAAACTCTTTTTTCTAGATTAGTGAGCGCGGATCTCTATTGTGTAGAGATTAGCGTGGTGAGCAACTGAGCAAGCTGGCTGCCAGGTGCTTTCTATTGTTGCTTGGAGTGCGGCGACCATCATTTTACTTTTGAAGTCTTGGAGTTCGAACTCCTTGGGTCCTAGCTCTATGAATTTACATACAACAACTCAGCTTACTGTAGTGTTTTACATTAAGTGCTGCTTTGCGTTCTTTAAAGCGGTATAGTGGTGATTTAAGTTTCAACAGGTATCAGTTTTCTGGTGCTCAATACCTCAGTTTACCGACACAAATCAGCTTGAATGAATAAGGAACAAATGTCTGTACTTTGTCTTATACCTTACCTTAAATTGCCATTTTATAATTGCATTGCCTTTGTGTTGTACATTATAGATGAATCAACTCGTGTCTGTTTGCAGCCAATACGTGGCGTTGAGGGTTCTGACTACATCAATGCAAGCCATATCGATGTAAGTAATACTCAAATCTGCATTTGCTTACATGTTTAGCTGAAACTTCTGGAATGGAGGCTAACCTTCAGGTCTATTGGATATAGTTGTTAATTATTTAATTTGTCAATTTGTCTCTTACTTCTACATTAATTTTTAGTTCCTTGCTTCATTGACATTTAGACTGTTTCTTTTGATTCATCTTTCATGTTCATGATGTTCTAGGTTTCCTCCATGTCTTTTGGTTGTTGTTGATTTATGATTAATGAATAAAAGACATGAATTAAAAAATATTGCGGGATTTCCATGAAGAACAGAGGCAAATACACATTTAGTTGACATGTTTTTATTTGATTTACCAATATTTTGACTTTTGGGTATTTTTCTTTTTGCCTCTGGAAAGAATAAAAACAAGAAAGTTGTGTTATCTGTTATTAATTTTAATAAGGTCTGAGTTTTCTCCTTGCTAACATACACACTTGATACAACAACAACTAGGACTTTTGGTTTGAAGTAACCAGCAGTGTCTCAGCGCCAGCAGTGTTCCCAATGGGAAGCCCTTTTATTCTCTTAATTTAAACATACTAAGGTTCTTAATACATTCAAATAGAAGAGTCTAATGTAAGAAAACTAATAAAATTAGTGTATTATCTCCCGCAATCACAAGTTATCATCCCATCCATGGCTGTGGATAAGACCCCCTTTACACAGGGCTGCGACATTTGGGCCTCCTTTGTGCGACCATAAAATTGGCCAGGTCACCGTTGGAGGCTCAAAAGAGGCTGAATGGTTGCCTAGGTCGTTCAAAGGTGGTATACAGGATGTTCAGACATCGCCATGGATGCCATGGTCGCGGTAAATTTGTGAACATGTTCAAAACAGTCGCACAAAGGTCACCGAGGAGGTTGGTTGCTCAAAGGTGGCTCACATGAGGCAGAAGGGAGGCACAAGCATTGCCGTGGTTGCAGAATGGATGCACAATGGTCGGCCAATGGTCGCAACGTAATACATCCGTTCTGTTGCAACTTTTACCGTCAATCTGGGCGATGCTTCTGCCTCTCTTGTGTCTCAAGGGTCGCCTAGGAGACAGGAGCATGGCAGAATGGTCGACCAGTGATCGCCGTTAGTTGCCGTTGGTCGCCGATGATGGCACAGAGGAGGCACAGAGGAGGCTCAATGGTTGCCCAAACATTGCTAGGGGGTCGCCTTTGTTGCCTATAATCGCATTGGTTGCCGTAGGTTGCACAGGGGAAGCACAGGGGAGGCAGGCAAGTGGCTCAGTGGACGCACAGGTCGCTCGTAGCTCGACATGAAAATGACCGAAAATTGCAGTTTTGGTAGTTCAAGGGAGGCACAATGTTTTTCTGGGTTAAGGCGACCGTTAAGTGTCCTGGCCATTTTTTGGTCGCTCATAGGTGGAACAAAGGTCCCAGTCCTGTGTAAAGGGGGCCTATTAAACTAACTATTTCCAATAAGAAACGTTATACACTCAACCAAAAAAGAAAGTCCCCCTCCCCCTTATACTTTTTGGTATAACTCAAAAACTGCTGAGCACTTCTTGGTCAAATAATGACTAATCAGTGCAGAAATTCATTGGGCATCCAGCCATACTCCTTATTTGCTCCAAAACAACAGAAATATGTACAAATTTATGTCATTTATGACAAATGATGCCGAATAAAAGTTGCACTTTTGTATACGGGCAAGTTGTGAAAACATTCCGTTTCTAAAGCAATCCTTCAACACAAATTTCTTAAATAAAAATAATTTCAAATTTTGTTTGTTATTTTTTACTCTTTACTTTACTGCATACTGTTCGTGTTGTTCAAGGTTCAGTGAACAAATTAATGTTCAAATTAAATGTTTAATAATGGGTAGGTACATGCAACCTCTCTTTCAATTACTTCTCGGCACCGTCTGCGCATACTGTTTTGCCAGGTTCCGTGTACGTTGCTGTATACATTATAAAGTTTGCAAGACATCAATGCAGGTGGAATAGGCAGCGCTGGGCAAATGTCCTTTTTAGCGACGAATGCACCTCAAGACGGTAGACGGCAGAGTCTGATAGTGTGGAGGCGAGTGGGTGAAGGACAGCATAAGGACTGCGTTCAAGAGCTTGAACCATACCAAGGTGGAAGCGTCATGGTGTGGGCAGGAATTAGTACCCAAGAAAAATGCATCTTGTCATTGTGCCTGGTCGGCTTACAGCTCAATGTTCTGCCATATGCCACCACTGTTGGTGACAATTTGGTTTCCATGGACGATAAGGCAACCTCACACAAGTACCCGAGTAACAAACCAATTCCTTGAGAATGAAGGAATAGAGTATATGGATTGGCCGCCAAAGTCTCTGGATTGCAACCCGATTGAAAATCTGTGGTATTACATGAAGCTAGACACCAATAAACGAGTGAAGCCCAACACCACTCTACAAGGACTGCAACGTATCCTTCAACGCTGTTGGAATAATGTGTACCAGCAACGTATATGGAACTTGACAAACAGTATGCGCAGACGGTGCCGAGAAGTAATTGATAAAAGGGTAGACCAACCCATTATTAATTTAATGTGAACATTTTATTTGTTCACTGAACCTTGAAGAAAATGAAAGGTGTGCAGTAAAGGAAAGGGTGAAAAAATAACAAACAAAATTTGAAATTATTTTCAAGAACTTGTTGCTGGAAGATTGCATAAGAAACAAACTGTTCACACACAACTTTTCTGTATACAGAAGTGCAACGTTTTTCAGCATCATTTGTCATAATTGCTGAGTGTGTTACACATTATCTTTTTTTCTGGCCAAATAAAGAGTATGGCTGGATGCCTAAGGAATTTCTGTACTGACTAGTTGTATTTGACCAAGAAGTGCTCAGCAGTTTTTGAGTTATACCAAAAAGTAGTGGGGGGAACTTTCTTTTTTGGTTGAGAGTATCTTCATGCTTATACCATCAGTACTGCCAAGTTAACATTTGTAAAACTCTGCTAAACAAATTAGTGTATCTTTATGATGTGTATTGAACATATACCCACACAGGAAGTAGGAAAATTGCTGTTAACATGCTAATAATTTATCAAGCCAGTATGATATTTTTCTGTTTGTTTATGGTGTAATTCTTCAGGGCTATAAGCAGAAGAGTTCGTATGTTGCTACCCAAGGGCCCCTTGCAGAGACCACTGAAGACTTTTGGCGTATGCTGTGGGAGCAGAATTCAACCATTATTGTCATGCTGACCAAGTTGAGGGAAATGGGACGGGTAAGTATATGTACATACAGCAAGTGTGTATTAAAATATCCCCCAAAAAACATTTGTATCCTCTCTATTTTCTGCGTTTTGATTGAAATTGCATTGAGCTACTAGACTTAATGGTCCGAAATGTATGCAACTTTTTGATTCACATTATTTTTAACTCTGGCATGAGCTTCTACATGTCTGTCCCCGAAAATTGACCAAAAGAATAGACTAATTGACCAAATGCCATGCCGTGTTCATAAAATGCACTCTTGCTGACGATTTTTGGAACCGCCATTTTGTTTCGATCGATGTATGCACATTTATTTTGCATATATGTCTGCCCCCAAAAATTGACCAAAATAGCCCCATAAGTTTCCCCCAAAATATAACTACCAGATCTTAATTTTCAAAAAAAGGCAAACAAAATCAATTCAGTGCTTTGGAAAGATGTTTATGAAAAGTTTGTAATGGAGGCAACATATGTGCAGTAATGTTATAGTCACATGGTATTTATCACAAATTGCTATAAATCTAGGTAAACATCTGAAGTATGATGTTCCATATGTGCAATGCGCGTCACACTTTTGGGCGTTGCATTTTTAAGCTCTGGCAGGGATCATTTTGATAGATTTTATGCAAGTCTTTCATTTAAAGATATAGTCCATCATTTGTAATTTGTGCATTTTGTTCGTTTGAAGCAACAAAAGTGTTCAAAATCTAATGAAGGATACTGAACAACTAACCTGATGAAGTTTCAGCTCAGCTTCAGCTGTATATTCCGAGAAAAACAGCATTCTAGGATCTCAATTTCAAATCAAAAGTTGCTGAATCATGTTTTGAATTGGGCCTGAATTCAGCGTCCGAGACACGTTCTCACTGAGCCGATTGCAGCTACGCGATGTTGCGCACTGATCCGACGAATTATAGGAACCGCGCGCGCGTGTGCGTCGTGCCAATGCTTGCACGCTTTTCGCCGAATAACAAAACAAACTACTAATTTAAATTTTCCTACGGTGCGTCTTAAGACGCACCGTTGGAAAGGCCTTCTTTCGTTGATTACTTCAAAATGACAGCTTGCAAGAAAGAACAATTTCACAGGGAGTTTAGTCCACTTACTATCTTTCAACCAAGTATGTTTCTCAACAATAATTACGCCAGTTACTTTTCGGATTGCTGCGAATGATGGACTATAGCTTTAACCCTAACTCCCAAGCATAATTTACTAGGAACCATACCCATCCAGGCAAATTCCAACACCCACATGGGAAATCATACACACACACACTGTTGGACTTAGTTTCTTTCTGGAGATATGCCAAACCCAGTGTAAAAGACCATCAGTTCAGGGGTACTGTACCTATTCTAACAGATTTCAACAACATCTGCTGTTGGACATGGGTTGAGTTCGGTTAGGGTTAAGACGGCCAGAGCTTATTGTGCACTCGCACTTGTTTTGTTTCATCTCTTTTTCACCGAACTAAGCATGACCAAAATAAAATTGATAAAATTGATGCAGAGTCATGCAGAAAGTAGCACTTGCATCAGGTGGTACTTATATCGAGTGACAAGTCATAAGATTCTCTTGCATTGATTCTGTCAACATGTTGATCCTTGTTAATCGTTCAGGAGAAGTGTCATCAGTACTGGCCCGCTGAACGGTCTGCTAGATACCAGTACTTCGTTGTTGATCCAATGTCTGAGTACAATATGCCACAGTACATCTTACGGGAATTTAAGGTCACTGATGCTCGGGTAAGTTCATGACTATTCTTGTAAACTGACCAATTGACCAATGCTTCATGTCACACCGCCAGATTCATGACCTCTTGATTCAATTTGTATAAAATTAATACATGTTTCAATATAAAAGTACAGCAAATAATGTAATTGCTACTCAATTTTGTCATCATCAGCGCTATTAAATCAAGCACCAATTCTCAATGAAACAATAGATTCATAAAAGAATATTTTTCAGTACAAAATCTAACATCATAGCACACATTTTGAAAATATTAATGATATTGAGGTTTGATTTTTGTTTTCATACGGAACATGCAATATGTTTGTTGGCTGTTTCGGCAACCGGCCGAAACAGCCTTTGTTTTTGTTCAGATTTTTTGGCTTTTTCGCAAAATTTGCGAAAAAGCCTTTCTTTTTGTTCTGATTTTTTTTTTTTTTTCTTTTTGGCACCAAAAATCCCATAGACTTTGTACACAATTTTTCTCTGCAGCACTTTGGGTATCAATCTTTGTCAGACATCATTCAAAGTTGGCATAAGCATAGTCCCTATTGCAAAGATGTGTCCTGAAGATTGATGTCATGGTGACGTCATTGACTAATTTATTATAGATTTTTGAATATTTAATTTTTCCCATAGACTTTGTACACAGAAATTTGGAAAAAATGGTCGATTTTCAAAGGGCATTTTTGACTCTTTGCCAGTAATTCATTTGCACCAATCTTTGTCCAAGCAAAGACCCTAATTCAAACAATATTGTGTAATGATGACGTCATGATGACGTCATCCGGTGTGTATTTATAGGCAATTAAATTGTGACACTTTTAATATTTAAAAATACATAAGAAATCAACCGTATGCGTCCGCAGCATTCTGCTACCGGCAAGTGGTAGAGTAGGTTGAGGTCTTTATTTCATTTAGTGTGCGTGAAATCACGTGACCTTTGCTTCCGGTCGAAAAAGGCCAAAACTGGAAGTGGCTTATTATTTGAAAATGGTAATGTGGCGAAGTTTGTTGGTTTATTGGTGTATATAATGACCTTGACCCACTTAAGACGTGTGCGAAGTTTTAGGCGAATGACGTCATCAGACCGGAAGTTATAACAAAAAGACCCGTTTTCATTTGAAAATTCCTGAAAAATCAACCATAGCAGTTTTTACGTTAGTTTTTACTTTAATTGTCGATTTAAGGGTAGGTCCAAAACATTTCAAAGCTTCGAGGCAATAGGGGAATTCGGACATGCCCTGCGCACGCTTAAAACTTCAGGTTGACAATACCCCCGGTACCTCTGCTCTAAAACATGCACAGAACGTCGACTGTACGTTACGCACATACATCGTATGTCAGTCAGCCTGCAGAGCACGTGTTGCCGAGGTCAAATCCTGTCCACATCACTGTGACCGTTTTAGCCGATTTTCGGGTAACTTTGACAGATTTTATGTTCATGCATGCGCATAGTCAGGGACTTATAATAAAAAAATCATAATGCTGAAAAGCCATGTGTTACGTATTTAAAGGTGCAGTTTTTCTGCAGTGGGATTTTCCACAAGTCTTTTCCTATTCAACACTGATATCTTACTGAGTAGTTCTGAACTTCAGCCGAGAATTACTATGAAAAGGAAAGAGAAATCGTATGTCATTCGATTGAACATATTCCTAAGTGTCAGAATATCAAGTAATATTTCATAAAAATGTTTCAGTTCAAAGGCAAATTACAAATTTAACGGTGCAATTTTTTGGCAGTGGGATTTTTTTTAGCCCGTTAACTTTGTACACGTGTTACTGTTAGCCCATTGACTTTGTACAAGTATTCAAGCCACCATTTCTGTAACTTGGCGATCTGGAATCGTCATCAATGTTACAGCCAAGGAAGACCCTCATACAAAAATTATGCCAAGACTATGACGTCATGATGACATCATCACCTAATTTTTTTTTATTGATTTTTGGAAATTTACGTGCATATTATGAAGTCCTATATCTACAGAACTGTAAGTCTGATTGGGTTGAAACTTGGTATGTGGCTAGACTGGGATGTGTTATAGGTAAAAAAAAAAAAATAGGTGACGCCATGATGACGTCATCCGGAGATTTTATATGAATATTTGAAGTTTTAGACCTTTTAGCCATATCTCATGAACGTAACATGCAAAATTAAATTTCTTGGTGTATTTGGTCTGTTAGGTAAAAGGTATTTGCACAACATTTTGACAAAAATATCTGACATCATTATGACGTCATAAAAATGCGATTTTTCAAAATACATATGAGGAAAGGTCTGACTGTCATGAAACTTAGTGGGTAGGTAAATAATGGTACTAGTATACAAAGTTTAAAGTCACATCACGATGACGTCGTCGTTTGGTTTTTATAATTTTTAGATATTTATAATTTTATTCTGCTTCCACAAATTGCACACTTTCTTTCATCGGATTGACTTTAACTTGGTTTAAACATAAATCACAATGACAAAATGTGCATTGAGAAGGGTCTTAAGGATGACGTCATTGCAGGGCAAGTGACATCATTTGATAAAATTATACTTTAGGAATTATTCTAAGCGTTTTGAACAACCTTTAACTGCATGAAGCACTTTGAAAAGTGACTGCAAAAGGACAAACGAAACAAATATTTGTAAAATGCGAAAAAGCCCTGTGTTCTGTTTGCAAACAGACATACAGCTCTAGTTTTATTTTTATATTTTTTATTTTTATTTTTCAGTCATTTTGCCCATTGCATTTGTACACGTTGTTTTGTCCAAGGCACTTTGGCCACTAAGATCAATCCGATTGACTTTATACTCGGCACACACTTAGAACAGCATCTGAAGATGTGTGCCGAACATTGACGTCATCATGACGTCATCACGTGACCCGTGACGTCACAATATAAGTGCATATTTTGAACGCCTATATCTCCATAACTACAAGTCCGATTGGGTTGAAACATGGTATGTACCTAAACCGGGATGTGTTATAGATGAAAATGTAAGCAACGTCACGATGACGTCATCATGTGACATGTCACGTCATATTAAAAGTGCATATTTTGAAGGCCAATATCTACAGAACTACAGGTCTGATTGGGTTGTAACTTGGTATGTATCTAGACCGGGATGTGTTACAGATGAAAATTGAAGTGATGTCACGATGACGTCATCACATGACATGTGACGTCATATTTAAAATGCATATTTTGAAGGTCTATATCTACAGAACTACATGTTCGATTGGGTTGAAAGTTGGTATGTACCAAGACCGGGATGTGTTATAGATGAAACTTGACGTGACGTCACGATGACGTCATCATGTGACATGTGACGTCATATTAAAAAAGCATATTTTGAAGGCCATATCTACAGAACTACAGGTCTGATTGGGTTGAAAGTTGGCATGTACCTAGACCGGGATGTGTTACAGATGAAAATTGAAGTGACGTCATGATGACGTCATCAATGGTTGCATGATGCTTTCCAAGAATAACCTGCCTAACACTATCTGTTCAATGTTTTGTAAAAATCAGGATGTTCACCGTCATTTTACTAGGCGTTATCATGATATTCACCAGACCTGGGCTCGTACAACTTAAACTCAAAAAACTGTTAAACATGAAGGCCCCAAGCTGTGGAATTCTCTCCATCCGTCTCTTAAAAAGGTGTTAAATGTGTCATTATTTAAACGCAAATACAAAACCCAATTAATTAACAAATATGTGGTAGAATAATCCCATTTTGTAAGACCAAATAACTCTAGTTTTATTTCGTATTACTAGCTCAGTACCAATATGTTTTTGTCATTTAACTCCTATCGTTGTACTTGTACTTGTAATTAATTGTAATTGTAATTGTAATTGTAATTGTTCTTTATTACAGTGGGGGTCTCCACTCGACAAGCTTATGCTTTTTGGAGACCTCCATCCAGCCATACACAATAATTCAAATGTTAAGTAATATTATTATGTACTTGTATGCGTTGGGAAAATTAAAGATTTGATTGATTGATTGATGTCACGTTAAAGATTAATAGATGCAATCTTTGAAAATCAATATAAAATCAACTGTGAGAGACCTGAACTTGACGTTTGCGGGAATGGATGGAATAATCCAGCTTCATTTTTGATATTACGTGCAAAATCGCGTGACCCTTCCTTCCAGTTGAAACCGGAAGTGCCTTGTAATTTAAAATTGGTGAAAGAAGTGAACTTGCTTTCAACGATGTATGCTTTGGCTAAGTTGTTTTTTTTTACAAAAACTAACGGTGACGTCATAAAATGTTAGAGCGCCCTCTAGCAGCAGGTTGTAATAGATGATTAGAGATGGAAATTGGTGTGACGTCATCATGACATCACGTGACATGTGACGTCATAATTCAAAGCCCTATGAGAATGTAATCACATATTTATATGCCACCATTTATTATAAACAGAACTACACATCCTTTCTGGATGGAACTTAAACTTGAAACTTTACATGTCACATGTCACAAAAAAAGTTACTGAAACAGCCCTGTATTTGTCCACAAACATAAGTCTAGTCTGTGTTTTTTTTGTTTTTAAATTACATGAAGTGTTTCATAGTTATGTGTTGGTTTGTGTTACATTTTGTAGGATGGACAGTCACGAACCATTCGTCAGTTTCAGTTTACTGACTGGCCAGATCAAGGGGTTCCCAAGTCAGGAGAAGGTTTCATTGACTTCATTGGCCAGGTTCACAAAACCAAGGAACAGTTTGGCCAGGATGGACCGATCACAGTTCATTGCAGGTATTTCTTATTTTAAACTTGGAAGACTTGACTAGACCCAAGAAGGGTGGAGCATAAGGCTATGTTATCAATTTGTGGATTGATCATTTGTGATCTACTCAGCAAAGTAATTTGACTTTGGTTTGACTTTAAGTCATTGAAAATATCCTGACAAGTGTTGTTTTTGTTATCATTATATCATGGACCTCCATGAAACTTTGGCTTGTTGTGTTCTAAGTAGATATCAATGATGGGATGGTTACGCCTCTTCAGCATGCGTACTAGGTTGCATCATAAGATGACCCTTGTTGGATTATTGGGAAAAGAAGCTCTCTCCATTCCATAATTAGGAGTGTTTTCTATTCATGACGTTGAGATCCTTTTACTTGCAGTGCTGGTGTTGGACGCACTGGTGTGTTTGTCACACTCAGTATTGTTCTTGAAAGAATGCGATTTGAGAGTGTTGTGGACATGTACCAGACAGTGAAGATCTTGCGAACTCAGCGTCCAGCTATGGTCCAGACAGAGGTATGTAGCAAATGCTCATAATTTTGATTTATAAATTGTGCAAAGTATTTGCCTAATTCTGTGATCATTCAGTTAACATATCTTCAGCTGTGTGGCAGAATTCTAGCCTATGTTATGTCATCCACCTTGTCTGTGTTTCTATTAGGTGGGCTGTCTGTTTATCTGTTGGCTGGCAGGCTGGCAGTCTGTTTGTCTTTTTTTTTGTCTTCTTTTTTCTGCTGTCAGTTGGATTAAGTGGTTGTTTATTTGATGTGCTGCAGTTGTGGTCATTATTATCCTGACCTTTCTTGCGAGATTGAAGTATCAGCATTTTCAATTGCATTATATCCCACTGCGTTATATCACCAAGAATGTGTTTGCCTTGGGTAAAGTACATTCATGTGTGATGTAAATTAGTGTAAAACAGATTTTGTTATGGATAATTTTCAGATCTTTGGCAGCGTAGAAATTCAAATGAATCAGAAATTAGAATATCTACAAGAATCCATTGAATAGTAGTGTTTCTTTATTGGCAATGAGGGCAGTATTGCACATCTGTGCAACCTGAACCAATGTATCAAGGTTGAGCAGGTCCCTCCAGCCGCAGTGCCCTGAGGGCTTTTGGGTTTTGGGCTGTTTCGGCAACCAGCCGAAACAGCCTTTGTTTTCGTTAAGATTTTTATTTTTGGCTGTTTCGGCAACCAGCCGAAACAGCCTTTGTTTTCGTTAAGATTTTTAACAGCCTTTGTTTTCGTTAAGATTTTTATTTTTTTATTTGGCTGTTTCGGCACTTTTGCCGAAACAGCCTTTGTTTTCGTTAAGATTTTTTTTTTTTTTTCTTTTTTTTTTCTTTTTTTTTCAGCCATTTTGCCCATAGCATTTGTACACGTTTTTTTGTCACCGGCACTTTGGGCACTAAAATCAATCCGATTGACTTTATACTTGGCACACACTTAGACCAGCATCTGAAGTTGTGTGCCGAACATTGACATCATCGTGACGTCATCATGAGTCACGTGACGTCACATTATATGCGATTTTTCTGTTGTGACCATTTTCTAGCAGAATTCGGCTAGATCTGACAGATTGGGCTATATCTCCAGAACTACGGTCCAATTAGGTTGAAAGTTGGTATGGACCTAAACCGGAAAGTGTTATAGATGAAAATTCAAAAGACGTCACGATGATGTCATCACGTGACATGTGACGTCACAATATAGGTGCATACTTTGAAGGCCTATATCTCCATGACTACAGGTCCGATTGGGTTGAAACTTGGTATGTACCTAAACCGGGATGTGTTATAGATGAAAATTTAAGTGACGTCACGATGACGTCATCACGTGACATGTGACGTCACAATATGAGTGCATATTTTGAAGGCCTATATCTCCATGACTACAGGTCCGATTGGGTTGAAACTTGGTATGTACCTAAACCGGGATGTTTTATAGATGAAAATTTAAGTGACGTTACGATGACGTCATCACGTGACATGTGACGTCGTCACGTGGCATGTGACGTCATATTCAAAATTGCATATTTTGAAGGCCAATATCTACAGAACTACAGGCCTGATTGGGTTGAAACTTGGTATGCACCTAAACTGGGATGTGTTTTAGATGGAAATTTAAGTGACGTCATGATGACGTCATCATATGACATGTGACGTAATATCAAATGTGCATATTTTCAAGGCCAATATCTACAGAACTACAGGTCTGATTGGGTTGAAACTTGGTATGTACTTAAACCGGAATGTGTTATAGATGAAAATTGAAGTGACGTCACGATGACATCATCACGTGACATGTGACGTCATACTAAACGTGCATATTTCGAAGGCCAATATCTACAGAACAACTGGTCCGATTGGATTGAAAGTTGGTATGTACCTAGACCGGGATGTGTTATAGATGAAAATTGAAGTGACGTCATGATGACGTCATCATGGGCTACGTGACGTCTCGTTAAAGATTAATAGATTTGATATTTAAAAATCACTATAAAATCAACTGTGACAGACCTGAACATGATTCTTGCGGGAACTGATAGAATTATCGAGGGTCTTTATTTTTTAAATATGTGCAAATAAATCACGTGACCCTTTCTTCTGGTTGAAACCGGAAGTGCTTTGTTATTTAAAATTGGTGAAAGACGTGAACTTGCTTTCAACGATGTTTGCTCTAGCTTAGTTGTTCTTTACCATACTATTATAGTAATAGATGAAACTTTATGTGATGTCATCATGACGTCATCACGTGACATGTGACGTCATAATTCAAAGCCCTATGAGAATAGAATCACATATTATATGCCACCATTTATTTTTAACAGAACTACACATCCTTCGTTGATGGATACATGTCACATGTCACAAAAAGCTACCGAAACAGCCCTATGTTTGTCCACAAACATATGTCTAGTTTTTTTTTTTTTTTCTTTTTCAGTCATTTTGCCCATAGCATTTGTACACGTTTTTTTGTCACCGGCACTTTGGGCACTAAAATCAATCCGATTGACTTTATACTTGGCACACACTTAGACCAGCATCTGAAGTTGTGTGCCGAACATTGACGTCATGGTGACGTCATCGACTAATTTATTATAGTATTTGGAATATTTAATTTTTCCCATAGACTTTGTACACAGAAATCAAAAAAAAATTGTCGATTTTCAAAGGGCATTTTTGACTCTTTGCCAGTAATTCATTTGCACCAATCTTTGTCCAAGCAAAGACCCTAATTCAAACAACATTGTGTAATGATGACGTCATGATGACGTCATCCGGTGTGTATTTATAGGCAATTAAATTGTGACACTTTTAATATTTAAAAATGCATAAGAAATCAACCGTACGCGTCCGCAGCATTCTGTTACCGGCAAGTGGTAGAGTAGGTTGAGGTCTTTATTTTATTCAGTGTGCGTGAAATCACGTGACCCTTGCTTCCGGTCGAAAAAGGCCAAAACCGGAAGTGGCTTATTATTTGAAAATGGTAATAGATATGAACTTGCTTTTAACGGTGTAAGTCTTTTGGCTAAAAGTATTCTTCAAATCATCTACCAATGACGTCATGCAATCTTCGAGCGCCCTCTAGCGACAGGTTGAAAATTAGCAAAAATGTATTTTGAATAGATGTCTGTGGCGAAGTTTGTCTGAATCGCCTAAATATTGGTGTATATGATGACCTTGACCCACTTAAGACGTGTGCGAAGTTTTAGGCGAATGACGTCATCAGACCGGAAGTTATAATAAAAATACCCTTTTTCATTTGAAAATTCCTGAAAAATCAACCATGGCAGTTTTTATGTTAGTTTTTACTTTAATTGTCGATTTAAGGGTCGGTCTAAAACATTTCAAAGCTTCGAGGCAATAAGCGAACTCGGACATGCCCTGCGCACGCTTAAAACTTCAGGCTGACAATACCTCTGCTCTAAAATATGCACAGAACGTATATATGTACCTACACGTACGTTACGCACATACATGTACGTACTTGTACATCGTATGTCAGTCAGCCTGCAGAGCACGTGTTGCCGAGGTCAAATCCTGTCCACATCACAGTGACCGTTTTAGCCGATTTTCGGCTAACTTTGACAGAGTTCATGTTCATGCATGTGCATAGTCAGGGACGTATACTAAAATATCATAATGCCGAAAAGCCATGTGTTACGTATTTAAAGGTGCAGTTTTTCTGCAGTGGGATTTTCCACAAGTCTTTTCCTATACAACACTGATATCTTACTGAGTAGTTCTGAACTTCAGCCGAGAATTACTATGAGAAGGAAGCAGAAATCATATTTTTTCGCACTGTCATTCGATTGAACATATTCCTAAGGGTCAGAATATCAAGTAATATTTCATAAAAATGTTTCAGTTCAAAGGCAAATTACAAATTTAAAGGTGCAATGTTTCTGCAGTGGGTTTTTTTTTTAGCCCGTTAACTTTGTACACGTGTTAGCCCATTGACTTTGTACACGTTTTCAAGCCACCATTTCTATAATTTGGCGATCTGGAATCATCATCAATGTTACAGCCAAGGAAGACCCTCATACAAAAATTATGCCAAGACTATGACGTCATGATGATGTCATCACCTATTTTTTTAATTGATTTTTGAAAATGTACGTGCATATTATGAAGTCCTATATCTACAGAACTGTAATTCTGATTGGGTTGAAACTTGGTATGTGGCTAGACCGGGATGTGTTATAGGTAAAAAAAAAAATAAGGTGGTCGAGACCGAACATGATTTTTGCGGGTATTGATAGAATTATCGAGGGTCTTCATTTTTTAAATATGTGCAATTAATCATGTGACTCTTTCTTTTGGTTGAAACCGGAAGTGCTTTGTAATTTAAAATTGGTGAAAGACGCAAATTGCTTTCAACGATGTTTGCTCTGGCTAAGTTGTTCTTTACCATAATGCTATAGTAGTAGATGAAACTTTATGTGACGTCATCATGATGTCATCACGTGACATGTGACGTCATAATTTAAAGCCCTATGCGAATGGAATCACATATTATATGCCACCATTTATTATAAACAGAACTACACATCCTTGGTTGATGGAACACATGTCACATGTCACAAAAAGCTACCGAAACAGCCCTATGTTTGTCCACAAACATATGTCTAGTTTTCTTTTTTTTTTTCTTTTTCAGCCCAAGCCCATAGCATTTGTACATGTATTTTTGTCACCGGCACTTTGGGCACTTAAATTAATCCAATTGTCTTTATACTTGGCACACACTTAGACCAGCATCTGAAGATGTGTGCCGAACATTGACATCATTGTGACGTCATCAGGAGTCACGTGACGTCACATTATATGCGATTTTTCTGTTGTGACCATTTTCTGGCAGAATTCGGCTAGATCTGACAGATTTGGCTATATCTCCAGAACTACAGGTCCGATTGGGTTGAAAGTTGATATGTTCCTAGATTGGGATGTGTTACAGATGAAAATTTAAGTGACGTTATGATGACGTCATCATGTGACCTGTGACATTATAAGAACAATTGCATCTTTTACAGGCCTTTATCTCCAGAACTACAGGCCTGATTGGGTTGAATGTTGGTATGTGCCTAGACCGGGATGTGTTAAAGGTGAAAATTAAAGTGACGTCATGATGATGTCATCACACGACATATGACGTCATCGTAAAAATACATATTTTATAGGTCCGTATTACAGGAACTACAGGTTCGATTGGGTTCAAAGTTGGAATATACCTAGACTGGGATATCTTATAAATAAAACAAAATTGATGTCATGATGACGTCATCACGTGACATATGACATCATGGTCAATAAACATATTTTGAACATCCTTTCTTGATGGAACTTATACTTGAAACTTTACATGTCACATGTCACAAAAACAGCCCTGTGTTTGTCCACAAACATAAATCTAGTTTTGCATTGCTTTTTTTCCTCTACAATTTCACCTTATAATTTTATTATACTTGATAACTTTTCAGTACAGAAAGGCAGTTTGTGGTGATAGAGATGTAATTATTTGGATTGTTTACTTTCTTTTACTTGACACAGGATCAGTACCAGTTCTGCTACCGAGCAGCCTTTGAATACCTTGGATCATTTGATCACTTTACATAAAGCAGAATGTAGTCAAGACCAACTCATACTGCTCGTCATACAACTCGTACAGTCTATACTATCCTGACGACAATTGTAAATAGCACGTTGATGCATTTCCCTGTAGAATCCTTGCTATTTTTGTGGTTGCGGGTTTTCAATTTGATATAAATGGGGCATTTGCCTGGCTTGTTGCGTAGTTGGCAAATTTACTACTATCATTTCATTGGCTCATCTCCTCGCTGCTGGGCGTTATAGTTGTGAATATGACAAGTTGGTGAGTCAGGGTAATGAGCCAACTTATCTGACTGGTTTATGTTACAAAATCTACATTGCATTATACTAATGTAACAAAAGTGAGTATTACAAATTGGTCCGAGAGGTTAAACTTTGAAATGCCAATACTTCTGAAATGCCAAGAAACAAATTTACATGAAAACAATTGCCTTGAGTATCAAAAGCACAGTGAAATCAATTGGTCATCATGTTTGGTGACTTGACTTGGCACACACACTGACACATCAGTTATTTATAGGGTGTCTTTATAATGAACAATCAGGCAACAATACTAGAATATAATCCAATCATTGGATGAATTATTTTGATTTGATTAATTCAAAGAAAAGTACTTATGTTGTAAAGTAAAGTTTACCGCTAACAGCTTCAGTTTATAGCTTATTTTGTAATATTCTTGAAATATGTCTTGCAGTAAGAAGTATTTTGTACAATGTTTACATTTTAAAGAATGGGTGTTTTTTTAAGTTGACTTTCTGTGTATGGATGTAGACTAGAGGTTAATTTGAACATATCTCCAGCTTGGAGGTATTCAATTGGTGCTGGGTACAGTGTTAATGTTCATGCTTTTCTAAGGACTTGTAGGTGACTTGTATGTAGCATTGATCTAGTGTTAAAGTAAAGAACAAGATGTCATTTTGGAAGTGTTTGTAATATTTTGTAGACTAATTGGCTGTACCTAGGAAGTTGTATTGGTTTGTGTGTATGACACTTGAAGTTGAGTGATTGCATGATCGCCAGTAATTGGTTTAGTTGATAACATTTATATGATGCCTCATTTTAATTGATTTCAGTACTTGAATTGTTAAAGCTGCATTCATTATCAAGTAACTTGTGTAGTTAATTGAGTATATCTTTAAAGCTTACCTTTTGTAACAAAAAAAATGTATTCATTTGATTTTGTATTCAGTATGTCTTAGTTAGAATTTAAAAGCGATACAGCCAAAGTTCTGATATTCAACCTTTATTCAGATGACATAATTCAACTTCCAGTTCAGACATGAAAAAGAATTTAAAAAAAAAAAAAAGTGTAGGTTGTAATTTGATTTTGTCTTAACCCTTGCTTTAATACATATTCATGACAAGTACACAGTGTTCCTGTATATTCAGATGATGTAGTTTCTCTACCACTTAGATCAATGTAGTTATGTTTGGGCTGCAAGAAAGTCTTGGCATGTAAGTGGTCCTATTTATGGCACGTGGGCATTCTCAGGATGTAGTTCTTGAAGAAACTTTTAGGACTTTGCACAATTTAAAGAATCAATGTGATGTTTGATCAATCTTCTTTTCCTTTCCATTGTTGCATATTTTATTTTAAAGGTACCCAATGCAAATAAAGTACAGATAAAGGGCTTTTTGTCGCAACACTGTTAAAGATGAAAGATGAAAAAAACAATTTTGGGGGGTTTTGCTTTTTTGGGGGGGGGGGGCATTTCACAGTGTAAGAGGGTACATTTCAGTTTGGAATTTTAAACCCAGAAAAAAAATTTTTTTTTTTTTTTTTATAAATGGAACAAAACTTCACAAGAGTCTTGTAGCTGCACATAATGGAACTTATGATAGGTGCTTAGTTTGAGCCAAAGGGGATATACATGCATTACTCAGCTAATCAAGTTGTCTTCCATCTGCTTTCATGAAGATAGCCACTTCCACTCTATCATGCCCAATAAATGCAGATTGAGAAATTTAGACTCGCCTTTGTTCATCTTTTAAGAAGTAATTGGACATTTAACAAATAAGATTTGAAACTTTGCATGGCGGTAGTGTCAACTAGTGAGGATTTGCAGTCTCAAAAGAGAACGAGATTCTTCCACATGGTGTTACTGCAACCCTCATTAGTTCATTTAACAAATGTAATGTAATGATGTAATTGGGGCATTTTAGAATGTTTTATATTTCTTTTTGTACATAACATGCAATTGGTGCTTCTGAAGTTGAATGTAGGATAGATAGTGTACAATGATCAGTTGTCAAAGATTTTGTACGTATTTGATAGAAAATTTAGCATGGGTAATTTCCTCCCTCTGAAATGTTGAAAAGTGTGTATGAGAACGTTGATTGCATACTGATAACAACCATCAGAGTCAGATTATAAGAGAATGGTCAACGGCAAGGTGACTAGTCAACATTCAATATTGGTTGGAATTATTGGGATCATATTGCATATTCAAATCTGGCTGGAACTCACTACAATCACACTGAGTAATTGTCATTGTTTGCTAAGTTCATACATTGTTAGTGGGACATATTCGAAGTAGAAGTGTCATAGGATTGTTGACCCCGTGGTTGAATACACTAGAACTATAACACTGAAATGTATTTGGCTATTTGCATGGCTGCATTGTACAGGTACTATGTATAGCCCCTTTTGGGTTTGCATGAGAATGGTATCATTGTTGGTGTAAATGTTCTAGAAATAGAACAGGATGTATAGAATAATGTTCCCATATATTGACAGCTTTCTTTTTGTGGTGTTGAGGTCGAGTCCACAATTCTGCCCAAGTCAAGTGGCAAGTTATTCACATTTCTGTAATAAGTACATCCTCTTGTTCATTCACTTGTGACTTGACTTGTGCTGGACTTGACTACAACACTGCTGTCATATTTTAATACCACGCCTTCCTCATTTTCATAGTATGCAATCCCTTCCTTGTTTTGTGAATGTCTGCTTCGTTTGAAGTTGTGTAAGTTTTGCTATGAATGAGTAAGGTGCTATGGGGCAGTTTTGTGAGTTTGGGCTCATGAGTACCAATGATGTTTCAGTGAAGTACTATGCAGGGCGGTCCAAAACAAAACAAACGCAACCTCATACTTCCACTATTCAGAGACCTGCACTATTGATATGTATGGATAGGACATTTTGTTGGAAGGAAAATGATACCAAAGACTCCCGATTCGGTCCAGTAGTTTTGATGCCAGTGCTTTTCTTATGAACCAAAGTCATGGGCTCTAATTAGGATTATCGCACACAGTGAACAAAAGGATTATCTTAACCCCTGACATTGGTTCACAAAAATGGCACTGGAATCAAAACTACTGAACCAAATCGGGAGTTCTTGGTATCATTTTCCTTCTAACAAAATTTCCTAGCCATACATATTAATGGTTTAGGTTGCTGGATATTGGAAGTATGAGATTGCAGGGTTTTTTTGGACCACCCTGTATATGCATGAGAAACGTGTCATGCATAACAAACCTACAATAACGATTTGCTTATCGTTATGATTATGCTACCTCCTTACACTTACTACATCCGACACTAGGGTTTTTTAATTGATAATTTTTCTGTATCCTGATGAACTTAGTACAGATATTTTTTATGTTAACTTATTCATATAACTATCAAGAAATAAAAATACATTCAAGCCATTGTATTCAGTACATCATTTAGGTCAAGAAGAAGGTATACAGAAGGTATACAGAAAGTAAGTTGTACAATGTTTGAAGTAGCACTTTGATCACAAAAATATCGAGTATTGCTGCAGAATAAGTTTTCATTTCTGTTTTGAAAATATGTTGCCACATAAGCCACTTGTTGGAAAGAAGGCAGGGAATGGCGAGCGTCAAATGATACACAAAACGTGTTTAAATTTGAAAACTGTTTTGAAAAAATTCAAATTATATGACTTAACTGTAGTACATAAATTAATGTGTATTTGTCAATGGTTAAGACAGTGTTGGCAATGTGTTGATTTGGTAGTATGGTAAGTTTACCAGCTTGTCTCAGTTTTCTACTTAACATGTACATGTACTTTGTAGCCGGTAGTCGACCTTACTTATGGTTTACCGAGTGTGATGTAAAAATCCATTTTGTCTTATGCATAATTCAATAGCAATATGATGCCGACTCTACAGACACTGGATTTTGTAGTATTTACATGTAAAAGTGATGGAACTTTATGAGCAAGATAGCTATTCACTTTAATGCTTCATTATTACTGCTTTTAATACGTCAATTTTAAATGTACAAGTTAATTAGCATAGTTTTTATTATTGTATACCCACCAATGCTTAGTTTTACCTGGTGTTAAGTCAAGATGCATTCATTGTGTACATGTGCTCAAATTTTGTATCAATTAAAAAAAAATCCAATACTAATGTATTTATATGTACAAATTCTTTTACCTTCATAAATTATAAAAATGAAACTATATTTATTATAGGCTTATATAAACATATGTGGGACTGACGTATTACAGGCACGTCCCCACACCCCAGTTGCCTGACCAAGAACAATATTCACTTGTACGCTTTGACTTGTCCTCTTGTGATGTGAACCCAATTTTTCACTCTGGGCAAATCATTTCCATTCACAGCTATGTAACCAATTGCAGACTTAACTAAATTTGGACAATTTGGGCACTATTTAAAGAAAGAAAAAAAACCTTTTTACTCATGATAGTTGGTCCTAACCATCGTAAGGAAATTATGGTAATTCCTCTTTTTCTCGAAAATGACAGCATATTATAAAATAACGGTGTTGCTGTTGAAACCCCTCAGCCAGAGTCAAGTTATCATCTGGAAACTATTAACCTTTAACTCAACATGGTGACCTTGACCTTTGACCTCTTGACCCCAAAACCAATCCCAACATGCCTGTAGCAATCTCCCTTACCTAAGTCAGGCACCAAAATCTCACTTCTAACTCAAGTTATCATCCGGAAACCATTTACCTTTAACTCATTACTGTGACCCTGGCCTGTCGGCTGAGGGGTAACTAGGCACAATTTTAACCACTTTTTGGCCACCCCCGTTACATTTTCATTTCTCGGTAGCCAAAATGCTGAAGTTTTTTACCAGTTGTCGAAAGGTTTGATCGGCTTTTCTACTTTACTGAAAGGAGAAAGCAGATGGCCACTTTTCATTTGGCTGAATTAAAAAAAATGGAAACCTTAAAAAAGTTTGATCAGATTTTATGCGTGAGCAGATTTTATTCAGGCACACGAAAAGAGACTAATGTGCTTTTCTCCTTTCAACTACTGAATTCTTTATTGCAACAAGCATGCACGTACGATTAACACCAACACGATCACAAGTACAAATATGACATCACTTCAAAGAAATCACCAGTATACATGAAAACATAAAACATCACTGTTTTAATAAAGTAGCAAGCTCATAACATGACAGCAAATAAAGACAACACATTTGCTTAAAAATATATGTACATGAACAAAAACAAATTCTAGAATATTTGTTATCTTTTGATGTTGCGATGAGGACATTTATATTGATATTTTATACATTAAACAAAACATTGCGACAACATTGTACCTATTGGTACCAATACAAAATAATGTTAAGCATTCTGATGTCTAAAGAACCAACAACCCAAACAATGAATGAATAAATCAACTTCAACAATGATGATTATCTGATGATGACTGTTTAAAATTAAACAAGCAGCTCCATTCTAAAAAAAAAACCTGGTCATTTTAAATACAAGTATGTAAACAATTTGACCTGAATCCCTCCCCCCCCCCAAAAAAAACCGAATGAACTGAGCATAGGACTCTCCGCCTAATGATTTATGCTTATAAGTTTATGCTTTTTTGGCGATGTGCAGTATTATCAGTATTTGGCGAATTATCAAAATGATAATTTTGCGAACAAGATGCATTTAATGGAAAATTTTGCTTGTAGCCAAAAATATAAAAGTTTAACCATTTATTAAAAATCAGTTGATGACGTCATCTCATGTCACTGCGAATTTTGCATACTAGTAACATTATCTACCTTTCCACGATGTTTCCATGACAATCGGACCTACCCTTAAATGTTTTGAAAAAACTCATATTTTTGATGACGTCATGAAGATGTCACACAGTGTTCACATTTTTGTGCAAATATCTGACCTAACAAACCTATTCTACAGAGAATTTTGAATTTAGCATGTTAGGTTCGTGAGGTATGGCGTTTAGAACAATAATAAAGTAGTAGTTCTGATTCCGTTTACATGGCATTCAAAAATAGGGTAGGTTGGTAGGGAATTTTTTTTTTTTTTTTTTTTGCAAATATCTATGACATAAACCGATTACAGAAATAATTTTTTATTTAGCATGTTGCGTTCATGAGATAAGGCTATGAACTTCAACATTTTTAAAATGTATATAAAACCATCCATGTGATGACGTCATCATGACATCACCTCAATTATTTTCATCTATAACACATCCCGGTATGGGAACATACAAATAAATAAAACGGGTATTCATTTTAGCTGAATGAAATTGACAAAATTGATTACGTTTTTTATAAAATGAGTATAGCAGCCAAAAATTTGGGTAGAAATGTTCTGCATTTTTCAACATGACGACATCTCCTGCGAAATGTGAGTATAGGTGACTTGGGTAAAAGGCAAGTTCAAATTTCCTTTCTGTTTAAGTTTGCTTTTCAAGTGAGTGGTGGAAAACCGTATATTGCTAAAAAAAAGCACCCACTAGAGATTTTAATTTATATTGGCTCAATGTTTATTGAATGTATTAAATGTTTAAGTCAGGTTATTAATCCAGCATGTAGTCATGCTTGCTGATGCCTATTCCATGTTTACCCTACAATCAAGTCAATCAAGTCATAACCTCTTGGAGCTGATCCAAGACTGAACGGAGTACGTACTAGGTGAGCCACACATAACCCCACAACTGAACTGATTTAGGAAAAATATGCTACAAGCACTACAATAACAATAAAATGCCAGCTACTGATCACAGAACTGCCAGTGAAATGAAGTATTATTTGTACGAGAAACAAACGGCATTACATGTATGTGCATGTAATATGCATCAAAAATGACCAAAATTCTTACAAGATTATTTGATCCAAAATAACTAATAACAGAAAAGTTACATTTGTAAATGTGGTGGAATATCCTGAGATGAGGTTTGTATGCACCCTTGTACTCTGCTGGTAACAAATTACATGTGATGTAGGTGTACATTGTAACCCTAGGAAGACAGAAAACGTGTCATAATAATGTGTACATCAATGATAAAGCACATGAATTCACAACAGTGTGAAGCAACTTTCATTTGGCTAGAAAGCTTGGCCCAAGTAGATTTGTCTATTGTTTGAAGAAGAAAAAATTCTCAGCTTGCAAACAATGAAAGTATTAGATAAAGAACAAATGCAGTATGAATAACATTTGTGTAAGCGTACATTTTCACTACCTTCAGTCAGAATTCAGTTCAAAACAATAAAGAAACGTGGTGCAGTACTTATAAATGTGACCTGACTTTACAGCCATGCTGTGTGAATTATGCAATGGACTAGCAAAATAATCCAGGCTGTGGACAACATTTGCACATTCGAACATGCAAATGTTGTCCACAGCCTTGATTATTGTTGTAATTATCACACAAAATGGTGATTTAATAGGCCACTTTTTTTCAATCCGTGATATGTGTGTGGATTGGAAAAAAGTGGCCTTATTAAATCACCATTTTGTGGGATAATTACAACGGGTCCAGATATCTACATCTCAACAGTGCAGATAATAAATAACCATCCAAAATAGTGTTTAACAGGGACTTTTTCCAAGCTCGAGAAGTCACCGGTTCCCGCATCACTGGTAATTAGAACTGATTTGCATATGGGATACGTGTGCAGCTTGGAATAAGTTGCTTGTCAAATCACCATTTTGTGTGGTCATTTCATCTGGCACAACATGGGCAATGTGCATTTCACATCAAAATGAATAAAATCTTTGGGTTTGGTCAAATGATCACACAAAAAGGTGATATAACCAGCAAGTTTATCCGAACTGCAGACGTATATGATCCCAATTTTCACATGACACATCCAGGATTGAATCAAAATTTATTAATTATAAGGCAAACAAATATGTATACATGTAGTTGACCATAAAAAAACAAATCATTTGCAATCAATTTCCATCCACACAGACCTGCTTGATTGTTGATAACATTTTCTCCTTAAAATATGATGATTGAAGTGTTTGACTGAATATTCAAATTATTTTCCAGGATGTGGGCAACAAACTAAACACAAACTCCGTGTCTGACACAGAAATATAAACATATTTACATCAGCCATTCCAAAAAGAAATCCATTGGTAGGTATCAGGGAAGAATATGTACCACAAAACATTTGCATGAAATAAACATTTTCTTACTACTTGGCAATTTACAACCAAATAAATTAGCTACATTAAACTTTCAATTTTAAGTAAATGCCAATTTAGATGATTGACTGTGAGTGGTTTGTCTTTTGACATATTTGAACCACTTTCACAACTGCAACAAAACCTACCAAAACTCAGCACCCAATTAATTGACATAATAATAAACAGTTATCCCATCAGATGGCCACTGAGGGTTGTATCCAAGTAGGCCAGGGGCTGTATTCACAAAACCCAAACTTAAGACAATACGTAAGTCACACTTAAAGGGAAGATACAACATTTGCAAATATCAAAAAACAGATGATTAATTTATCACAAAATACCTTCTAAAGGAACCTGTAAAATCGTGGCTCCTGTTGTGCTGACATTAAAAAAAAAAAACTGCATTTTTTCCAATGCTGGTCAGCCGACCACCGTTGGAAAAAAAACTGGCTTTTTCCAAAAACTGCTCCTAATTGTTCATATTAAGCTACTCCGCATTTTCTTTGCAATTGCAATGCCATCAATTGTACCCGCGCGCCCGCTTAAAATTCAAAATCTGTTAGAATGTCCACAAACTGCAATCATAGGGCTGTCAGACATTTTCTTCATCTTGGCTTCATCAGTGTTCCAAATGTGTTCAAAACACAGTTGGGAAGGGTTCCAATAGTTAGATATTTACGAGGATTTCCATTATCTGCTAGAAAGTCCAGTTTACATTTATGTCACGAAAATAAGATGGGCACTCTGCGAAAATGTATCATGAATACAGCTTAACTAGTAAGACTTGTCTAAGTCGCACATTTAAGTGGGGTGCTTACTTTTGACTGATGACTCAAGTCCTTGTGTGAATACGGCCCCAGCACTTGACATGACATTGTGAGCAACCTCCTCAAAACTAGTGAACTATCCAGCTTTGCCTGACTGGCTAACAAGGGGCTAGATATTTGTATCTGTGACAATTTGTTAATGTTTAGAGAAACTGACTCAGCAAGCCATTCAAGTCAAGTGGGTCTCTCAAAGCAAGGTTTCAAGCACAAGAACAATGGACTCAGAATATTATTCAAGAAATAATTCATTCTCAAAAACACTATTCTTTTTATACAATCAATTGAAATCATGCACCTTGTTCAAGTACACAGACTCTTGACCATCACTTCATGCTCATATAAAAAGCTTGATCTGCATTCCTGAAGGTTTTGACACACTAAACGTCACTGCAGTTTCATCAGTAAAGTGAAGCTATGTTCTGTGATGTAACATTTCAAAATTATGCCAAATTAAACAAAACTCTCTTGCTGATTTGTTCTATTGAAAATTGACAGATCCAACTTGTACAAAAATACCTGCTCAGAATGCTATTGTTATATATTAATAACTTCTTTGAAAGAACCCATGCCTTGAAAAGTTCAAATTATCATATTGTTGTTAATTTCAATTTATGTTGATCCTTTCACTGTGAACACCAACAAAACCCACTAAAATTATTATATATTGGATGGCTTTGAGGTGGATACAAGAATATGTTGTCATAGCGAGTGCTATATATTCTTGTTTCCCCCGACAAAAAGCCATCCCATATTATTATTATTATTTATATCAGGCTGACTTGATTCTCAAGAAATACAAGACACTGTCATAATTTCTCCTAGGAGAAATTATGATAAGGGCACGCCGGACAATATCAAAAGTAATATTGTCCGCAATCTATTTGAAGCTGTCATTGTGATTATTGACAACAATGTGCGTATACCTGGCCTGCTGCACGCTGCACGCTTCGTGCTGCGTGGGCGTCCGTGTTTGATCGTACCGCGTGCTACGCTCTGTTGACTGGTTGAAAACTGTGAGTTTCTACGCTCTTGATCTTACGGAAACCAGCGAAAATGCCTGGATAAGGGCGCGCCGGACAATATCCAAAGTAATATTGTCTGCAATCCGGGTACTTTTACTGACAATATTGCTGTCATCCGGGTACGTTTTACAAAAGCATACAATAACCTGATTTATTTTTACCGCTGGAAGCCTGATATAAATAATAATATATTATAGTTCCTTTCTATTTTTTAAGGTTCCCAGTAAGCGAAAAGGAAGTTCATTGGTGCTGCGTATAAGCTGTGAGAAATGGTCAACCATGCAGTATGGCATGGAGTATTAAAAGCAATTTATTGACGCAGACGTTATAATATGAATGGTTTGTTTGTACTTCACTTTGGCAGCAATTATTTGGGAAGAATGGCATAATGCATACATGTAATAAATCAACTTTGTCTACCTTATTAAACACACATTTTAAGGATGAGATATATATATAAATATAATTGACATCAAGCATGCATGCAGATGTGTGTAAAAGGTTTGATGTTAACAAAACACTTAGATACACACCAAATGATATTACCTTTCCCTCTTTCTCACTATATACATAATGCATATGTACAAGTGTTACTAATGAGAGTTAACAACTTTTATAATAAATAACTAATACCTAAATAACATTCTAAAATGAACAAATTCACTGAAAACTGATGTATTTGAAACCACTTTGAACTACATTTACTGGTTGAGCAATTGTTCAATAAAAATTGCAAGAGAATATCTGATTGTGAATTGGGCACACACATACCATGTGATGCCACTGCAACTGTCCGTCCATACACATCATGCTTCAATATTGCAATCTCCTTTCATCTCTTGAGGGAAGACTTCAATCTGGGACATATCTGCCTGTGCTTGTGCTGTGTCTGGAATGAGTGCTTCGGTAAGGTTGTCCTGTGTTCTATCTGGTCTTACTCCATCAATCACTGCCTGTGATTGGTCTAGGATCTCTTCAGTATGTTCACTATGGTGTGCCAGGATAACCTCCTGCATTGCCTTGTTAGGCATGCCATGAGTACTTCTACTGTTTGCTGCCTTGTCTCTTGTATTAATGGATGTTTTGTCCTCGGGTTCAGATCCACTTGAAGCATACAGGCTGTACACATGACGATGACGTTCCTTCACTATCTTGTTTTCCCAGAAATTCTCATGCCGCATGTCCGAAGCAGTAGACTACAAAAAATGTATTTATAAAATGTATTAAGATGCCGCGAAAAACCAATGAAATAAATAACTAAACATACAGTAAACTCCGGCTAAACCGACATCGTACAACTCGTCAAATCGCTCAAGTCGGCCGTCTGACTTAAGTCCCGATTGTAATGCATTTCCATTGCATTTTGTACTTCTAAGTCGGCTTTTATGAGTCGCCATTTCGCTCAAGTTGTCGTGTTATTCTCGGTCCCCTTTCCATAAAAGCATTACAAAATACTTTGTGTAAGTCGGCATTCAATAAATCACGCATTGGCATCGACTTCCTGTACTGCGGTTGGAAAAGTGTCAAGTGTCGAGTGAAAAGTGGTTTCGCACGGTCCGTGATCACTGCATGCATCGGTGTCGAAAAAGGGTGTCCTACTGCATACATCACATATGCATCGTGAGCATACCCCTCTAGGCTGTACGCATGCGCTCTGTCCATTTTGGGGGTTGTCTTATTGAATGACTACTGCTGCAGTCAATGCGTGTGTGGTATACACCGGACCACCCACGCATTTAATTTGTTACTGTGCACGTACATATGTATCATGGTCTCCACTATCATACCCCAAACGTGATGGCACAATTCGAGTATTCAATTCGTTACTGTGCACGTACATGTATCATGGTCTCCACTATCATACCCAAACGTGATGGCACAATTCGAGTATTCAATTCGTTACTGTGCACGTACATGTATCATGGTCTCCACTATCATACCCCAAACGTGATGGCACAATTCGAGTATTCAATTCGTTACTGTGCACGTACATGTATCATGGTCTCCACTATCATACCCCAAACGTGATGGCACAATTCAAGTATTCAATTCGTTACTGTGCACGTACATGTTTCATGGTCTCCACTATCATACCCCAAACGTGATGGCACAATTCGAGTATTCAATTCGTTACTGTGCACGTACATGTATCATGGTCTCCACTATCATACCCCAAACGTGATGGCACAATTCGAGTATTCAATTCGTTACTGTGCACGTACATGTATCATGGTCTCCACTATCATACCCAAACGTGATGGCACAATTCGAGTATTCAATTCGTTACTGTGCACGTACATGTACCATGGTCTCCACTATCATACCCAAACGTGATGGCACAATTCGAGTATTCAATTCGTTACTGTGCACGTACATGTATCATGGTCTCCACTATCATACCCCAAACGTGATGGCACAATTCGAGTATTCAATTCGTTACTGTGCACGTACATGTATCATGGTCTCCACTATCATACCCAAACGTGATGGCACAATTCGAGGATTAATTTGCTGGATTTAACTCAAGCATTAAGGAGATAATCCAGGGTAAATCAAAGCCAATTAGTGCAATGAATCATGTGTGCAAAAGACCATTCATGTAAGTCGGCAAAATGACGACTTACAGCAGATATCGGCATTCACGTAAGTCGTCACAAATCCTCGGGTCCCGAGAGTGCCGGTTTAGCCGGAGTTTACTGTATCTAATTGGCATCGAACAAATCACACTTGTTGCGATATCAAATCTCAAATCAGTGATTTTGACCAAGTGAATGCATGAATGTAAAGTGGTTGCACCCAGGCATCTGTGGAACACTAAAAGATGTTTGTTTCTCCCTGCTGTAAACCCAGTGATCTCTTTATGCTGACTGGATAGCACACACCCCTGACTGGATAGCACACACCCACCCTGACTGGATAGCACACACCCCTGACTGGATAGCACACACCCCTGACTGGATAGTACACAATGTTGTAGGGACATTCTTTCTCCTCAATAAGGCCACCACTTATGGACAGCTGTGCTGGACAGAAAGGGAAACACTGTGATGTATGACATTATTCAACTAATCACATTTACTTGAGTTAACAAAGACAGCCAGTGTTTAGATGAAATATGTGTGGACAATAACTCAATTTTATGTTGACATTAATTACATAATATTGGATGGCTTTGAGGGGATACAAGAATATATCGCACGAGCTATGATATTGCACGAGTCGAAGACGAGTGCAATATTGTCATAGCGAGTGCAATATATTCTTGTATCCCCCGAAAAAAAGCCATCCAATGTTAATATTATCTATATCAGGCTGACTTGATTCACAAGAAATACATTTCAAGACACTGTCTTTATTTCTCCTATTTCGTCAAACTATTTGAAGCTGCCATTGTGATAATTGACATCAGTGCGCGTATACCTGGCCTGCTGCGTGCTGTGCGCTACACGCTGCATGGGCGTCCACGTTTGATGGTATCGCGCGCTACGCTCTGATGAGTGGTTGACAACTGTGAGTTTCTATGCTCTTGGTCATGCAGGAACCAGCAGAAATGCCTGGATAAGGGCGCGTCGGAAAATATCAAAAGTAATATTGTCCACAATCCGGGTACTTTTAGTGACAATATTGCTGTCAACCTGGGTACATTTTAAAAAAGCATCCAATATGCTGATTTATTTTTACCGCTGGAAGCCTGATATAAAGAATGAGTCTGTTTAATGTCCACATATTTTGGCCCATCCTATGTCTACAACCATCTGCAAAAGACTCAAGCATGGCTTCCCATTATCATTACAACACTGTAAACGTACAGAACCTGTTACTGAAGGATACATTTTGAAAAGTGTTTCTGCAGTGATTATATTTACAAATGTCATCTCTTTTACCATTACTACATGATGGATGGCTAAGATTTGAAAAAAGACATTTTAAGGTTTGGTCACTGATCTCTTAAAAGCTCTGTTGCGGACCTTCCATAATGCTGAAATTACCAATGTAGAGATAAGTGCCCAATTTCATGGCTCCGCTTGCTATAGACCATGTAAGTCTCGCGCATAAGCCAAGGTCACGATTGAATTTCTGGGCACCTCCGAGCCGCCGGGTAGAGGACTTTTACGTGTGGTTGATTTTGTTTTCTATATAACCTTGTTTTTATGAAGATCTGAATCACGAAACGGCCATACGTATTGATGATAAATTCAAAAGGAATTTGACGATATATGAAAACTACATGCCTGTTGTCTAAATTATTGAAGAAACACAGAAAAAAATGTTTCACCTGAGCATCAGGTTGCAACATGATTGGCTCATTATCGGGATGAGGAAACCCCTCCCCCCCCCCTCCAAATCCCTGTACGGCATCTGCATGCTCTGGCACTGACGTGTGCAGACGTGAACGTACATGTATGTACATGTACATTCAGGCCTCGCAAATTTTTTAAAATGTAATTGCCCTTCGGGCAGGGGTGTTTGAAATCTGGTTGCCAGAATTTCATTTTCAGTTGCCCAATAAAAATGGCCGATTAATTACACTTGCATGATCATCGCCGGCATGGCAAACTGGAATCAAAAGATTTGTGGCTGGTACCCTGCCCTGTAATTCCCATAGAAGTAACGCACTTACAGAGTTGGGTTATCAGTGAATCAAACAATGTGCGACTGTGTCACGTGGACACCATTTTTTTTTCTTGGTTTAATCTTTTTATTTTATTGGTAAGAGTCACCATTGGATATTAAAAAACAAAAGGAAAAACTCATAAAAAACTCAGAAAAAGGGGAGTGAATTATAGAGTCCAGCAAGAGTTCCAAAGCACAACATACCGTAGCGCTCGTTATAAAGCACCAGTGCGATGTTGGTAATCTACGCATAAAACAATAACGGGTACCAGCCAAAAGTACAGAACTTGGTCAATTTCAATCTGTACATAAGTCCGGCTACATTATGCAGCAACGTTTCACATTTTTTCGCTCTCCTTTTCCCTAATTTGATGTATCATTCACATTTTGCAAACTGAAATGAAAAGAACAGTGTCAAAACAAACTATTTCAAGAAAACTACTCGTTTTACAAGTTGAAGCTCGAGGTGCCCGGAAGTTTGGTTTCTTGTAAACTCTTGAATGTTCTCAGGGTCAATTTACACGCTCTATTAGTGAAAAATCCCTGCTAACATGTACTGTAGCAGGAAAGTCTGTGCTAATGGTAAACATGTTTTGCGGGTTAACAGGAAATTTTGGCTTTACGTCCCGTAACTGAATATTCTGTGCTTACAGCACAGTTACCAAAAATTATTTGCTAGCATGGTTAGCACATAATAATTTGCTAGCATGGTTAGCACATAATTATTTGCTAGCATGGTTAGCACATAATTATTTGCTAGCATGGTTAGCACATAATTATTTTCTAGCATGGTTAGCACAAAATTACTTACTAGCATGGTAAGCACATAATTATTTGCTAGCATGATTAGCACATAATTATTTGCTAGCATGGTTAGCACATAATAATTTGCTAGCATGGTTAGCACATAATTATTTGCTAGCATGATTAGCACATAATTATTTGCTAGCATGGTTAGCACATAATTATTTGCTAGCATGGTTAGCACATAATTATTTGCTAGCATGGTTAGCACATAATTATTTGCTAGCATGGTTAGCACATAATTATTTGCTAGCATGGTTAGCACATAATTATTTGCTAGCATGGTTAGCACAGGCTGGTGATGGTGAGTGCTGAATTGTGTGATTAGTAGAGCCATGAAATTAGGGGTGCACGCCTGTAAATAGGCCAAAAATCCGTACGCCAAGCTCATGAATCAAAGTTATACCCTCAAAATATTCTATATTAGAGAGTTTTGAGTGCCATAAAATTGGGGAATTGACGAGATATGGTAATGAACCTCTGGCCCAGACTTGGGGCTTCCAATTCTGAGCATTTTGGATGCTATTGGGCTCGAAAATGGCGCTATTTTGCCATGTTGTGGAGGGATCGTTTTTCAAGATGGCTACTTTTCCGCTTTGGGGAAAATAGGGGTCGTCTTCTTTGGGTGAGAATATCTCGAAAAGTCAATGGTCAACCCACTAAAAATGAAAAGAAAATGAAAGATGACACATTGATCATCATTTTTCTGTGCAGCTTGAATACCTGTGAGAGTTCTGAGTATTTTTAAAAGAATTTTGAAGTATGCACATTTAGCACTAGTGTCTATGGGATTTTTTTTGCAGGGTTGCACCCTTAGGCCCGCTTTCTTTCTTTTGGTCTGGTTTTTGATGCACATTGTGTTAAAGGTGCCTTTGGTTTTCTGGAGCCCTCCAAGTTTATAGGCCCTTGATTTCCATAGGCCTAAAATGTTCCAAGCCCTCGGCACAGTGCCTACTAGTCCATCCTTGCTTCTAACATCGACAGAAAAAAAATTAGTGCAACAAAATCTAGACAGAAAGGAAACCAAAGCACAAGCCACCCCCGGTCCTGAGAAAAATATGGAGCAGCTAAGACCTTACGTGAGTGAGAAGATTTGAACTAACCAGTTTTGTAGTCACTTTCTTTGGAAGGGGTTCTTCTTGTGAGTAAAGGTCTTCACGTTTGACTCTCAATACAGAACCATCTTCAAACTCTACATCATACATCTGAACCATGTAGCTTTTGACAAAGGTGCCTCTATAGACGAGACCATCTGTCCAACGCACTGTAACTGCATCACCTTCACTTGGAGGGCCATTTCTCATGCAGTCATGACTCTACATACAGAAACAGTAGAAACACAATCTCAGGAATATTGTCTGCTTTGCATGAAAACATTCAGCTTTGTAATAACCAACCTGCATTACTTACACTGCCACTTACAGAGTGCTGACCAGTTTCATGTACCTTCATACCATAGCACTGCAATGTATTTGTTCTGAAATCCTGAATTAAAATACATATACACATATATCTATTTTGTGATAACCTTGTGGAGATGTACAGTATTCACCTTTTCACCTTTATATCCGACTTACAGATCCTTGTCATTTAATTGGTGGAACTCACATCACGTGTCATTCGTTATTACTACCATTCACGCCCGGGCTCAAAAAGTACTATCCGCCCATGGGGAATGGGAAATACTATTGAACAGTTATAGGATCATTCTTGTTCTATGACCAGTATTTGTGTGCAAATGCATGCTGGTGTGCGCGTTCAACGTTGCGCGTAGCGCGTATTGTAGCCAGCGCTACAGCGTTGGGTTCAAACATTTTCGTGAAGGGTGGTTTGGAAGAGAAATACATTTTTCACCACTTTTGTATTGAAATAAAAGCTCAAATATATCAAATGACAAGGATCTATTGTCAGTTATATAAAACAAATATTGAGTGGCTTTAAATTGTGAAATGGGAGGAATATTATCGCTCGGTAAAATCTGGACTTTTCCAGTTCACGAGGCAAAGTCCAGATTTTACCTTGCGATAATATTCCTCCCATTCCACGCTGATCCACTCAATATCTGTATAATAGAAAATTGCCCTGTGAAGACTTATCTTTTGTTCCCTATTATACCCATGTCTCCACAGGGTACCATGTATTCTGGTGTAAATCGAGGATTTTCTATTGTTCCTCTTCCCTTTTCCTTTGTTTATACTCTCAACTTTTTTGTAACAGCTCTCATTGGTTTTGTACACATTTTCTAATCGAGGTCATCCTTGATCTGGTTCCTGTCCTCAATTCATTGATGATGTTGCACGTGTGTGTCCTCAATTTACACCATAAACACACACAAGTGTGTATTTGCCTGCAATCGGGGACCCAGCCATGTGCTACCAGCGGGCGGCACAGACACCTATTGTCCCTTTTTTGTTTGTAACTTTTTAGAAGACCTCCCATATAGTTGTACACGGTCGCCAAATTGGGGACCTTCGGGAATTGGGGACCCTATTGTCCTCTACTGTTCAACGTCCCCTATTGAATGCAGAAACAAACTCACACATACATGTAAACACACAGAAGGAATACGCTATCGCAATATGCCCCTGTTGGCTTAAAAACCAGGGGATAAAAGGGGATGTTAAATAGTTTTCATACATTTAAGAGGAGTATTAAAAGACAGTTGCACAAAATGTGTTCCTCAAACAAATTTATTTCATGGACCCTGTAAGAGAAGCCGGGCAGTCGTAAAACTGATCCTGGCACGCTGTACATTCTATCAAGGACGCTTTCAATGGCAAAAGCAGTGTGCTAGCTTTTGTTCACATAATGTGTCACAGGGCAGTTGCTTTATAGAACAGCATGCACAATGGTTTCACCAATGAAGGGGGCCTCTTGTGATTATGTGCCCTGTAATGCCAATGAATCCAGCTCATTGTGCAGACCAAATGCAGGAATAGACTTCCAGTCAATAGCCAATCTGAATCCATTGAATACAATTTTGTTTACAGGCTTGCTGGTCTTGTTCTGTGTTGTTTACTTTAATATTAGATCCCACTGACGATTTGCCCATTTTCTGAGAACAGTAACTGTCAGTGAGATAAGAATAATACTCCTGGATACATCTCCTTACTTAGTTCTTACATTCAGTAACACAAGTACCAAGCTATGTCTAGAAACACTACCAATGAATGGTTAAAGTCTTCTCAATGTCTCAAACATTACATTGATTCAATCAAATACATATACACACATATCATCAATATTACAATTACAATTCCTACTATTTTTCTTGCCTCTTCTGTTCAAAACTCAACTTACCTCAATATCATGAGGATAAAGATTGTCGCTGTATGAGCCATCATCAAACTTCACATGGTAGAAGGCCTGTTGGTAATCTGCAATGACCTCTGCCTTGTAGTATCGACTGTTCTTATGTTTGGCTATGACTGTCTGGCCAACACAGATGTCCTTCAGTGGGTAATCACGAGGCTAGTATCAGAAAACAATGTCAAATTGTTCATGTCAAATCACAAGTAAAATAAACATTACGGCATCAATAATTGTAGTTTGCTGACATTCACTGTCAATACTTATGCTTGATGTGAAGGATCAGTATGAACTGTTCTACTTACTGTTGTGCCCTACTCATGTGAGGTAATACAACACTCTTACCATATCCATATTGGCAACACTGCATTAAGCTAATCCCTTTGATTTGTCACCTTCTGCTTTTCTATTACTTAAAAATATTTGAGTTATTGT